TGCAATATTAAATACCTGCGTGATGTACCTGCTGTCTAATTTATTTATATCGGAACTTTGTTCTTATATTGCACATATAGGATGACACATCAGATTTTCATCATGTTCAACGACCATATATAAGATGGGATGATGACTTGGTGAGTTCAATTTAAAAACAGTCATGCAGCTTTCATATAGTTTCATATAATCTGCTAGCTGTCAGGGTGGTTATAAGATGATATATCATATATTTATAACCACCTGGGTACTGCATGTATACAATATTTTTTCTATCATAGTTGAATTTCTGTATACAATATAGTCTTGCAAAGTAAGAATTTCAATAAAGGACTTTAATTCTAAGATGAATGTTTCTGCATGTCAGAAGCAGTCTCTTTCATTGAGTTTTATTGTTGAATGATAATAACATTGCATTCGCATTCTTTTCCTCTGCGTTATACTGTATGATATCTCCCATGCATGTACCAATGCGTTTGTTATAATAGACCCAGTGTCTTCTCTTGTGTTTCCTCTTATAGTGATAATAATATAGCTACTTTCCCTGTGTTTTTTTCTAATTTCGTAGACAAATGGGCATCAAGAAGATATTTTATCTGTAGTGTCGTGTCCTCCTAATTTGCTAGCAACATCCAGTTTTGATGGCGAGGTTGATAGTCCAAGCTTATATTTAACTTTTCAGAAATTTTAATATGATTTATTATTTTGTGAAATTTACCACCCACAAAACTCAACACCAACTGTCTTGTAGGTTATAGTTTGGAATATGGTTTCAGGGCATATATTTTGCCATATCCGTTCTCCGTTTCAAATGGATAAACCTCAAGGTAAGAACATTTTAGGGTTTAAAGTGCTCGTCACAATTACCAATTAATATGTTTTTTTTATGAGAAAAAAACACTATTGAATGCTTGAGGATTAAATATCAGACGACTTTATAAGTTGTCGTTCTTTTCAGGTAGTGGAGCGAATGCTGTCAGTTCATTGGTGTTCCTAAGGTGCAGAGCTGGGAATAAGTCGTCAGCAATACTTGTTACCAGTGGACCTCAAGGTGAGCTTAATTAACATCAAGGGCAAACGCAAATAAAACCATCTGTCCGGATTCTGTTAAATATAAATCATTTTGTTGCCTTATTCAGGAATAGTTCATTTCTGGAATGTTTACAATGGAGGGTCACTTTACGGCACGATATCACCGGTAATTCTTTCCTAAGTACACTTCGAATTATATTATGAAGTGCGTTGACTCAGTCTTTTCTTCATTCTGTCGTTCCAGACAAATTTTGAAGTCACTGCGATGGTTACCGATAAAGCTAACACGATATTAGTCACGTCTGACCATGGAGGTAAGCATATTGCACATTGTGAAAAGACTGTAGTTAATATCGCTCATGTTAACTGCAGTGTTCTGTATCACAACTTTTGTGTTCTCATTGCAGGATTTGTGACTGTTTGGGACATAGAAAATTATTGTTTGTATGAAAAATCTGACGATTCTCCTAAACGTAAGTGTCAGCACATATTTCATAGTTCATCATAACGTGTTTGATATATATTGTAGAAATAACTTTTTCTAATTAAGGAACACAATCTTGGAGGGCCCATGTCCAAGAAATCACGAGGTATTTAATCGAGTTATCAAGGTTAAGTGTCGTATGAAATTGTGTCAGCTAGTAGCAATACTTAATGTGTAATATTGCATGGTTAAATTGATGTTTAAAAGTGATGAAAAGTTTGTTGATTCACTTCACTAAATTTTTTTACAGTTTGGATATTTCAGAAGAGTACCATGTTTTACTGACGTCATCAGTGGATTGCACGGTTCGAATGTGGACGTTAAATGGACATTTTATTGGTAGGAAATTAAAACTATTTGTTCCATCTACAAAATTCCTTTAACAAGAATATAATCGTGTGATTGTTTTGCGAAGGAACGTTTGGTCAGCCTAAAATGTGGGATATTCATCAAGAAATATCATATCAACACCCCATGGTACCCTATGATGTTCTTGTGGATCCTAAAAGTATTCCTAAACTACCCATATTTGAAAGTGATGAAGAGTCCATCGATATCATTGAGGATAATGAAGATCTTGATGGTGAACATGAAATGGAGACTGTAGGCATTGGAAGAGAGGTAAGATTTTGTTGTATGAACCATGAAGATCGATTAAAATTCCTCTAAATTTTGCGCTACACGCGTTCTGCTTGCCTTGATTACCAATAAGTTCGTTTCAATATCGAACAAAACGCTTCATGTGTACAATGCTAATAATGGCGTAAATCATTACTCATACTGAATCTTTGATTTGTTTCCAAGCATGAATTATAATATTTTATGATATTCTCAAATCTCAGGCGAACATGCAGGGGCGAGGTTCTATGAACAGTGATTATCCAGCTCAGAGGTATGGTATATACTATGATCAAATTTCTTAATCTTGCCGGTAAATCCTGAAACAGTTTTTCATATAAATTCGCAGTCCTGATGATCACGAAATCGCTAAGGAATTGAAAGATAGAGTTTGGAAGAGTGGAATGGGAAAAAGGTTGGTTTGGTAGTAATTTTGTAGGAGTGCTTTAGAATCTCAGAGAGGTTCTCTGACCTTGGAATGTATCTTATTAGGTTCTATTCGCTTATGAGGTTCTGAGTTTCGATTGAAAAAACAACCAGAAATGCCTATCTTATTGACGTTACAATGCATGGGAAACTTCATCTTACTAATGACTCTATAATTCTCAAAACCTTTTATTTTCAACAGACTTCGTCACGAAAGATTACGAAGAAAGCCTCAAGCTTCAGACGGTCCAAATGCTTACCAATCGCTTACCTGTTATGACCTGGAAGTAACCCCTCCTATCCCCCCACCACCCGATACATCCTTTATTAACGATCCTTTTGATATCAAATTTTAAATCAAAATGTACCAGCAAATATGAATCAAAAAGAGATAACAATTAGTAGTGTACAAAAAACAATAGATTATTTATTATAATTACACAGCCAGGGCATTAAACATCTTTTACACTAAGTCTCGCTTCCCCTATATTTTAGATATATAACCCTTATTTATACAGCAGATGGATCTCATCTGCAAGTAATCTTACAATGGGTTGAACTACATACTTATTGTACGTTTATTTTGCATTGCAATGTTAGTCATTTTGCTATAGGCAATGATTAGTACGCACCATGTTACTCTCCGCTGTTTGCGTGTTTTTTTTTTTATTTTGCTGGCGCTTTAGTTGATGACGATTATTTAACTTTTATCCTTAATTCTCTCCGACTTTGATCAAGGCAACAAAAAACCTATAGAGTAGGGCTTTTGTTGCGTTGGTGAAAGAGTGTAAAATATGAAATACCAATAAATGTCAACAAGAAAACAGCAAGTAATTTCTGTTTGGTAACAAGCAAAATAGTGAACCTACTGCACGGAAAAAATTATAAAAAATAGGAAAAAACCCCACGAGTGTTATGCATTCTGTAGAAATATGGACATATGGTAACTTACCATGCATACAGTAAAACTGGTAACGTTATTAATTTAATTGCTATAAATATAAAAATGTATATGTGTATGTATATAAAAAAATGTAAATTATAGATACATCGGCTATTTATTGTTCAATAGTCCAGTTGTAAAAGTTCATTGGAGGTTGGAGAGATAAGGGACTAAAAAAACTTTAGACCATGTAGTAACAATCCTAAAACTTTGACTGTCACTGTGCTCATGGTACTGAACTATATAATAACTCCTGGAGGACGTGCTCCTCTTATTTCAGTAACTTATTACCTCCGTTCCACAGCTCAAACCCTGGGTACGAAGTTGGAGGTGTTGGAAACATGAGAAACTAAAAACTACACACCATGTATGCAATAACAATCCTAAAACTGTGACTGTGCACAAGCTTATAAAATGTATGACGATTAATTTTTTCAAACAGCCCGATTTCATTCTTGTGTTTTAATAAATTCCAAATTTTATGTTTGAGTCATTTCCAAGCGGCTTGGAATTTTGTCTCTTCATCTTCGTTCAAGGGCTCCTTACAGACCTTCATTTCTGGTCATCGGCTGAATGATGGTTTCGTAGTACCACAATTGGATGACGGCATATATCTTTAGAGACGTGCGAAAAGAGAGCCTAAAGTTCTTAAAAAAGCGTTTATCATGATTATACGCAAACCATGGTAATTTACGAACCAGTGACGTCATGACGCGCACTTTCACAGCTGGCATAGTGTATGACTAGCTGTCAAAAGATTGCAGAATGTGTACTCAGAAGAAAAATTGAACTTTTTAAAGTTTTTCAATAGTTTTCTCTTTGATAGAGATACGGATATCAGCTTGTCGGTATAAAGAAATTACACTTTGCATGGTCTTTAGTTATAATATGCACCAAGAAAACCCTAATTTTTTTTATCTAAAACAGACGAGGTAAAAATTTTGCTCACGTGCAACATATTGCAATTTTAAATAAATCCATAATACACAATTTTACGTACGATAAATTCTAGGTATAAATTAAATACAAAATTAATAAAATTCTATTCCAATATTGGTATTTTTATATTCACAGTCTATTCAAATTAACATTACCTATCCCAATCCCTAATTATAAACACGTTTTCTTAAATTTAACGATTGCATTCAGTGTTGTAAAATGTTGAGGATAATCTTTTAGTGCACAATGACGTCATGAGAACGTTTTTCCTACCATAAACGTATTTGAAAACGACGGGAAACAAAGTTTTATTAAATCTTGTCAGTAAGTTTAAGTCTTGGGTTCATATGACCCTCGTTTCCCTCGTTGATAAAACCTACTACAGTACTGCTCCAATTTCACGGCTGTGATGTTTGAACGACAAACTGTATAACGTAGATCAAATTCCTGTAGGCGGTCTATGGCAAAAATTGTACTTTCCCTATTTTGTACCTTGTGTTATTTTTCTATAGTGTGGTTTTGAGGTGTTATTGATGCATCTGCTTTTATGACATAAACGTATTAATTAGCTAGACAAGTCCCAAATTATACTCTAGGAACCTGAACCACAACATTTCTTCTTTTCCTTTCCTGATTTTTCTTTGTCCTTCATAAGGTCCACATTCCTTTCAGATTCTCTTGATTGAAGACTTCCTGTTCTGCTTTCAGCACTTGTCTGCGGACTTAAATCTTTCGGCTTTAAAACAACAGGTTTCTCTTCGTATAATTTTTCAGCAAGAGATGTGAATATTGCCTCAATATTTTGTTTATCATCATCATCTTTGCTTGATACCTCATGAAACGCCATGCTATATTGTTCTGCAAATTCTTTAGCAACTTTGGATTGCACTCTTTTTGATGTTACTAAATCACTTTTATTTCCAATCAAAATTTTGACAACTTTGTCTGGAATGGTATAATGTTTATATTCCTCAACCCACAATGTTAAACTCTGAAATGATGGTTCACTAAAGAAGGAAAACCATTATTTTTGGATCTTGATCTTTAAACTGAATTTCTCAAAGCAATTAATCTATTAGACCATGTGTTAAAAAACAGAAGTTTACTATCTACATGTATATGCATTGAAACCTCGTGAGTAGAATAAATGAAGTGTCTGAAAAATTCAGATACAGTATATCTAGAACACTGACCTATACTCAGTATATTATAGGTTTATATGCATTGTTAATATCCCAGCAGTAATAATTAAACTATATAAACAATGAGATTGCTAATATCAGTATCTCACACATGTAATAGTCACCTTCCAGCCTCTCCACTCTATTATGAGGTGAAAGGTGTATTCTTTTTCATTTATGATTCCACACCGCAACTAATGTTGTAGTAAGTTGTGGCAAAATAACAGATTTCATGTGAAAATATACTTTCAATTAATGCCCCGCAGATTGTCAAAATCACAACTAGAAAGTGTTGGAAAGCAATATGCAAGCTAAAGCTATACAAACAGTTTTAAAGTTTTACATGTACAAAATATTATGGAATATTTGAGTGTGCAGCTTCCTTTATTAAATGATGGGTAAAGACAATGTGAATGAATGAAAAGAAAAACATAAGTTACGATAGCAACCTTCAAATGATACAAACCTTGTGATGTCATAAACAAATACAATGGCATCAACATTCCGGTAGTAATGAATCGTCATACTTTTTCGAAATCTTTCCTGACCAGCAGAATCCCACACTTGAAGCTAGAAGACAATTTAAGGAGTTTATTAGCGAGTGAAAATATGCTGGATACATTGGGTTCTGAATATCACCTATTTGAACCATCCTAATCGACCTACATAGTATAGCTTCACAGTTGGAAGAGTATTGGACTGGCAAACAAGAGGTTGAGGGTTTAATTCTCACCAGAGTTAAGCTCATGTTTCAGCTTGCCTATAGTTATTAACTCAGGGAAGCACCATCATTGACTTATCCACTGTTTAAGCTAAATGGGCTTGATACAACCAGCCCCTGAGTCCTTATGCACTACCATTTTGAAGACAATTAATCACCATGGTTATTTGCCATCATCATCATTGCCAAAGTGTGTTTACCTTGCAGATAATTGAGTTGAAAGCTAAGCCTTGTAGTATAAACATGGCTTATTGCGTGTAAATTAAGCAAACTGATTTGCTTCATAGACCAGGCTTATATGAGTTCTAACATGCTAAACATTTATCAGTGTTGTAAGTTGTATAACCAGGTGTAATATTACGTTTTCAGTGAAATGAATAAAAATTTTTGACTAATTTTGATTAATATTGCACAGTCAATCCAATAATGTAACCTAACCTCGATAAAATGAATCAGAATTATATGAACGTCAAGAGTATCATGGATTATCTTGATGGCTAATTACTGTCGTAATCTAGCTTCATCTTAATGCTTTAATGATCACAAATATATTCAACAACATTTCTAGCACGAAACTATTCTCATTTACCTTGACTTGTTCGCCTTTAACGTCGATAGTTTTATCAAAGAAATCAACACCAATCGTTGTTTCAAGTTTTTCGTAGAACTTGCCAGTACATAATCGACAAGCAAGACTAGTCTTGCCAGTAAAGCTGTCTCCTATAATAACGATCTTGAATGTCTGAAGTTGTGTGTTATTCATCGTGGCACTAGATCATAAAAAACTAGTCTACCTATCTAACTCAAGAAATTGAAACACTACTAACGAGGATTGAAGAATCATCGTGAACTTTCCAGGACAATCCTGGTAAGAAAACAGTAAACAATCCTCTTCCTTTTATGAATCCTTTTATTCTGACTCGTTGAAATTCTTCCACTGACACTTCGAATGCAGGCTCATAAAAATGTTGGAACGGAATGGAACCAGTAACCAGTGAGCTCTACATGGTCACTTTCACTGGTTGGAACTTGGCTGGTGTGGGTCTGGGTGTATCTAATAAAAAATGGTAACCTAACTTCAATGTGCTATTGTGCGTAAATTACTTGAGCAACAAGTGCAATTTTTTACAGTTTGATAGATCAGGTTTTTCGTTGTTGATCATTTTTCAATATATTTTACTGAGGGACATGTCGCAGTGCTCGGAAGCTTTCGCCCAATTGGATAACGCTTTTCTATGCTTTCTAAAGAACGAAGCTATGCTATTGGTTGAAACAGAAATGAATTGTAAAGTTCAGACAATGAAAATCATTCTGGCGAGGAGCTGCGACACTACCCTATTTTAATAGTAATATGTAAAGAAAAGGTAAGGAAATGTAAGCTCGATCAAAAATCGTGGTGAAAATTTCACCTGATCCTGTAAAGACGCTATAGAAATTGAACATCATTACCACCCACGCCTGTTGTGACATATGCATTGTGATTGACCACGCACCGTTTAGAAACAAGAATCACCCTCGACGTATTCACGATTAATGGCTTTTTCTTTTGTTTGAGGTGAAAATGAAATATGTTGATTTTCACCAAGATTTTTCAACGATCCTGTATGAACTCATTTTTTCTCTACCGTGTCCGTGTGTCCCAAAAAAGTACCCTCAGGCCTCAACTGAAACAATTCTTTTGTTGTTAAGGGTATTTTTTTCGGGGAACACACTGTATTTTGGTACGAAAGGTCAAAACTGAATGAGAAAACATTAAGACTAAAGATGGCCTCCAACAGGCAATAGCTCCTTTAAGCCCCGCACAGACGAGCAAGTTTTCCTTGACAAGTTTTTTGACACGTTCACTTGCTCGTGTGTACGACGAACAAGTTTTCCTTGACAAGTTTTCCTTGACAAGTTTTATTTGTTCGTGTGTACGTAAAAAAATTTTTCTTGGCAAGTTTTACGAGTCCGCATTACTGAAGTACGTAAATATATTGATGAATATATTGATGCGCAGTAGCCTACTGCGCATTTCCTTGTCAAGTTTTCCTTGACGGCCGTACACACGAACATTTTTCCTTGTTGAAAAGCTGGCATGACTAGCTTTTGAACAAGGCTCCTTGTCAAGGAAAAATTGTCAATTTTCGTGCGTACACACGGGCAAATAAAACTTGTCAAGGAAAACTTGTCAAGGAAAACTTGCTCGTCTGTGCGGGGCTTTAATTTCTGCTAGTTGGCTTCACTTTTCTAAACCACAAAGTTTCTAAAATTTCTTAAACAGCTGTGCTCTTGTGGTGTGGTTTTAAAATATCTTTGCAGTGGGATAAATCAATGCAAACAAGTATTTTATGCACCACTCAAGTTTTTTCATGAACTATTGTGATCATAACTGCTATTAAGCTCCAGATTAAGCAGAAGCCCTGATTAAGACAAATACAGACCAAGGATTTAGCAAACTGCTAAAAATAATATAACTATAGGATGGTCTGAATATTAGCACTGATTCTGATTGCTTTTAATACTCGGAATTACTGCAAACTGGACGAGATTAAACTGAATCAAATTGATTCAAGCGAAAAATTCGTTATTTGAAAACTGGCTTTATATTTAATTGCATTATGTCAATCGTGTTTATACAATTAGCTAGTGATGATAACTAGTAGACTGCATTATATTTGATTTCAATCGTCCCAATATAAAAATGCATTCCTTGCTGAAAATCCTAATTTCAGTTCTCGGCTGGTAGACGCACCGTTTCCATTCTGACTTACGTAAGTCGTATTTATATTAAGACAAGATTTCTAAGCCAATAAAGTTATGGGAATATACCTCGATGCGTGAACTACTTACATGCACAGACTATATTGAGGAACCGCCGACGACGTCATGTTAATTAATCGATAGTGTTCTTTGGGTCAAGTGAAATAGGAGCAAATTTAATATAGTTACGCAATTGGTTTAATATCCTCATAGTAGGAACGTGCATTCTGTAATTATAATACACATTGTGGATGCTGGAAAGATGATTTTATGTGAAATATCGGCTGGTGCGTTGAGCTGTCTTAAATAATTATGTGGCACTTATTACCTTATTATCTTGCTAATCCTTGAGCTACCCTTTCCCTTATCATGTAAAACCTCTCCTGCATATCATTACATATTTAAATGACGAACAACACCGTTTCTATGCTATATTGTTTGTTAATGATTTCGGAACGATTTATTTGGCTAGTAGCAATACACGTAACGGAAGAGTAGCATTATACAAGATACATGGAATGACTTCAGTTTTTATGCAAAGACGGTCCACTTATATTAGAAGAAGCCTTGGTTGGAATGTTGTGACAGCGTGTTTTGATAATAAATGTTTTTAACAAGTGATAATGGCATCAGAAAATCAAGCCTCTCCGTCAAAACCTCGTTCAATGCTGCCCCGAACCTTGGTGGTCATCCTGAGTCCCATATCCGATGTTCCCACAACAAACCTTCGTCGCTTTAGCAGCAAGAAGTTTGAAAAGGTGTTTGAAGATTTCAAGCAGTGTAATAAACAGAGTATCAGTGTACAATTACAAGATGCTGTTGACGATATACAATTTGTTGGTTGTCTTTCTCCTTTCACATTGTTAATTCATGGATCAACGGAAGATATGGATACAATAGAACATGCCTGGGTCGGAAGGATGTTAAAACCGCCCTCTGGCTTCCTTATCAAAGATTTTGGTAAGTCAGCGTATTTTACTTCATTTCTAACATAAAAACAGAAATAGAAAAAATTTGAGAGCATGGCTAGACTAATCCCTGTTAGTAAATACTGTCAAACGCCGATTTAAAGTGCATCAGGTTTGATAAACGGAAAAGGGGTAAGAATAAGATTAGCGATGACATGCATCTATTTTGATCATAAATATTTTAAAAACAGTAAACAGGCAAACGAGAAGGTGCACATGCACTAGCTCACCTCGTATTTGTGCATCACTTACATCAACACAATTTTTCACTGTATGTCAACATATAGTGTATTATATTACTAAACTATAAACAGTGTTTTCAACTGGCCGTGCTCAGGTAGTATTCATAAAAAGACTTATTTTGTGATCAAGTGGGACGTTGCCAGTTGTTGCCGTTAGGCACAGGCTTAAATGATTAAATGTAGCATAGAAATTCGAATCTAGGCTCATCTAGCGACCAGCTTAGGCAGTTTGCATGTTTTACATTCAAAGCAAGCCAGGTGCATAATTCGCAAATATTGATGTGCAAATTTTCTCTTCTGATTATAATTTTGTAATTATTCGTGTATAAATTGTGATTTATGTTTTCACAATTAATTTTTCTGTCGACGGAAATCAAAACCTGCATAGTTTGGTAGAAAAAACCGCGCAACCATACATGACATGTATACTGTATATCGAAATGACTATACATCTTTATAGCACATTGCATAGTACCAGTGACGGACATTATGTCAGGCAAGTTCAAACTCATGTCACGAAATCATGTAACTGGGAGAGGGCTGCATACACTATACATACGAAATAGAAGATTTAAGGTTTTTCTTCATGGTTATAGGTATAGTCTCTTGACCTCGCTCTTGACCAGGTAACTCTTATACAAACTACTCGAGTGAACTATATACACATTTTTCTCATGGAATCGCAATGGTAGCCATCATCTGACCATGATATACATTGCTCATGTTAGCTGTACGTCGATCACTTAATTGGTCCAGTTTTATTCCGTCCTAAACTGAGGCATCATTAGCCATCTATTAAATACATTTAATCTTTACTACGTCCGTTTACGTCAAACGACTTTGTAAGTCGAATTGCAACTAGATACACACAGAGGAGGTATAATGACTAGAACACGCAGAGGTATAATGACTAAAGTATAAATAAACCTCCCCCTCGGGGGTTTACGTACAAGGATCGTACACTTATAAGTTATAACTTACAGAAGCAGGTGAGCAGGCGGTATAAGCATGTATAGTTTCCCTTATATACGGAGAAGCCGTTCAAAGCCGTTCCGTGCAGGATTAATTTCTTCAAAGAAAAGTCAACCAGCAACTGAGCTACACTATACGTATAGCCTATGATTACATTGGATTTAAATCTTGTGATTAGCAAAGAATATGAATATAGACTATAGTTAACGAAATTACATTCAGCTCTACTTTCATTGCTTAAAGTCATATAATTTGTATAGTTAAAGTATAGAACATCGACGTCGACGTATAGAACCAATAGTTTTCCAGCTACCAGGTCCACACATAGCATTAACCACTGTTTTCATCAACTTGATGCTCCTGGGCTGGTGTTCAAAGTTGAACATCATTCCACCTCCATACTTCTCACGAATCACCTCTGATGCCTGTGAGGAAGTATACTGCCACTTCTTTGAAAATTGGTCTTCAGCAGAAAAACCGATACACAACTGCGATTTACTCATTCCTTTGCCAGTGTAAATGTAGTCGAGAATTGATATCGCCGTCGTAATAAGTCATTTCCCAACCGTAATCCAGATTTAGACCCAGATGATGGCCATTCCAATCGGTGTTGAAGTAAACATGATCATCATACAACGCTTTTGTGATCAGTTTGTTAGGCATGGCTTGTTTCATTAGGGTTGTAACCATGGCCAACGAATCATTATGAATGGTGCCGATGCTATATTCGTCATCAATATCAATTCCATCCAAACCATAGAGTGTGACAACTTCCGTTTTGAGATAATCCACGAAACTTTGGGCTGTAGATTGATCTGCGAATTGCGACCAACCTGTTTGAGTGTGACCAGCCATGATGGTCAGTAAAACAGTTATACCTTAAAAAACAGAATGTTTTGGAATGTTTCAATAGATCCTTTTTATATAATCACGGCACGACAACCATCATCAGTGTATGGACAGTGGAAAGCTTACCTTGGTTCTGAAGTTGTTTTATGTATCCTGAATCAAGTACCATCTGAATGTTCGAGTTGAACTGGGCTGTGGCGTGCGGATTGTTGTGGGCTCGGAGCATTGGACGAGTGTCGGTGACAAAATTACCAGCAAAGATACAAACCACATCAATCGCTGGGGATGGAGTCATCTTTGCTAGCACGTAATTTTTGATATCAAGAAATTGCTGATTGCTCAAGGGATTGATATAGATTGTAGCAATCGGCTTTTTCTCGTATATATCACATTGCCAAGAACTGGTAATAGACGGCTGGCCTTTAAAGAATACTGCCATTCCTGTTTCAAAAGGACCGTGTTCGTTTGCTAGTGGTGTTTCTAAATTGACTGTATTTCGAACATAGAAAAAGAAAGTTATCTCTTCCTTCGGGTGCGCGAAAACGAAACGCATTGCATCTTCAGGAGTTGTGTTGGGAATTTTTCTCACAAAATTGCTCCAATCACCTGACGTTTGAATCATGTTTTCAATCTTCTTCCATCCCATGTTTATAGATCAGTATAGCGTTCTTGTTACCAGCAACCACGTCGACGCGCTTTAAAAAATATTGACCGAGGTCAACGATAGAATGCGTCTATGAAAAAAATTCTACTATATCACGAGTTATACTCGTATATAATGCATGATTGGGCGCCGCCGCGCCGGATGTAGGATTTTATTCCTCACAGTGATTCAATGGTACTTAATATTTCGAGGTGAACCGACCAAGTATTTGTCGCCGTGTGCAGCACGTTCTGCTTTTTGCATCCGAATAAATCAGCTTCTTAAATTATCTGATTTTAATAAATTAGTAGACCAATATCAATAAAGAAGAGAAATTCTTCGTTTGTTTGAAATGAATTCGACGCACGGGTTGCTTACCATATTATTGGCATATATTTTCATACAGATTTCTACAGTGCATGCATGCAGTAGGTTTATTGACCAAAACTACACGTTTTATATCTGCGATCGTAAGGTTCTTTTACCCCATGAGTGAATTGACACAAATATAATCACGCTAGAATAGCTGTACGTATAATGACTTCCTTCTTAGTCTAAATGACCGGATATATATATCGATTGTAAACACGCAGTCTATATCGTCTGTTTATTAGCATTCATCCCAGTTTTATAAATATAGCTTGGGTTATATCATGTTTAAAGTTATGTAAGATATCCTAAATAGCAGCAACAATCTCGAAGATTATAAACAGATGATTCATCAAATAAAATAGTTTACAAGTTGCACTGTCGTAGAGAAAACAAATATCATATCTATGTCTATGAGTTTCGATGACGCAAAATGTTGGGCTCTTGCAACTGTAGCCCGCTGTCTTGGGTTACACGAGTCTCTATTCCTTATTCCTATTCCTATATTAAAAATCCTTAATTGGAACTCTAAAACCCCTCTGGAATCGTAGGCGGTAATGTAAGCCGCAGTACTGCAATTTCATTTTATGTTTGTTCGCTTTTTATACTGATTAACGAATAACAGCATTTTTAATTTGCCTCCCAGCATATCAAAAGAAAAAAAGAATAGTACGAAGTATTTCTTTCAAGAGCTCAGTAACAACATAGAATGTTGGTTAACATTCTAGAAGGTCATTATAACAATCAAATACTTTCCGGCCAGTTAAATAAATGAAAATACACACATGAAAATATTTACTCTGCCTTTAATATAGTCTTACATTGTCATTGACATCCTATTTTTATAGGTGAAATCTCAGAGGTGAAGATGAAGCAGATATTGCAGTCGCAATTTTTATCTATTTCTGATACATTATGCGAGATAGTGAAAGGACTCAACGAATGTCAAATCGCTTCTAACTTTGAATGCATTGTAAGCAGATTGTGCAGTAGTTTTGATAGCGTTGTTATACCGCCAATGACAGCCATAAAGAAAAGTTTGGATCTTTTAGTCGAAGAGCAAAGACTTACCTTTATTAATGGTTTGTATAATTACGTCGTCCCTTTAAAGCTTAGAAAAGAGTTGTCAACTCTTAAACCACTTCCTCAGGATAAAGAGCCACAGGGCCCCCCCAAAAGTGCTTATTCTTCAAAGAAGAGAGCGACGGAAGAGAAACGTTACATCTCATCAAGAGAATATTCATCGAAAAGACAGAATTTAAGAAATCAAAACGGGAAGGAAAAGGAGAGAGCATTGAAAACGAAAAAAATGAATTATGCAGGAAAGTGTACAGGAAAAAGAGAAGCAAGATTAGATAACAATCGAAGTTTTTCAGGAAAAACTACTAGGAATGGTAGAAGGAATGAAGTTGTAAAGTCAAATAGTTTAAAAATTCGCAGACCAAATCACTGCATACCTCGTAGACAGTATTCCTACGAGGAGTTACCTTCACATGCAGTACAGGATGAAACGGAAGTAAAAAAGCCAAATAAGAAACGTAATTCTTTTATTGGTAAACTTTCCCGCCTGTTTAAGACGGAGGATGGGAAACTAACAAGCAATGATGAAACAGAAGATAATTTTGACCATAATATTAGTCATAAAGAATGGGATAAAATTACGACTAATGAACAAGCGAAATTGCTTTCCAGCAAAATTGAAATGAAGCAGCAAAATGCATTTGTAAAAGAGAGCAAGAATGGAGTGAAAGTGAAAAAAAAAAGGAGAGAGGTATTAGTAGTGGCAAACCTTTGGACAAGAAAAGATATTCCGAGAGTTCGGCGAAACTAACGGCGAAACACAAGAATACCAATGTTAATGAAGACGAAAGCCGTCTCCAAGGATGCAGTAGGAAATGTTCCTCACGATCAAGTAAAACGTCTAACAACGCCAGCTCACAATCGCGCTCTCCTGATTGGTTAAACGCAAACTTTTCGCGCGATAATCAAAGTACCGTAGTCGTAGAGCAAAATACAAAATGCAAGCCTTCTCAGAGCAACGAGAACGAAGCGAGGAGGAAGAAAAAGCAACAAACGCCACCTAGGAAGGGTTCCTTATCATCTTTTTCAGACTCAAACTATTCTTTCGAAAGTGATTCAGACTATTCTTTGAGTTCAGATAGCAGCGTTAATTTGAAAAGAAAATCATTTCATTATTCTGAAGAAGACACGACGGATGACGAATCACACCTAGGAACCTGGGAGGACTGTTCCTCGAAATTCAGTTCAACTCGAGCAATTTGCGGGGACCTGGAAATGAATACTCTCTCAATAAACCAAAGCGATAAAACTTCATCTTCATCGGACTCAACAAAATGCGTTGAAAACCATTCAGTAACAACAGCATTGACGGAAATAAAACTTCAGATCATAATATTTGCCCGCAACGAAATAACTTAAATGGCGGTAATCTTGTCCAATTCATTGGAATTTTGTGATTACATTGTGTTTCAATAAATATATTTATTACGAATAACTGTTGTACATGTCAGTTTGTTTTCAAAAATGACAATTACGTGTATACGCAACCCTACAGATGATAAGGTCGTTACTACGATATTTCTCACATCTCATGGACCGGGTCTCCGGAGAGTCTTGCATGTTTTTTGCATGAGTAGGACTTTAGTTAATCCAGTTCATCTATTAAAAAGATGTGGCATACTTTAACAGTTACTTTGTCTTTGATAATTAAACTTGTATGAAATACACATGACTACGATTTTCAAATATATTTATATAATTCTCCAAATAATACAAATTACAATTATTTTTTTCTACATTTTTAAATTTTTTTGCAACACACTGATTACATATACATGCAGCAAGCATTACGATGATGAGACATCCTAAATACGCATTGTAATCCACGATTATTAAAAAGCTGGTGGATGTACACTAGCTGTAGGCTACTAGAACATCACCTATGTTCCGTATGTTGCACATATAACTTATACTTTAGTTATAACATATAACCTATGTTTGGTATGTTGCAGGTACAACTAGCATCAAATGTGGTATAACGACTGCCTAAAACAAAAACATTTTTTGACGTTTCAATCTAAGGGTCTTTGTCATGAGAGTTTGTGTAAGAACGTTCTATAAACTCCCCTAAGGAAGGCCTTAGGTCGAAACGTTAAAGAAGTGTTTTGCTTATTTTAAACCTCTGCAATCAGACTAGAATCCCCATTTTACCAGCACCATATAATTATGACACCAACATATTTTCTTCTATCCATCATCTGCTGCTACCAATATTAATATTTGTTTCAAACATTGCTTGAATATTATTTATTACATTAATACTAAAAATCTAGCACTGTACCCACTAACTTTTGAAATAATTTTGAAATAAAAAGTTCCATTAGCTCATCGGTTATGCTTTCTTTTCTGGGTGTTGAATGGCATCAAGGACTTTATTAATATCAAAATCTTTGGCCTTCAGCAGTTGAGTGAGCCATCCACCTTCATCGTCAAAACCCATACTTTTCATATAGGAAAGCGCGTTCGCTAAGCGATCTTGAGGCTCAGGGTTTTCACCATCATGAGCTGTTTCATCATCCACAACAACGTAAGTATGGTCACCATCATGCGGTGAACCAGCTGCTTCATCCTAAGAACAAATGCATAAAGTTATTACAACTGGAAAGATTGTTAGCAGGAATCAATGTGTGATAGCATTTTTAAATAACTAGACTCCAATATTGTATTGTATAAGAATTTCCTGAAAGAGACAAAAAGCATCTTGATGTTTCAAAGCTAGGGGCTTTTGAAACCTCAAGGATTTTTGGCATCTAAGATAAGCTGAATATAACTATTTACCATTGGTTCATCACCATCCTTGTCTCTTGTTTTTGATGTTTCTCCTTGTCCAGTAGCTGGTGATTTGCCACCTTCATGTTGTCCACAACCACCTAAAATGAGGAAATAACCTTGTAATAGCCAGTTGAAATTGTTTAACTCCTATAGCACACTTTGGTTAACCAGTCCAAGACAAATAATTCACCAAAATAACAACAATCAGTTATGTAAGGCAGTTGACTTACCTTCACTGTTTTCAACATATGTATGAACGTCAACACCAAATGGGCCAAGGAAAGAGTTGAGTGCCTCACCAAACTGATGGAAAAATGCTTGGCCTTCTCCAGATTGACCTGGTCTCTGCCCAGTGCCTGAATTTCCAGGGAATCTAGGGCAACCCCATCCACCACGACCTCCACGGGAAGGACTACCAGGTCTTGGTCCACATCCACCTCTTGGACCCATACCTCCTCTGGGACCCATACCTCCTCTGGGACCCATACCTCCTCTGGGACCCATACCTCCTCTACCACGATGCATCCATGGCATGAACCATGGGGGACAAGGTGGAATGAAACAGGATGGGTCAGGATTGCGTATTCTTATCATGCGATGATGAGCATGAAGACCTTTACTTTCACAAGTACCACAGAGGTCATAATCTGGACAAACTGAACATTTGAATCTTGATCCAACAACTTTACCCTCACAGCCATCACAAGTAACCAGTGCATGAACCTGATCACCACTGCTCACATCTGGATCTGGCCTACTCTTTGACACCACTATAATATGATATAGACAAGATGAAATTTTAATTTTCATATTTAACAGACCCAGAAATTGTCATGACGTTACTATATTTAACAATAATTAGGATTTGGCATAGCCAACTGAAACTATAGAGTGCCTCAAATGCATTGGCCCGCCTTTCCTTCCAGCTTTAAATGATTGTACCAAATAGTCAGAACTTTGCAAATTATTAATTTTTTTACCTTTGATATAAACTCTGAAAAATCCCCCATCATGGTGTGTCAATGCGTCGATTAGTTCATCATCACTTGAGAACAAAACGTATTCATTTTCCTCGTCTGGAAAATATTAACAACTTTAAACACACTCCACACAACAAAACATAATAATCACATAATTCGAAATATGATACGATTCGTAACTAACAATCGTCTAGTGCCTACCTTTCCAAAATAGTTGAAGGTCTTCTCTCTTCAAATTAGGATACACAGACTTTATCTTCTCGACTAAATAATCGTAGCTGGTCGATGCGTCTGTATCGATAGAGAAACGACGAATCTCGGGGTCACTGCATTTACTAAAATTGAAATACGTCTTCACTGTCACAGACATTTTAATTCCTTCTCTCTTCTCTTGCTCTCGTTTCAAACGAATAAAACAACAAACCCAGCACAGCTCTTTATATAGGGGGCCACTGGTTATTCTACATTTTCACTGTGTCATGCTCCTAAATTTTGCAGTGTCATTGTTGTCGTCTTCAGGATGACTGCAAATTTTCCTGCGTCATGGCACAGAATACCTACCAGAAGTGGAACTCTATACTATTTTTTCGTAAGTGTGATTCGTCATGATTCGTCACTTAGCAAGTGCATTTTTTTGAGGCAGTCACCCCCCTGCCAATGTCTAAAATTAGCGCATTTTTAGTATTGGCAGGGGGGTGACTACCTAAAAAAAATGCACTTGCTAAGTGACGAATCATGACGAATCACACTTACGAAAAAAGTACAGGAGTTCCACTTCTGTAAGGTATTCTGTGGTCATGGTGACAAAAACTGAAACAACTAGGGGAGAGAGGCAAAGAGCTTTTGATATTCAGTTACGTCCAGCGTAGAAAACCAAGAAAAGCAAGTCCAAAACGAAGATTTTCCAATTTCAAAATTGGCGTATTGCATATTAACAATGTAATACACAGCAGAACTGCAATATTATTAACAAATTATTTGCTAAAAACGGCCACTCGCATTGTCCCACACCACCAAACGGGGGTAAGTGAGTAGCATGACGTTAGCATTCTGAAAATGACACAGCAAAAATATGAAAAGTGCGCAATAACGTTTTGCATATCATAATTTATACCCCTGTAATATTTAAAATAATATGTTTTTCACTAATCGTTCACTAAATGGAGAATAAGAAAGAAGTTTACAGATTACGCATTTTACTGAATTGTTCGTGATCCCAAAAAACGGTACCAGCCAATAAAGCAAAGAAAATTCTTATAAGCAGGGAAATGCAAGCGTTGCAATGATGGTGCATCTCTGTCATTTCTCTGCATCATGATACTATATTTGTCACGAAATTTTGCATCATCATAACTGCGTGTAAATGCCGAGTCATGCGCGTGATTTAGTGGCGACCAGCTCATCGCTGCTAAAGGTTTTAGAATTTACCAGATTGACAGTAAAAATAATATAAGAAGACCAACTCGATTACTCCAACCGTAAAGTTAAATTAATCGCACTACTCTTTTTGTCTTTGAGATCATGGATACGACGGTGGTCACGAATTGTCAAGGAGGAACCAAGGCCATTCATTCAGTCTGTGGCCGAGGGTAGGTCACAATTATTTGCATTATTAACGCAACTGAACATAAATCAGACCACCAAAATCAAACTCGGCTGACTGTAACTGCTTACAAAAATAATATTTTCAGCGAGTTTACTTGCTGATTCAGTGAAATCGATTGACATTTTTAGTGATTTGTTTAGCAGATAAACAGGACCAAGAGCGTTGTACGGCAAATATTGTAATCTTAACCACTTGACCTCCGTATGACACTATGACAGTAAATCAATCATTAAAACTAAAAGGAAAAGTATCGGTCCCAGTACTCTTCCTTGTGGAAAAGACCGTTGACAGTCCGCCATTCGAAAGGCATACGAGGATTTGTAAATAGTACACATAGTTATTATTCAGAAATTTGATATAGTTTATACCACAGTTAATAGTTTATACGCGGGGGAGAATGACGCAGCATTTACAAGGCATGCAGTTTTACAAGTAGTTCGATCTTCTTTAGCGATTTAACATAATTTCTTTATAATTATATGTAAAAGCATGTCATACATAATTCAGCTTGGTTTAGATGTTTTTATATTTACAAAGTTCACTTCTACCCAACATAAATATAATTTAATAAAATCAAAAGATGAGGAAGCAATAACCGACTGTAGAGAAAGTTTTACTCGGTGATTTCAGCTCTTGTATGTTCGTTCTCTATGACGTCATCACCTGTCTCGTTTTCATTGCGCTTCTGTTGAGAATCTTGTTGAATATTAATATCTTCGTCACTTCCATGATAGTCAACCACCTTCTCCAAAGAAAAGTTCCTCGGAATCGATACAGATGCAGCAAAGACATTTTTCCGGGTTTGTTTCCAATTTAACAGTTGATCAATATACTGCGGACTGGTAGTGTTCATTGCTTGACTATGACCAAACATGACTAAGTTGGCAATAACAATGCCATACTCTGTACGAACCAACTCCTTGTTTTCTTCTTCCTGTATTTTCTTGGTTAGCTTATAAGCTTTTTCAATGTACCTTGATGATTCTTCGTATTTGCCCTAAAAATTTCGACAATAAGGATAAGGAACTCAGATCTAATAAAATTAATAAAACTAACTAAAGATAAAATTACTTGAAACTTTGCCTGTTTTTAAACATTAGGTAATAACGACTATTCGGAGAGTGACGGAGGAAGGGTAAATGTACACTGGAATCTAACCGGAGTGCCTCTGGACGCTTTACAATAATATGCAAAAAAGTTTAGTTTAGTAAAGACATAGTTTTACCAAGGTGTTTAGCATTTCGCCAATGGCGGAACATGCTCTCTGTTGTTCTCTAAAATCACCAGATTTCTCAGACAGTTCCACAAAAGATTCCAAATTTTTTACGGCAGAATCGATGTCCATTTGTCTGAAAGATGAAAAAGACGGTTTTGATCATTTGGAGGAATGACAAACGTTAATAGTGAACACTTTGCAAATACACTGGATTCATCAATTCAGTTTATTCTAAATTACTTCATTCTTAGTTTTGCAAGTTTAGTTTTTTCTCATGTGTCATTAATCTGCTCTTGTTATACTATCGTGCATGGCCGAAGATACTGTGGAGGATGAACATTTAATTTATACTTGCTTTTCATAAGATTTAGCCAATGCTCGGTGTGCTTTACCCATTCCAGTTAGATCATCACTTTCTTGACATAGATTTAAATATTCGTTGTAATACTGAACAGAATAATAAGGAGATGTTTTAATAAATGCTTCAGTGTTTTATGATGACCTTGCAATTACTATAGCAAGACAAAAATATATACCAGTAAAGCGGTTTTGGGGTCAGCGTTGTCCAGATAGGCACAGCCAAGTATGTAACTTGCGTCACCCCGTTTCTGAATATTATCACCTATGGAGAGGCAAAACTACATCACGTGAGTGAACACTAACACTATGAACTGTTGCACTACATCTAAGATCAATCAATCCACCATTCGGTTTTCACTGTAAAATTTATGACGAATGGGTAATTTTGACTTGGATGAAGCGTCATGCACCGGCATATTACTAACAATGTAAGAAATCGTTCAAACGCTGACCAATTGTAAATGAGGCCTTATGAAGAATCTTATGAATATAAATTTTGGCAGAGAATCATGTAGACAATCAAAGACGCTGCGCATGCTTGAATACGAAAGTTTAGTATTCACTTGTGTTACACGCAATACTGAAAGATTGGATTCAAACGTACCTTCTTTGGAAACTTTGTAAGCTTTCAAAAGGTAATCGATACTTTCCGAAGAATCTAAGTCTTTTACCTAAAATTTTGTAATACATCAATAAAAAATATAAGACCTATACTGTAACACTGCACGGGCCAATTGGAGGCCTGCCATAGTTTACGCAAAAACGAGGCTAGACAGATTTTTTCCCACCGAATTTCAAATAATTTTGTTTAATTTGATTACACGAAAATAAGAGGATTTTTAAATTCTTCAAGTAGAAAAACTGACTAGCCTTGTTTTCACGGGACGTGCATGGAAGCACATAAGGAAAAATACCTATATTCTTATATTCTTATACTATACCTTTGTTGATAATGTAGTGTAGACACTTTGAAGACTTTCACACGCCAATGAAAAGAGAGTCCTGTCACTGTCTTCCATTTTCCATAAACGGCCATTAGTCAAAGAATAGAAATTCTCAAAGCACTCCATTGCTTTAACGTAATATCCTATCAAAAGTAAAAATCAATATAATCGGTATCCCGGCCTAATGTTGCACAATTTTTTATGATAAACAGTGATAATTATCCGATACAGACTAAAAACGAACTGTTAAATTTAAATACAGCGCATAAAATAATCGTCAATGGCATCTACTTTCTATGTGCACAGTCCGTAGTGATGACAATTATCAACCCATCCAACACTCTAGTTCCATGCACGCACACATGAAGAGAGGTTTGGAAAAGGGAAACAAGAAATTAGAAGCAAACCTTGTTTCTCAAAAGCCACACCCATATTGAAGTTAGCCTCGGCTTCCTTTCGTCTTCCATCACCTCGAACTTTAATACTTGCCTCCAAACACAGTTTGTAAAAATGATTGGAAAATGAAATGTCATCATGCTTTTCAAAATACGTTGCTAGCTTCAGATAACAACTGTAAACTGCGTCCATTTTACCTAGAATATGACGATGGTAAGTTCCTTTACTTGGAAATAGACGTTTTCCAAGAAGTTTTCGTTTTTCAGGGCCCTTGCCATGCAAATGCTCTAAAGTTCATTCAGAAGTTCGCATATTCACCTAATGCATGGTCCAGCGCAAATACAGAAATGATGAGCATTCATGCAGGTTTGCAAACTTAGGGCAGATTTGGTTAAAATCTAATGGTAAATATACAGGTTGAAATAATTTTATTAAAACCTGGAACGTATTGAAAACTGGGCGTGTTCCTCGAGTCACATTGGCCTCAGGAGAATAAAGTGAATCAGCTAGGCGTAAAATAGAGGCAAAAATGACCTATACCTTAATATTTCACGATGGCGATAACTAACAAAGTGTAAATAACGCGCGGTTTCTCAATTGAGTCCATAGCTTGACAATCAATCTATCTTTCCAATAATTTCACAAGTTGTATACCAGATAAAAACAAACCTACCTCTGCGTTTTGCAGCCTCAGCTTCCGTCAAATGCACTTTCATTTGTTCAAGTTTCTGTGGTTGATCTTGAACTAAAGGTTGATCCTGCAAACCAGAGTCTGGGCCTAACCTCTCTTGTTCTTCTTTCTCTTTTTTCAATAAATTAAATAATTCACAGAACGAATGATGAAAGCCATCTTTCAACATATCCAAGCACAGGTTATGCATGTAGGAATTTCGGTATCTGTATTATATTGAGAGAAATCGCAGCTATTAAAAATCATTGCCATTGAGTATAATGTTTAGATGTTGCATGCATGATCTGAAGAACTGTAATCAAATCATGCATTATCTGCACATCAATGTAAAACAATATTGGTTTACTTTGCTTAATTCTAAATGAATATGCATGAACTATATAGAAGTATATTTAGGTTAAGAATGCGATTGTAGCGGTATGGATAGAGAAGTAATGTTGTATTAATCTTAGAATATTCTGTGCGCGGTCAGTTAAGCACTGAAAAAAACTTTTAAAATTACACGACACCCCGCTAATCCTGATCGACTCGTTCACCACTCCGCTATGTCAACGCAGTCAAAATACCTTTCCGTATCTATTTTTGCGTTAGTGGAGTTTTCATCCTTTGCTAAATCCCGTTTTCCTTTGGTGTTTGATCTTTTCTTGGTTACCATGACACCAAGTTTAGGTGGCGATGGCAGTTGATTTAAAACTTGTTGTGTCACATGACCACCCACACCTGACAGAGATGGTAGACGAGCCACAGACGCCATGTTATTTACAGTATACCTGAATTAACCTAGAAGTGCAAAGAAATACTTAACCTCAGTATGACAAACAGAGTGCGTGCTGCATGTTTTTGTATGAAGAAAAACACAAATATGTTATTTATTATGCTATATTGTTTAACTACAGGAAGAAACATGCTCCATCAACATCTGATCTTGTAAACTAAAAAAATAAAAAAAAACAATTTGCGGTGTTATTTCAACTTTATCAAAGATTTGTTTGGGAGTGACTTTTAAATAAAGTCGAAATATCACCGCAAATTGTGTTATTTTATAAAACTCATATATATCATGAGTTTATAAGATGTTGTTTTTTCGAGAATGTTTCTTCCTTTATTTCATCAAATAAATTATACACTCGTGACAATTTGCAAAGGCCGAGTTTGGAACATCGATAAGTTGGTTTTATTTATATTTCAGGAAGATACTGAACCAACCTCGTTTCCAGGGTATTCGCTCTGCTTCCCAGCATTAATGAGATGCAGTGTTCTCGAAATACCGTGGCGTCATTTTAATTCGTCATGTTATAATTACGGCGAGTAACTTAAAACCACTTATTTTATATGACTTTGTCAATCAATGTAGTTCTATCATTATTGCTAAATGCTTCACATATGTGCACGGTGAAATATGTGCTTGGAGTGAGGTACACCTCGCAGACAACTTGGTTTTTTAACGCCTTTGTGACGCACTTTAAATTCTCAATATATAAATTATCCTTTCCGAAACCACTATTATCACACTATTACATCACACTTCCACAGGAAACCAAAGAAACAGTAAGTGCACAGCGGTACATCGCTGATACCAATCAAGGAAAACCCCGCATGAAGTGTTGACTATCTTTTCATCGAGGACTAGGCAATGAGCCACATGCAATAAGAAGAGAAAAGAGCTTTGATTTAAATGATCAAATTTGAAAGGTTGCAAAATGTTAGGTGCTTGGATCGGATATAGTTCACCTTTAACGACTTTGTGCGATCGAAACTGCGCACGCAGCGTTTCATTTCATCTCAGGCAGTGCCAGGAGGATGCAGTTCACAAGTCAGTTGTAGAAAAAGGTTGTAAAGGGTGAAATACAGAGTTCTGGTTAATTGACTTAAGTTAAGTTAATCAGTTTTGAAGAAAATTTTGTTGTGTGCGAGCAGAAGTTGTTCAGTACTATTCTAGGCCAAAATGTGGCAAAAAACATTTCCGCGCGTGATAAAAAAATAATCCAAATTTGCGAGGCCTTTGCAATGATGCACTCACATGTAGGCGGCACACGAGACAATATGCATTGACCAGCATGCTCTATTTAAACTGCTTCAAGTTTTGTTCACAGTACTTATATACTCACAAAAATAGCATTCATTAATATGATTATTATTTTTACTATGGCTCCTACTGTGCATTTTGGAAGCCAGGGGAGAATAGAGCTATAGTCATGCAAACATAGAATATTCTATTAGCATTGCCTGACTTAATTGTACCAAAAGGCTTTGCAACCGTTATATCTCGTTTTTGAAGTATATTTAATTATCACAGTTATGGTGTGCGATGTAATTATAAATTCTTTACGATTTTCCAAGTATTCAAATGTCTTGCTACTCTTCAGTCACTCACCTAATGTACAGTAAATAAGTTCCAAGTGCTAGAATAAGATATCCTCTTAAGTTTGTAAAGGGTAGAGAATTTCAAAATCATAATTTATATATAATACTTTATTTATGTGAATTAACTCAATATCATGTACTGTGCAGAAAGTGGGCATAAGTGAATTGAAGAATTAAGGTGTTGCATATCACCCACTACTTGTCAATTCTGTATAATAATCTACTTGTCTATAATAATATATTGATAATTTTTCCACTAGACTACTCACTACCACCATTTCATGTGGGCCTTGTGGGGTAAAATACCTTGGGAAAATCATGTATTAGCAATACCACTGAATATAATACTGTACCTTTAAGAATTCTACTTTTACTCTATATTCTTGCTACAATACGATTTTTAACATAGAGCAAAGAAATTTGTCTATAAATCAGGTTGTTATAAAAGGAAACTTTCGCCATTTTGATGTGCCATTTCGTTGTTATGACAACAACCTTACGATATTTTACGATAGTAGACCGAATTTTTTACGATATTTTACGACATTTTACGATATTTTACGTTCTTCGAACACGTCACATCATACGAGAGAATATAGCTCTCTGATTGGTGGATTTTTTTCCTGATGTAGTAAAAATATCATTGAACATGGCTGCCAGTTGATATAAATTTGTTGTTGCTTTCTCAAACTTGGTTAATTCCCTTTCAAAATGGAAAGCGTAAAAGATGAAATTGGTGAACGTTCGAGCTTACCAAACGACAATGAATTTGGACTTGATGGTTTTTTTGGACTTGATGGTAAGTACAGACTATATAATCGACTACAAACAGGAACCTTTTGCAATATAAAGTCAGTATATTAAATTTACAGCTCTTTCAAATATTTTAATATGTTACCATAATTGATATTTTCAGGTTATATTTTTTGTTACTGTAATGTTTGTTTTATTTTAATAGTTTACTTTTTAAGACTGACGTAAAAGAGCAATCCGCTCGTTTCCTAGTTTATTGCATAGGTACATCTGTCATACCGTACGTACACTACTGTACAGTACTTGCATTGAACAGTTTGAACAATTATGGCTACTGTATAGTACATACCGTATACTGCAATTCCAACTGACACTTGAAAAGTGCTATGAACTGGATATACCAAAATATAATTGTTAATATAAAGTAGAAGAATAAAATTCCAATACAAATTTTTCATTTCTGGCAAAGGCAGAATCATCATTTACAATATGCAGCTGCATGAGAATCATATTCCAATTGTTATGAGGTTTTATCCATGTTGGGCCATGGAGCTGTAGTAGGCTGTAATACTGGGTCTAAAACAGAATATTAATGTTCATGAAGATGAAATCAACAACCACAAATATTCCCCTCCGATTTATATATTGCTAGTAGTTCAGTGTGTTGCGATGTCTTAGCACATTTGTAAATACTAATTAGGGAAAACACCTTCTCAGCTAATTTGCACTAAGAGGTGCAATATGAACATTGTGAACCAATTTTAGTAAGTTTGTTATATATTATGGAAGATTTTTTACTTTTTAGTCATAGTCAGTCAATGTTGAACTTTTTCTCTACTTATTTTGGATATTTTTGGAGCCGAAATCAAAACAATAGATAATTAGTTTCTGTAGGTTCAAAATACACCCACACAAATTAGGATCCTGTGGATTTGCCTTGTTTTCTATGATTAATCAGGCAAATACATAGTTAAGCATATATGTATTTGAATAATGTTTGAGCCGTGAAATTGTCACCTGTGTTTCCTGTCATGCAGTATCATATAGATCCTTTCAGAATGTAATTTGGGATAGTGTATATGCCTAGTAGAACTATGCCATACCAACAACAAACTAATTGTAAATGTCATGTACTAAATACATAACAAGCCCAAGTTGAAAAAAAAAATTTTTTGCATAACAATATTCCTCAGTCCTGTTTTCATAAAATAACTTATGAATTAGTCATGTAGTTTTGGACAAATTATAACATGTCTATATTATTGTCTCGTTTTATGATTTTCAACTAATATTTTTCATTAATACCTTTTTATTTTTTATTATAGGAATTGATTTTCCACCAGATTTGGAAAATATGTTTATGGATATCAACATTACACCTTTTGAAAATCCCAGTTCTTTTGAAAATTTGCCGCCAGCAGCACCTCTAATCCTACCATCCAATCCATCTACAAGCTCCCAGAGTGTGCCAAATTTGCTGATTCGTGATGTCTCTTCAATATCAAATGTCAAAGAAGAACCAGGAGGAAAATCAACACTAAGAGAATTATTAAAAAGACCCATAAATCCACTTCCAAGTGTGATCAAGCCTTCAAGTTGTCCACCTAAAACAAGCAATTCCCAGTTACCAGAACAAACCCAGTTTGTTGTTCCTAATCCCATCTCACAGACTGTCCCAATTCAACCTGCAATTTCTGCACCATCCCAAAAGCTTGTTATTTCACCTCAACCTGCACCTACTTTGCAAATTTATCCAATTTATCCAACATCTGCTGAAGAGTCGAGCCTAAATCCTCCAAATCTTTTGATGATACCTAGGTACTGATACAATTTTTTCTTTCTTCTTGTAATTATAAGAGAAATAATTGAAGCTAGTCATGTGATTCAGGTGCACTGCAGAGCAAGCTTCTAAAGATGAACATATAAGAAAGTTTATAAATTCCAGTGTATAATTATATAATTAACCCTTATCCACACTATATGCCATTACACCACCATTTGTCGGACAGCAAGGTGGTCGTAAATGCTTTTTGGCAACCATACTCCTTGTAGCCAACACTATATAGATGCTTCATACTCACCCTAGCAGTTAAAAGTAGATGCTCTTGGGGTATTAATAATTAGTATTGACTTTTTTTTAGCCATTCAACTACCCAAGTCATATCACCTCCTGTATCACAACAGTATACAATTGCACAACCTCAGGTATGTGATCTTCACAATGAAACTCATTTGTCAAAAATTCACATTCCAGTGCAGTGGATCATGTTTCTCATATTGTGGTATCCCCATCTATCCCCATATTACACTCTCCATGCTATGTGTATATTTGTGTAATGTTTTTACATAGTGAAACTATAATCTAAACTTGTAGATACCTGTAATATTGAATCCCCAGACAACTTCTGCCCAACCTCAAATCAAACTAGTGATTGATCCTCAGCATCTGCAACCAGTGGTCTCGGCAGTGAGCAATGGTACTGTTGGAGCACCAAGAGTTGAAAGACACCGGGCACATAATGCTATTGAAAAGAAGTACAGAACTAGTATCAATGACAAGATTAAAGATCTAAAAAACCTTCTTTTTGGTTCAGATGCCAAGGTAAAGTGTTTCATTAATCCTAAGAAGCCATAATTATGCCGTCTGACGTCTGGCCGGAAAGGTCTCTCTCTGTGTTGAGTTTTGCCAGCCAATTCCCAGGTGTCCAATATCACATTAAGATGATGTAGTTACCTCAACAACAAATTTAAAAACTGTATGGTTTTGGCCATGGTACCACAAGTTTCCACCATGCTTCTCAGCCACCTAACACATCCGCTTCATTGGCTAAAACTTTTAATATGTTTTAAACATTATAAATATTGTGAAGATAGTTGCTATACAATATAATTGAAACAATTCTATTACATGGACATTTAGATTCAAAAATCTGGTGTATTAAAAAAGGCCATTGACCATATTCGACAGTTACGAAATAGCAACAGTCGTCTGAGACAAGAAAATGCATCATTCAAAATAAAACTGCAACAAATGGGTTTGTAGCATATTTCTAAACTACACTTTTTTATATCTCAAGTTGTTCAAGATCATGTTCCCTGATCTTGCCAATATTAAACAATAAATAATCATTGTCTATAACATCTTTGACATTTCTTAAGGTATGTTGAACTGTATGAAGGGAGATGATACAGAGTCTGTTAGCTCAGTTGAAGGGCTTCCCGATCCTCTAACACCTGAAAGTTTAATGGATCTGACGTCTCCAGGCAGCAGCTCTAGTTGCCCCTCGTCGCCTGACGATTCATTGCGGACAGAAAATGTTCCGATGTTTGATAGAACTCGCCTCGCCATGTGCGTTTTCATGATGTCCTTCTTCATTTTTGATCCCTTCAACTTCATTTTCTCATGGCAGCAAGGTAAGATGTTTTGTATTGCTTTTTAGTTTTTACTCCATCCATTCCCCTAACCAGAATGATGTTTCTAATACGTAGCCGTGACCAAAAAGCTTTGCACGAACTAATGTGAACTAATTATTTGATAATTATTCTGACAATGAATTTGAACTGTATTTTGTTCCAATTTTCTTGTTACCCATGTTATTTCTAGTTGTTAGGGCCTATTAGCCAACCAGAATATTCTCTGCCATAAGTTGTTACTCATGAGGGGTGTGCATGAAGAGTGTTTTCAATGAACTTCTTAATGTGTGTGACAGAAGATGCATTCTTCTCCATCTCTTGCAGATTTCATGACACGAAGTAGCGGATCAACTGAACATAATGGACGTCTTCTTTTGGCGGCAGATTCATTGGAGATGCCATACCAGTCGAAGTTTTCGTATTTTACCTACTTGCTTTGTCTGTTTTTCAGATTATTTGCAATCTTATTTATATTTCTGAAGTTGTTTGTTTTCGGCGAACCATCGTTACGACCCGATTCTAAGATTGCAGGAAAATACTGGGCCTTCAGACGACGAGCAGACCTGACTCTACAAAAGGTAGGTGCATCTTAAGTTTTTGTTCTCCACTAGGCGAATGCAAAGCGATCATCATGCAGGCAAATGATTACCGATGAATATCGTATACTATATTAGTCCCGACAGTTTAAAATGGCCAGCGTGCAGTGTCAGGTTTTAGGTTGCTAAAAGAAACGGATTCTTCAGGCGAAATTAGACACTGTGGCGTGAGGCCTTGCATGGATCAAGGGTTTCTCACAACGGATGCCCTGGTTTAGGTCGTAGTTTAAACAAAGATTATATTTCTTCTAGGGTGAATATATTGAGAGTAGCAAAGTTCTTGGAAGATGTCTTGAAATATTGGGTCGACCACTTCCTACATCTCGCTTAGATATGACATCTAGTCTGTTATGGAATACTTTCAGACAAATTGTTCACCGTCTGTTAGTCACAAGATGGTTGACGGCTAAAACTGCACAATGGTTTTCATTACGAAGCATTGATAAAAAAGATTTAGATTATCGCCAGGAATCCGCCAAACAAGCTGCTTTGGTTTACCATCAACTTCATCAGCTCCATGTCACAGGTATCATGCATGTACATATTTCTTGTAGTTTTTGTACCCAAATAACCACCTTAATGCCACTATTAAAGCATATCACATTATCTTCACACACAAGTGCACATAATTCTGCTATCATAACCGTTTATTTTACCTAATTATTCAATACGTTAACTTGTTGATTATTTTTTAACAGGGCATGTTCCCAGCAATTCATGTTTGGCTGCAGTTGTTGCTCTTAGTGCTGTTAATATGGCGGATATGGCTGATAGCAGTCTGGATGAAGAAATCCGAGTTGATATATACATCGATTGTGCAATACAGTTTAGGTCAACATTTCCTAAGAATTTGAAGTTCATTGCAGTACGTATCGACTTATTTATTTGTGGCATTTTAAGACCATTCAGTGTACTGGACTATCGCAAAATATTTGTAGAACGAATTAGAATTATATCAACTTTTTTTTCACATTTCAGCGATATTTCCTAAGTCGCGCTCGCAAATTGTGTCATGGTCGAAGTTTGACATTACCGTATTCATGCTGGTGGTTGTTCACTCCTGTTGGTCATCGTTTCTTTGTCAGTGGAGAGTGGAGTTGCAAGAGAGAGACGCACATCTGGAGTAGTTCAAGAATCAACGGTTAGCTGATTCTTCAAAATCAGTATATAGCTATACTATCCCTCGCTGTATTATGCAGGCCTGCCTTTTTCGCATCTTATTCACGCGTACTATATTCTTTCTTTAATAATTGTTCAGTATTTATTTTCTCTCTGTTAGATAACAAACCACTAGCGACTGTTACTCAAAAGTTTTGTGAATTTTTACTGGAACAAGCGATGTCAGCTTTGCTGTTGTCAAAAGATCACAATGAGTATATTGCCAATACTTGGAATCCTGAGGGAAATTCAGGCAGTAATCGTGCGCTTGATTTATTACATACAATGACAGAATGCGTTAGTAACTCCAGAAAATCTGGTATCAACAGGTGAGCTTAAGTTAGTACACTTGAAAGTTTTACGAAGTTAAAACGTTGAAATATTCCTCCCCGAAAATTTTCAAAATTTTCTATATATTCTTATCTTTGTGACGTGTATAATATGTCATATATAATAATTTTGATAATCCATTTAGAAACGTGAAAGTGTTTGGTGACATAAAAACATGGCCGTCTGAAGAACCTGACCTTGTCGGATGTTGGTGGGCTGCATTGGGTAAAGTTGCTGCGTATTGGTTGCTGGGAGACATTGATAATGCCCAACAACAATACAAGATTATTGAAAATATCCCAGATGAAATTGAAAATAATGAGTAAGTATACAGAATATTATATTCCTTAGAAAAGAATACAACAGCCAGATGATTGCATCTTACAATAATTGTTCTTAGGAATCATATGTACATGATATAAAGATATTTTTCTTGTGTTTCTCCTTCGCAAGTTCTATAATGACTGGCGTAATAAACCGTAGTCTTGCTTTCTAATTGAGCTCGCATTGATAAAGAGATGCTTGTATGCAAATACTCATTGCTTAGATGTTCTCGACCTATCCATCCAGTGCCTGAATAGGTCTATGGATGGTGATTTACTTTTAGTTTTAATATTTTAAATGTAGTGATCCACTTGGTGCAGCTCTGTTGATGGCATTTCGTGCGCGATCACGCATGTTAGAGAATACTGGCAAGGGTCTTGATGGTATTCATGAGATTGTCGAGTATTGTGACAAAGGTGGAGCTCTTTTAAAAGAAAGTCTCGCGTTTTCATCTCTTTATCCTCAGAATGATTTACTCAAAGTAAGTAAATTAGAAACTGGCGTTTTAGATGTTGTAAGACCTCAGGAACCCGATAAGTGAATTTAGTTAAAAATATTCTCTTGACAGTATTTTCAAGCAGCACAAGGCGTTCAAGGTGACAAGCAGCGTAACGTTCAATACTGTTTTTTTTTTATTTTTAGTTGATGCACTTGCTTTGTTGTGATTGGCTTCTTTCGACCCGCGCTGAAATTTGGGAGAAAGAAAAACTCGCTGGCAACCAAATTTCACCTGTGGTTAGCAGATTGAATGGTTTTAACAAAGATTTGAGAAGTTTACAGAACGTTTCTTCCTATATCCCGGACGCTATTTCCAAGGTTTGTAATTCTAGAAAGTTTTTCCTACTAGGAGTTCTCATTTACGACAGCAGTTCATCTGTGGAATTTTTCAATGTGACAATAAGAATGCCAATCAAGTGATATTGTTAAAGTTCAAAAGTGCATATAGTATGTAGCTACCAAACCAGTTTTCCAATCTTGGAGTATCGGAAACGAAACTCTTCGAATTTAAATTCGGCAAGCTCATTTCTTTCGCTCATTTGAGTAAATGCAATAATTATCCTCATATTTCAGGTGTTCATGTACCAAGCAGCATGTAGACTGATGGCTGAAGCAAATCCTATGGAAACACAAAGATTATTACAGAGAAGTATCATGCAGCAACCATGTGGAAGCGTTGGAGAAAAACCACAAAGTACGTACACACAGCTGCGTGCGTCTTGTAATGAAAATACTATTGCGCACAGTTGCAATAATCTTAATTTGCATCTCTCGTATTTACTCGATTATTTATCACATTTTAGAAACTGATTCAGAATGCAGTTTTTCAGCAGAGAAAGATCGAGGAAATGCGTTGATGTTGGCCAGCAGTCACCTTCCTAAGTCATTATATTCAAGCAACGCTGAACGTAAAGGTATGCTCTTGGAAGCAGTCGAGGTTTTTCAGAAATTTGGAGAAAAAGATCGCATCGCGCGATGTCGAAAACTTGTCACGAGTTTTTGATAATGTAAAATAAAGCTCATAGTGGGCTACTATTAGAGGTCCGATATCATAAAGTGGGAATTTTACGTCTGTTTCCACTAGGCGAATTTATATGCGCGACGCGAAAATTACCGTCGAGGTAGCGTGAATTATTTTCATTGCATGGACAATTTTTCACGAACCAGATGCATCGCGCTAATAAATTATTCTAGTGAAGAACAGGCTGTATTTAGCTAATGAATATGGACGGCACAACGACTGCTTAAACACGCCTCTTTAAATTTAAAAGAATTTTCCAGAAAACTTGTTGTTTACATATACTGTAAGAAGTTTAGAAAAACAATGGCTAACATTTGTGGTGGGTTGAAGGCAATTTGATTTGTCTGAACACTTCACCGACGAGTTTCTTTAAGGCCGATCTACACGATGCGATTAGTCGCATACGATTCGTATGCTGGCGTATGTATTCGAATAAATGCGTGTAAAGATGTCACATTTTAAATTTCCTTATAAACTGATGAACAGACAGAGTGACGTTACCAATCTTTTTCATACGTCAGGATAAGAATCGTATACGACTAATCGCATCGTGTAGATCGGCCTTTATATTTTTGTGTTAACAGCTGTCGTTTGTTGTCTGCATGTTCAGGTAGAAAGTCGTATTTGTGTATGCATGTATATTGAAGGACCGTATTTTAATAGATTGACAAAACTCGTTTGTCTGTACCAGAATTTAATTTTATAGAAAGTTGTGCATGTATTATTATTGGTTGTAAATAGTAACTTGGAATATATAAACTAATGGTATATCACATCACATAGCATGCATGGTTCAACATGGTAAGTTTCTGAAACACAAACTCATGCAGACAATATCTTTGTATTGTAAATCTGCGGAATGATATGTCTATATATGTTATTTACCGGATTGGAGGTCCGTATATAGGAAGGAAAATATTTCCCTAGGTCTCAAAAACGGCGTTTTTGTGACCGAGTAAAAATATTAAAATTGAAAATCATAGTGTATTGTTCAGATTACACATCGTTGAAATAAATGTGCGTTTAAAACGTTCCATCAAAAACTCGCTTATTCTTTATGTTATTTACAATGGTGGTAAGAGGCAATGTAAGCTATGAGACTCCGAACTCGCAATGGACGAAAACCACCTGACGCATATAGTTGACAGCGTTTAATCAAGGGAGGCCAAGTAAAACATTTGTAAATTGTGTTCATTTTAATAATTTGGAGAGATATGGCCAGTGCTCCTTTGGACGTTTTCCAAGTCATCACTCAAATATTTCGGCAGAGAGTGGTGGAATACTTATACTGAATGTGATGAATTGCTTGCAAGTGAGTGGAATTCAAAGAGTAGATATAACATGAAATACGGGCCTATTACTGACAGTTTTAAGGTTGTAATTAATATCTGAACATACGAAAGTTTCAAATGTGTTTTAAAATGATATATCTACTGGAATGAGAGCTGCAAATATTCTTTATTGAAGGCAAAGCATTTATAAACCACTATAAATATGATTACAGACATCGAAATGTCAGTTTATACGCAGAAGTGCTTCTTTGTGCGTAACCACTCGTGTCCAAATTTAATCTATTTACACCGTTGCATGATAAAAGCCAGTTTATTTGGACATCTGATCTGTCCTTTCTACTCCAGAAGTTAAGAGAAGAGCATTATAAAGATCGTTGTTCTATTGTGAGGTGCTTTTGTTTTCATACGGCTTTTGTTTTCATCCACATTTTCTGCAGTTACCTAAAACATCGAAACCACAGTGAGAATAATGGATTAATATAGTTTCATGCATCAACTACATTATTGTACGCCATGAGGATGAACTGTTTTAAATGATAACGTTCACTTAGATTGCCGCTTTTTACCAAATTGCCTATACAGGGTGTATCAGAAAAAACTAGAAGATTTTAAAACTGTTCAGAAAACTATCATTTTATCAGGATATCTCAAAAATATATTTACGTCTAAGTATTTTAGCATCTTCTGGCTTATCTAAGAGTAAAAACTAGCAGAAAAATTAACCTCGAAAAGCGGGGGAACGGTTTGTAAAAGCCTCATTTTTAACCGCTTGTGCAAAGAAAATGAGACTTTGAAAATCCAAGTTTAGTTAAAGAGGTGAAAGTTTGGAATCTTTTGTGCAATGTATCGCAATTTTAAAAAATTTGATAAACATTAGGTCCGCCGCGAAACGTTTCAAAATTGGATTTTTCCCCCGTTTACTCCGCTCTCTCGTAACTTTTTACACGCAAGAATGATTACATGCATGAGTGATAGTTGGAATGACGTGCTTAAACATAACTAACAATGAATACTCTTGTTTTATTGTTTTCATTTAACAAAGAGTGCTCGTAATTACGTCATTCCAACTATCACTCATGCATGTAATCATTCTTGCGTGTAAAAAGTTACGAGAGAGCGGAGTAAACGGGGAAAAAAATCCAATGTTGAAACGTTTCGCGGCGGACCTAATGTTTATCAATTTTTTTGAAATTGCGATACATTGCACAAAAGATTCCAAACTTTCACCTCTTTAACTGAACTTGGATTTTCAACATCTCATTTTCTTTGCACAAGCGGTTAAAAATGAGGCTTTTACAAACCGTTCTCCCGCTTTTCGAGGCCAATTTTTCTGCTAGTTTTTACTCTTAGATAAGCCAGAAGATGCTAAAATACTTAAACGTAAATATATTTTTGAGATATCTTGATAAAATGATAGTTTTCTGAACATTTTAAAATCTTCTAGTTTTTTTTGATACACCCTGTATATTGTGTTGTAAACTCACAAACGAAGACAAAGAGCGATGGCATATTATGCAAAGATATATCGGAATTTCGCGGATCCACCAAGAGGCCATACGCAAAGATAAGGAATATGGAACCACTTGAGGATATAGGCAAGGTAAAAATTAAGCATGAGAAAACTAAAACGCACTGCTACAGTACTGACAGCATATGGTCAGGGCGAATTGATCACAAAGAAAGGTGCGAAGCCAAAGCGTATTTTGAACAGCGCAATAATGGATCATGAGTAAAAAGAATTTCATTGAGGTTAATATTTGCAAAGGGCCAAAAACAAAGACAATGCGTTTAAGATGTCGTCACAAAGGCTTAGAGGCGTATAAAAAGATAATATATGTACCAGTCCATGATCATGCATGTAACAGCGTGTTGAGTACGATTATATCGAAGCAGCAACTTCATATTAAACAAAGATTTTAAAACTAGCCTTTCTTGTTCACAATTGCAGAGGATGTTCCTGGATTACACCATCATTTTCGTAAACTGCTTTAGCAATCGACAACATTCTTTGGTCGTTTGTCAGGTCTGTTGCGTTGTTTAATGTTCGTAAAGTTCTGCTCACTCTGCGAGATGCCTGCAAGAGATTTTAGCAGAAGAGTTTAGCACAAGAACACTAGCCATTAAAGAAAGGTAGAGATTATATTAAACGTGAGCAACTTCAATATTGAATAACTGACGAACCTATCTCACGATACTTGAATATATTTCGAAGTTTAGAACAGGACATGTACTGATTGATGTACAGCATTTATGAAAACGCATATAAAACATTGTGTCTGATTAATATTTTAATATTGACGGATGAATCGGGATGATATATTTGAGTGTGAAGTGTTTAATACAGCCAAGGGTGTTATTAAAAAGGTCTTAAAACAAATATGTTTATATAGCCCTGTTCGCGCTAACCTCGTCACAGAAGAATTTCGTCATGGTAGCCTCGTGTTGAGCATTTGGTATATTCTTCGATAACGATCGCGATGCTCTAAATAAAGTGAGAGAATTTTCGAGAGATGTCATACTCCGAAAAAGCATATTTATGAAAGAATAGAATCTATGGTAAGTAAAAACTGGCGACTTTTTTATGCAAACTGCCGCTGCCATAGCGGGAGTAATTTTGACGGAAGTCACGTAAATCCGGCATGTTCTCTTTCCGAAAACAATATAGAGTACATGCATGACAAACGCTTTCTTGCGTCACAATGCACGTCATTACAGTCAGACTGCATGGTATACACAAAAAGCAATCGCACACCTGGAAATAACTGCAGCCATGCCATAGAGATCAATTGCAGCATCTGCGAGACGTTTTAGTTTAAACTGTTCGTCTACAAAGAATAAACAAATGCGTCTTATATAGACAGAAAGGAGAAAAACAAATTTAATAGAGACGACATTTATGACCCACCAACTATTTTCTTTCCATGTTTGACAAGAAGATTTTCTACAGCTGCCCCAAAATCACCAATGCATTTTGAACACTGAAGAAAAATATTGCGCGTTTCATGCAAGTATTCGGGAACAAGGAATATCGTGTGCGTGTCCAATTATAAAATGTGTAATAACGTCGTACTTTAAATAACTGAAATACCTGTCGCGCACATTCGCCTAATTCAGAATGAACATGATCATTTATTGACGGTCCTGAATCAACCCCCATCGCTCTAAAGCATAAAAATACATACACATGCATTACCTTGTTATCACGAAGGGCACATGCAGTATATTTAACACCATTTTAAGAAGTATATCAATTAATAACATGCACAATTTAAAGAGAAAGTTTGAGCAAGATCTACTGACTCGTGGCTTCATTACCACAACCAACCTCTGCGTTCTTTTCATCCCCTCAGACAGCACAACATTGAGATTACCAAATGGATTTTGTAATGATTTTTGAAGCTCTTTAAGATTTTTTCCTGCGTCCTAACGTTATAAACCATTGCACGCAATTAGCAGAATATCAGCTCAACTACTATCGAAATATAACTCACGCAAAATTAGAAATTTTACAATGGAATATCATCCACATTCACTCACTTGCATTCCTGTCAAACAAACAAACAACCTTAAAATATCATTTGTGCCTTCAAAAATACGGAATATTCTTAAATCACGCATGACTCTTTCAATCCCACAATCCTACAAACGATTACAAAGAAAACAACATAAATGATAAAATTTACTGCAGCTTCGCTTTAGTTGATCGAAAACACTAAAATACCTTCATATAACCCATTCCACCGTATATCTACAAAATAACAGAAAACGAGAGATCATTAGCATCAAATGTTGACATCAAAGATGAAAATCGCGTGGCAAATGAGATCTCATACACTTTACACGAACCTGAATGCATTCATCAGCCACCCACCAACATGCTTCCTGAAATAAAAAATATTTTAAATTTAAAAAAAGCTCAAGGAGCCCCTCCCTGAAACCAAAATGATTCCTTACCGAAGCAAACACTTTACTTATAGCAGCCTCGATTTGAAATTCAGGAGCGCCACGATCCATATTTGCACTGAGCATATACGCCATCGACTAAAAACATTCTTGATTAACACGTTGTTTCTCGGGATGGCTTAGAACGGGGCATATACGTAATAAGTATAACAACAAAACGAAGGGAATTGGCTCGAAACCTTAGGCAGACAGGTTTTCGGGTAATATTACTTGAAACAGAATAATAATAAGAAATAATTTCGGGCTGCACATGAGTGAATAGAAAAAGTACCTCAGTGACGTATTGAAGGACACTCATTCTCGCAATCTTTTCTTGAATTGTTCCATATTGAGATATTTTGTCCCCAAATTGAGTTCTGTTCACTGCAAAATCAGTCTACCAAGGAAAACATATTTATGTTTATAGCAATTTGCAGTTTGACTCGTAGCTACGATAATAAAGTATTAATCTTACAGCTTTTGCGATTAAAGCTTTCATTGTTCCGGATAATGCTGCAGCCATTCCAAAACGACCATTGTTAAGAATATGCATCGCCACTTTGAATCCCTCTCCAATTTCTTAAAATAACGAGATATTAAATAACCTAAATGCATGCATATATATGCCATACTGTATATCAAATCACCACAACTGAAAGTTCCCTACTAAACTGACTGTAAGACTGTAGAAAAAATAGTATCCTCCTCGATTTTAAACTATTTTTACTGTACCTCCAAGAACGTTTTCAGCAGGAATTTTTACTTCATCGAAGTGGACCTAAAACGGAAACAAGACGTTGACCAATTTTGCAGCTATAGTTAGAAGTTGACAACTTTCTATAATACCAGTCATTAACTAGTCAGTTTCACTGGTTCGAATGTATAAAAATCATCCTCAACATGCACATATGCAGAGTAAACAATAAGACAAATTCAGTTGAATTGCACGAAAGCAAAAACTGATTATGGAATACGTCATCATCACAGTATATCGTACCTCAGCTGTGTTAGATGCTTTGATCCCCATCTTCGTTTCAGGAGGTCCACTTTAAGAATACAGTATTATTATTTCAGAACCATTTCAAAGACAGAGTGATAAATACCGTAACTTAAATAACTTATCTCAAAGTCAACATACCTTGTAACTCCTTCAAAATTTCTCTCCACGATAAAGCTGGTGATTTTTTCCTTCATTTCTCCCGTTTTTCCATCTGCCACCATTGTCTACAAACAATATTGGGAAACGTTGTATAGCAAACTAGAAAGACCATCGCTGTGCGCATCAATGCATGACTTGTACAGCAATGATTCTATATATAAGATCATTTTGCGTATTTTTGTAGTATTTCAAATATAACGTATTCATGCATTTCTTCACTGAAGTGACTACAATCAGCTAGCTGGAACCCAAGCATGCATATAGCCTACTACACCTTTGCAAAAACAGTAAATATATCTGCAATCCCACCATTACTGATCCTAAAAAAGAAGGAACAATATTAAATTTCACCTGCATGCATGCATGTGTATAGTTTCTTATTAAAGTAACAGATTTATTCAGTTTTTAAATTTCATACTTCCTAATAATGTTGACTCTTACCAAAGTTTTCCACCATTCAGAGTCCAATATTTCCCATCTTCAGACAACACTGCTTGACTTCTTATGGACTAAATGATAAAATAAGTTTACTACATGTAATTTGGCTCTACAAAGTTACAACTGATGACATTCTATACGGCCAACATTAAAAACTTACTCATTCATTTCTCGTCAAATGATGGCTACATGAATGGCTCTCGACAAATATCGCTCAATCAAAATGAACTTACCGCAGCATCTGATCCACTTGTTGGTTCCGTTAAGCAAAATGCTGCAATGGTTTCACCAGAAGCCAACTATAAAAATAAAAGATCGATTCATTCTTATTTCAAGACGTTTTATGGATGTCATGACGCATGTGACACACTTTGCACTCACTTTGGGTAGATATTTCTTCTTTTGCTCCTTAAAGAAAAAGTACAGAAGATACAGTCGTAATAAACTAGAACTAATAATATTCTTGAATGTTTGCATAGTGACATCAATAAGTAACTTAGCTTGTAGGTACACCATGCACGTAAGTATTTAATACTGCAAAGCTTTCGGTCCGTTAACCGGGGCCTTCATCAATTGCACTGATAGCTTAGCTAAGTTACTTAAACTATATAGAACCAGTTTTCACTACTTAAAAGCTGATGCATGTATGTATGGAGACAGAAACTAGCATGACTAGGCTGTTATTTAGAAAACTATATATCAATTCAATATTAGTAAAGCAACCGTAATGGATAACTTTAATGCCAAAAAGTTAATGTTCTAAAAGTAGAAAGTAATGTGATGCATGTATATCTCTAAAGTTCATTACCTCATTGCCAACTAAAAGAATCCCTTTAAAACCGATGGATTGATGAGCACCAAGCGTTATACCAACGCCGAGATCATGAGAACCAACAATTTCAACTAACCGGGAATACTAAAGAAACGAACATCATATGAGCACCATTGAAGTCCAGTGGGGATCATAGATTCATAGTAGGTAGCAATGTTTTATGCTCGTGCGATATGTATGTTCCCCAAATGAGTAGTTCAGTTTTTAGAATTCATGCATGTTCAAATACTTTCAGATGATTCACGAGGTTATAAGATGGACACTTATGTATTATTCCGAGGAAAAATCAAAACTATTTCTTCACAGTGTAATAGAAACCACAAAAGAGTCAATATAGGGGGTATCCATATGTCGCTAACAGGAAATACCCATAAATACATAACAAACGCTGCATGTCATCAAGGAATTTTTCAACCGGCTGAAACTACACATCCTAATTTTTGCTTACTGAGGTATTACTGAGACCTAAACCACCAAGTTCTTCAGGAACCTAAAACAACATGAAAACTTAACTTTAATTTTCTAAGTAAGAAAATAATACATACATGTGTAATATAAGAGCATGAATTACAGACCTGTAATCCAAATGCGCCCATTTCCTTAAGTCCCGCCATTGTTTCATCATCCACTTTCTCAATCGCATCATTCTTTGCTGGATCATTGCATTCCTGTAACGAATACGGCATTTACTGTAATACTCTTCGAATCAAAGATCCATAAACATATTCAACAGCGTGCATGAGTATATATGAATAATATGATTGTATATTTACCTCAAAGAACTTTCTAGTAGGGTCAACCAAACCTTCCAGAGTTTCACGTTGTTCTTCTGTCAAAACTAGAATGAAATTATAACATTTGCTTCAACATGAAAGCATGTAATTCTGCGGTGTATTAATTAAAACTTAGCATGTTTAAATATCATGAGAATATACCAGCCCTCGCATGAAATGTTGAGTCAGACAACAAGGCCCAGGTTATACGTCGCATCATTTTGTTCGCGTCGAATGCAATTCAAACAATAGATAATGAGGTGGTAAACCTCATTAAGCCTCATTAGCATCTCGTTATCTATTGTTCGAATTGCATTCGACGCAACCAATATGCGACGTATAACTAAATTGGGCCTAAGGCTAAGTGTTACCTTCTGGATAGGGAAATACTTCGTCAGTTCGTGCCTCACCACTAAACAATCCCATGGCGAAGGATTGCGAGTCCTGTATAAAATATTACCATTATTAATTATTATTAAAATATTGACAGTGTATTTCGTATACCACAAAAGCTATAACAACCTATTTGGTGAACCAATCATCTATATTGATCATGTTGTATTAAGTACATAAAAGTCGCGCACAAAATAAATCATAAATATTTCAAGAATGATCATTTCTCTCATTTCATATAAAATTTTGAGTAATTCTCTTATTTTATGCAGAACTTAGAATTATAATTTCGCGCGTCTCTAAGAACGGGGACAAATGATCTGACGTCATGATCGAAGATCATTTAGATCAGCGGGAAAGTGAAAGATTTCAATGAATGATGAAGGAGGCTCTAGCCTTTAGGAAGGTTTTTAAATCATGAGGCATTGTGAAATGTTTGCTGAGAGATACAGTATGCAGAGGGAAATCTTTCGCTTGTTTTTTTTTTCCATTTGGGGTTATTCAAGTAGCTAAAAACGCTACGTACGGGACGTCAAATCAATGCCCACAATGGAAATTCAAGTGAAAAATTTCGTTCGATCGAAGAATCTGCCTACTAAGTGGAAACCCGTCACTGCTTTACCCATGAAGATCAAATTGGCGATTGCTGTGATGGAAAGGTTTAAATTTCGAAAGCGTGAATACAACTTTTGATTTATGGGTGACCGGTAAACGAAGTCTAGAACTGAATGACTCTGTGTCTGTGAGTCGCTTTTTGCGTAAGCTGTGTTGAGATTTTAGGAGTTTTTAGGAGTTGGAATTTCTTCTTAGTTTTGTACTCTTTAAAAGTTGGAACAACTAGATAATATAACAATAGGATGTACTTTATCTAATGTAAAATTTGAAGATTTAATGATTCACCTCAATTAATTATGTAGGTAACAATTGTCATTCATAATTGTCAATGACAAGCTGAGAAAAAATCACTAAATATTTTTTGGTCAATGCAGTTTGTATGTAATGAGTTAGATGGAATCTCTGTGTAGGCAGTTCTCTGGATGACTATTATGTAGTGCCTCTGCGTTTCTGGCAAAACCCTAGAGGAATTTGTATTTTGGGCTCAACTCTGATCAATTCTGCTCATTCCAGGAATTTTTAGAATATTGCATTTAGCAAATTGCGTTGTAGCTTTAATTTAAACATAAACTCTCGATTTATTAATATATAATACCCTCAGATAGCATTATCCTACATATGCTGGGATATTCACCATGTTCAGGAGCAATTTAGTTTAACAAAGAAGCAAAAGGAATCGGCAAGGTTTTCTTACAAACAAAATCGCTTCTAAGCAGAGCAATATCGCAACTCAAAGTCGCTTGATAATCAACTACCGTCACGCATTGCATGCTCAAAAGCTAAAAGGGGAAAGGTCTATTGAATTCATCTTAATAATAGGCTACAGTTTGCTAATTTGAAATTTGTGTCTTATACTAAATTTTAATATGAATTGACAACATTTACTTTTTTAATTTTATAACCTTTTTATATAAATTCAAGACCTAGCTCCAATGTACTTCTATAGTCTATATACGATACATGGTCTATATATGATAACAATATTATGGTACTATTTAGCAAGATCACCCTGGGCTCATTGTCAGCTATGAAGACCATCCAAATATAAAACATTTTTGTGCAGTAAGCACAAATCCTGAATATGACATTGTGTTACTGTTATGTTTTATTCAAAGTCCAAAGGTCAATACTCAAAGAGTTTACACTTTGAAAGATTGTTATATATACTAACATTAGAGAGGTTTTTGTGTCTAATTAACCAAAGTTAGCTTAATATTAGTATTTAAGAATAAAGATATGAAATGAGAGCTACACATATGTATGTAACGCTCTATTTCAGAAACCTTGGCTATATTTTATAAGTACTCTGTACTCACACGTTGTGATGTGGCAATGTGTCGTCGTCTCTCTTGATTTGTTACTGCTATCGCAGGAAATCTACTCAGGAGAAATAAATTATTCAATCAGACTTCCCTACGCTATGATGTTGCCAAGCCCAAGTGTTATGAGCCTATGAAAGTCATCTTGTATCATCATTTTGTAATTTGTATCAAATTCAAACCAAATCCAAAATAGTCGATAAAGATATATACATATTTTACCTCGTTATAGGAATTCTCGCCTTTTTAACATGGTTCATTGAAATTCTATAAATTGTCCGTGAAAACATGGTTTTCTTTCTTACAGTATAAAATAAACAATTAAATAAACTCAACGAGTTGATAGTGAAGAGTATTTCCAGAAGTGAATGGCTGACATAACATTGGCTGCGATCATAACATTGATTACGTCATAACATTAATGTGAGACAAGCTTTGACGACGGGGAGTTGGGAGTGAGACCTGCCTACTTTCATCCCACGCAGCAACGTTGCTCCTGTTTTCAATTTGACTTCAGTTTTGAGGGGAGAATTCTGATTATCCTAAGACGCTGTCTCGTATTTTAATACGAGATCAGAATAGCAAAAACGAGAACAATAAATATAACCATGGACATGGACATAATAGGGTGAATGCGAGGGAGGGTTGACACCCCAGCTTTTCAAAATTTTTAATGATCTGTACATGTTTCAGCCTCCAGATTTACATTTCTCTTGCCTACTGCGAAAGCGTCTGCACTTCGTCAAAATTAAGGCAAGCGAAATGGAAAAGCTTAATATTACTTACCCTGTCACAGTGCATGGTTGGTCAGGGTACACAACTGCCAGGAAAAATGGTTGACCAGTCATTCTGCTAAAATGGTTCCTAATCAAACTACTTTAGATAGATATTATCCCAACCTCATTTCCAGGGCATTGTTATTATCCGTGGGAATATCGAAAACACATAATCGGTGAATGAATGGGATTTAGGCAAGGAATTAAGACACCCTATGCAAAAAAAATTAAGATTTTGTCCCCTATTTCAAATTTTGGCCCTGTTACCTTGCATGGTAATCTCTCTGAATCTACAAGCTTGTTAGACTAATATGGCGTTTATTATTACAAATCTTTATTTCATTATTCTATATTCCAGCAAATATGCAGCATTGTAAATTCATTTTGCAAAAACCAAATGCGCTTTTGTACATTGTTAGGATGGCGTGCGCCGGCTTACACTAGATAGCATTTGATACTGGTATATAGTCTTAGAAATGTGCCATTTATAGTGTGTACAACATTTGCTACACTGGGTGGAAAATCTGAGGACGTCTCTCCAACTTTCTCAGTCAACTTTGAATTCGCCTTCACTGGAGACAACAAGAGAAACATTCCAACATGAGGAGTATTTTGACGATAATCTATTTCATCGCACTCTTTTTCCACTGATTATTCCTAACAAATGGTTGCCATCGGGATTAAAACCATTCACAATAGGAGACTAATATAAGCAGGTGGGGGTGAATGTTTCTGGATCTTCAGTGTAACCTATAATGAAAAATAAAGAACGTAAGAGACTTCACACTTTTTAGATAGGACCTTAGTGTTTCAGCAGCAGGCAGCAACAGAGTCCTTTCTAACTATTTTTTAATCAAATGTAGCATATAAGCCTTAGCCAAACATAGGACAACAAAATTAGGACGATCATAAAAAAATTCGCTGGTTTACTAAGTATTCACAATTCTCTAGAGCATTGTATACCTCTACAGATCCAGGAATTGCTCCCAATATAACATTAACATTGTCTGTATTTATCTCCAAGCCATTCAATGCTAAAATACTATCACCTAAAAGAAAAACCTCATTATAACTTTATGATTCCATAAATCTTTAGCTATACTACAGCATGCTTTCGAAGGAATTGGCAAAAATTAACGTATTGCATGGGCGATACGGGGTGTTTATTGACATATACTGTATATGGATAGTCCATCACATTGCACAGTTTGGACTGCATGCTTCAACGAGTTAGAGGACTGCCATAAATAATGTAAAACATGCACACAGCAGCCAGCAGGCATCATACGGGAAGTACCTAGTAAAAATACCTACTTGCATGTGACACCGCAGAAATTGGTGTTTAAGACGTTTCAACCCGAAAATCTAATCGCTGGTTCACAATTGTGCATTTCTGTATCGCCCTATCAAAGAGAAACCTTTTGAATATCTTAAAAAAGTTCAATTTTTCTTCTGAATACGCATTCTGCAATCTTTTGACAGCTTATCATACACATCTGACCGCTGTGAAATGGCCATTTTGAGGCTTAAAGTATACACAAGGTTATTAATTCAGACGATTCGTTTTTACCGTGAGCAAGCTTCAAATCTTTTGTGCAAGACATATTTTCTTGAATATTTATAAATCTTTTTCCTCACCAAGTTTGAAGTCTAAGTATCGAGAATTGCGGCTAAGCCTATACCAATTTCCGCGGTGTCCTTGCATGTACCTATATACCAAAAGTACGCATTTGCAGTAAGCGATAGCTAAAGCTACCGCTTTTGTATACATTAGTAGTAGTTTCTTCATGGGTTAGATAAAGAACTTTTTAATGCAAATTCGGCTTAACTGAATAGGTTATAGGTGGCTATCGAAATAAGGTAAACAGTGATTTTATTAGACTAAGTTTGAGGTGCCTTACTTAATCTTACTTAGAGTAAAAACGCAGTAAAAGTATAAATGGCCATAAAACACCGCTAAAATCTTTTTGTAAACAATTTTATCGAACAGGCTATTATTTGGTCAATATATATTATAATAATTGGGGTACAATTTTCCCCCGTATAAGAGATGGTATCTTCAAACAATTAAGATTTAAATAGCATACATACATGCTGTAGAAATGTACAGTCTGAATACTTACCAATCTTCAGTTGGTGAGATCTGATAGCAGGTCCAGTGGGTGTAAAACCAGCAATAACAATTCTTGAATCTCGTCCGTATTCATGAGTAAAACTAAGTTCATCTCTGTCATTTGCGGTTACAGACTTGAGTGGAATAATGCCCAGCACACTTTCCAAATCATCTCTTTTATAGGGACCAATCCTCGGTGGATGAACACGTAATTTTACCTCAAACTTCATGTCTTTTTCTTTACCAGCTCTATCTTGATCTTGATTAGGATTATCTCTTTGTGATATACCAATATCCGTCTTCTTTGTCTTCTTCATTTGTGATATAAAATCCAGCAATTTATTTCCAGTAAGTCGCTTATCTTTTATCACTTGACCGCCATTTTGTTGATATTGTTCAGATGTTTGTTTTTGTTGAGCAGTTAAATGTCCTGTATTTGGATCATCAACGTACTGTTCAACGTAAAATAAGTCTCCCTTGTCTTGTATTTCGGATACCCATGGAGCCTTTTCATAGCTAGAGAAAATTACATGCATGGTAATTTATTATCAAATAAAGAAAATATAAAAACAATCAGTAAATTATTTCAGGTTTAATTATCCTAATATCTCAAACACGGACCTGTTGATAACAATGTTCACTATATTATAGACTAGAGTTCCATGAAAATAACCATCGAGTTTAATAATATTTGTTATAAATTAATCGACAATGTTTTACGGTCATGTTCAAAGGCAGGCAGGTTTTATGAAAGAACACTTCCGCAGCGATGCATGCAAGAGAATGCATGTTTGCAAAACATCTTCAGTTGAACTTTGCTTCATCGTATTTTCTCTTTCAAAGATTTTTTCGGTTACACGTCAATTACGATCGATATGGTCTTATGGAATGTTAAATGGAAGTCCATCTAAAATGGAAGGGTATCTTTGCCCCCTTGCCACTGCTCGTAAAAGGCGGGCAGGAAAGACACACTGCCCCTCGTGTTGTTGCATCTAAACGTCCTGTAACACTACTTTCCGCGAATAGTCAAAATGGTTGTAAACTGATGCTCCCTGCAGGAGAGTTAGTGTTTGTATAAGTCATACTGCAGATCTTCCAGTGGAGCCAGAGCGTTCTGCAGAGAACATGTAATGATCCTCTCAGTCTCATGCATGCTTCACATTCCTCATGATGAAATGTTGGTGGATGACAAATTGGCATCTCTGAAGGTTGATTTATTTACCTTCTTGAAAGGTGATTTTTTATTTGGTGAAGCTCTTTTTTTCGTAAACGTTTCTTTGGTGGTGGCCAACGAGAAACGTCACTCTTGCATATTCTCTCAGACATACTTCAAAGCTCACTTGCTTCGGCTTGCTTCGGCTTGCTTCGGCTTGTCTCCGGATTCTTAAATGATAAAAATTTTAGTGAGCTAGGTTTCATTTCATTAGCATCAAGATATTTCCTGCCTCAGTAGCTGCATCTGTTTTCAGCTAGTATACGTATTTTTTATCTTAATTGTCAGTAATTAATAAGTGTACTTGCTCGTGAGAAGTAACTAGTGTGGTCAATTCTCTGAAAAGTTGTTTGGTTAGTCTTTCAATAAGCAAAGCGACACAAGAATGAAACCATTTTTGTTATAGAATTTTCTATAGCTTGTTCACGTTTTTAGTTAATTACGCTGGATTTCCACTTTCTAAGAAATGATTTGCTAGCGAAATATTTGCATATTTTCTTTGATATGAGAGCAATCAAGCCGAACTAATTTGAAAAGAAAATATGAAATATTTCACTAGCAAACTCTTTCTCTGCAAGTGGAAATCCACCCTTAGGGATATTTTGGACTTTCTATACCGCGTGTCTAAAAAAAAGAGCCCTCATTAATTTCTTTTCCTCTCGATTGGGGCCAAAATAAAATACTCAACTCAAGGATCGATGTAACTGAAATGAAAGAGCGTCTCACTAATCGCCATCGTATTTTTGATTAAAATGAAAATAATTTAATCAGTGTAGACAAAGGCAGAATTGTGGATATTGTAATTGGGGCATGAACGAAACAGAGGTATGCAACTATGACGGGAAAAATCCAGCGGTATATAAGGCAAATCGTTGTTTATTTTAGTTGCCATAAAGTGACCACCTTATGATAATTGATTGCTACAGCGCAGTCAGTAGAATTAAGCCAGTTTTAATCGTTTGTTTGAGAGTATTTTGTTATGTAGACGCCCTCTTTCGACCTTCTACTGAAATCCTGTTATTGCAATACAATACGTTAAACTCAATCAATCGTTCTGTATCGAGCTCCACATCAACTATAGTTGTATGAATGTCACGCAATGTCGGTGTAATACCGTATAAACGTAATATACGTATAAACCTATCTACAGTATTTCATTCATAATTTATATCCTATGTGTATGTTATTGCACAAAATTGAGCGTTTTTGGACTGCGGCCAAAATCACGCACGCCACTACTGATATGCACTCGGCAAGCATGCACAGCATTCGTGTTCACAAGTCACAAGAGAATATAATATATTGGTTACAAAGCCTAGATCATTTCTAGTATGACTATGAATCTCTCTAGACGTTATAAACAATTCTATTTCGAGACATTTTAAAAATGTTTCATTGTATTGCAAAATATAGAAAAAATCTGAAGCTGTCAATTTTAACCTAAATATAAAGACTGTCGTAAGTTTTTCAGTCAAGGTGTTTAAAGATCTATTCAATTAAGATATTAAAGACAACCTTTGAGATCTTAAAAGATCCCACCCTCTGACCTTTTAAAGCAATATTTTTTTTTGTAAAACAAATTTTGAAGTGTTTTATCTCATGCATCCCATACCTATCCATCATGCAAATTCATTCTTTTTTTCCATCAGTGCATGGGCTGTTTCGACTGAAGGACCCTCTAAGATGTGTCTTGGTTACAGTTAAGCCGTCGATACTGTCCTATTGTGCTTTTTTTTTGCAACGAAAATTTTATTTAATTTACTGGTGTATACCGAGGCATAATTATATGACAATTAAAAATGAGACAGCAATAAATCAAAGTGATTTACTATGCCGGGGTACATGCACTTAATTTCATTCTTCAGTTTTCACACTGCCATGCACCAGGAATCCTATATTGATATAAAAAAAATATTGTATTGGAATATTGTAAGATTGTATGGAATATGTCTCTCGTCAGTATCGGCCAACGCGACTGATATCATCAAACACTTGCTAAACTCATCTCAGCACGACACCCTGTTTTTAGAGGTATTAATGCAACTCGTGCTGTTGCACGAACATTTGAAAAAAGCGTTGAATAAGAAAATTTTGGAGAATTATTTAAACGTTTTACAATTTAAATGCAAATGTCGTGTAAATACCCTCAGAAACATTCGAAAACGTGAAGCATTACTGCTTGGTGGAAAACTGAAACCTTTATAAGTCTCACATCACGTTGATATTCTGTTGTTATGTGAGCTTCTTGCAGAGGAGAAGTCAGACAGCTAGCAAGTTATTTTTTATAGCAATAACAACGTGTGAAGGTAGAACGAAGGAAAATTCAGAGGTGTCAGTGGTCTGTACCTTTTCAATGTGTTTCTAAGTGAATCGGGATTAAATGATCAATTAGGAGAACATCTGAGCATATCAATATCATAGATTACCAAACGACCAGATGGCTATAGGGTCTTTTGCCACACGGCGTGCATATGAAAATTTCGTGAAATCAGCCTGGGTTAGCTGGGTCTGCTGGGATAGCCTGGCTCATAGAAACAGACCCACTTTTGTCCAGGGATTTATAAAATCGATCAATAACAGATGGTATATGCATGAGTAAATTTTGATATTTCAGAAATTTGTTTTAATCTTTACATTCTTTGAGAAATGTGATCGTCGGCTTCTTAAGAAATGTACCTGACAAAAACCATCCGCTGGATAACAGCTATATATGACCTTACATGACGTGCAAGAAAGTTAAGAAACGCGTGTACATCTTATAAGGAATACATCAAATTTGAGACCAAGGATAAATTAAAAAAACAAAGCGATTTTTAAAGAATATAGCTATAAATTTCCCATAAATATATTATTAGCTGTACATATATAATGCAAGCATGTATAGATCTTTGAGCATGACTTTATCTTTTTTACGTACACTGAAAAATATAGGTGAATTGAGCTTTTCCCAATCCGTTAAAATAATTATTCTAGAAATATATTCTTCCAGGGCGGAGCGACGTAAAATTGGCTCGCGTACAAAATCACGAAGCCTAATCGGCAATCTCCATAAATGCATGACGTTATAGTTTGTTATTCTCTTTATCAACTGTCAAAAACTTCTTAAAACTTAATCGAGGTTATAGGTCTCTCACACGGTGGCACCAAACTCATCTACTTCTGCGGCATCGCCTTTATGTGATTTATGTAAGTGCGCATTTTTGCAATTCATATTAGATATGATTGACTTTTCCCCGTCTTATAAATACAATCCAACGTACGATTACCAATGGAAAGTTCTTAACCAAAAGTTAATCTTAGTAAAGTAATTAGTTAATCTTGTAAAAAAACCCTTTTAAATTCCCATGCATGTATTAACACGAAAATTCAATTTCATGGCTATTAAAGACTGTCTACTTTTTTGATACACCTACAGAATGAGGTTATACCCTATTGACAGCAAACATAATTTTTGCATTCTTTTGCATAAATGGTATTAATACTAAAAATAGTGAAATTCCTGTCAAGTGATGAAAAAATAAGAAAGAATCTAAAAGGACAAACATGTCGTTAAAGGACGAAAAACACAGAAATTTAACTAGGAAAAAATTGAGATATTTTGGTGCAAAAGGACCTAGCTATACTAATTCTGATTTAGTTCACTACATTCAGTGAACCGTAGTCGTGTGTCAGCAAAGATTGGTAAATTAGTTTCATAGCAGGTGCTCTGACTTTGCGACGTGAAGCTAGCTTTGAAATTCTTGTCTCCTGCACGCGCCATATAGGCTTTAACAATAGTTTTTAACAGAATTCGTTGAGGTGAACATATGCGATTAATTTTCACAATTATTTTTGATGGAACTCGTTAAAACGTATCATTCAACAGGTGAGGTCTTAATTTGAGTGGAATTTTCTTCAAATTTCATTCAGGAACAGAACAGTTGAGAAAAATAATCAACGGGTTCCTGTCTCGAAATCGAATTGCGCATAAACAAGTAGTTCAACTCGAAATTAAGACTGGTATCCATCTAGAAATTATTTCTCATCAAGTGCTGCAAAATCATAATTCAACAGGTAACATATCTTAATCATTAATTAATTTCCAAATATTACCTTACCGCTCGTAAGTGCTCTAGACTAAAGTTAAGCCTGGTATAATCTATATACTATAAAGCATTATTTGAAGAAGTCAAATTGTTATACACTTGTCTCAGTCTAACGTATTAGAAAGGATAATCGATCTGTACAAATATAGCAATAACCGGACTCGAAGATGCGACCCTCTCAAAAGCCATCTTAATTAGCCACAACCAGATGCTGTGAGGACTATCAGTGAACAGTGCCTCTTGAATATGCACTGGCAAGAGCGGAAGATTCGGTAAAAGATTGTAAAATCAATTAAGCATTTTGGACTATAGCGGACAAACCATTCTCTCCATTACAATAAAATTTCTAGAAGAGTCTGTCTGAAAAATAATCCAGAGTGCGTCACTCTTCGGATAATATAAGCTTCGAAGCTCGATAATAAGCCTTTTTGGCGAGAGTGGAAAATCTTATTTCTAAGACTGAAGCTGTCTGGTTCTTTAGATCCATACATTCGATCTACATTATAGGAGTTAGAATTTCGTACATGAAAATGATCAAATCAATTAATCAAACAATTAAGAAGATCGAGCTGTTTACATGCATGATCCTGCTTAGCCAGGAATTTAACGAAGCGTGAAATTAGTAAAGCAGTCGTCATAAAGTTATCCCGACATACACCATAAAATGTGCTTGTTTGGTTTCATAATTCATAAAGTCTTATTTCAATATCTCAAAATCATTCCAGGCTTTGTTGAATCTCGGGTAACCGAGCTCATGCAAGCACATACTGAATTGTTAAAACTGCCACTGAATACTGAATTGTTAAAACTGTATTTGCTTTTTACGGCAGTGCAGCCGTACATACCAAACTGCTTCGAAAAGCACTATTATCTGAACTTGCCGAGAAACTTCTGACGGCTAACTGACGTGTCTAGTACTGTCTAAAGTAAAAAGATTCTCAGTAGCATGGCTACTCAAACAATACCACAATGACCTATATAGCTTTTGTAGTTTCTAACATGAAATTGCATGTGGTGCATGGTCAGGCAATGTGAAGATCCAACACTTTAAAAACATGAGTCTTGTTTCTCTTGTTGAAAAGTGTAAAGAATGACAGTGATGATATGGGGAGATAATGAATAATGACCTCCGTCAGATCTTATCCCAACTTGCCAAAATCCTGAAAGATTAAGCTTCAGTTATATATATAGATCTCAAATTTGGTTACCATGTAGTATGCGTTTGGGTTACAAAAACGCGAGATTCATTAACATAGCGTTAATAATGACTATAAAATAACAGAATGATAGGACTGTTTTGGTGTATGAGCATGAAAAAAGATTATCCTTAAAACAGAACCAAGATGCAGAATTTTTCTATTCTCATTCGATCGGAATGTCCAAATACTATTCTATACTTATCATCTCGACTCTCGAAAATGCATGCATGATGCATTAGCTGTCTAATTGTCCTTCGATGTGAATTAAATAAAGAGGGCTTAATTCACGATCAGACTTGGAGAATATTGCCTGCCACCGTGGGATGTTATATGTCGTCGCAGCAACCCCAACGAACGAATGATGAATACAATCTGACCTTGTTAAATTCTCTGATTCTTGAAATTTTTACTCATTCCATGCGCATTAGGGGAGCCGTATGTTCCTCAGTATTGTACTCAGTATGTTCCTCAGTGTGTTCCTCAGTATGTTCCTCAGTATGTTCCTCAGTAAGAATAACTCCTGAGTGAGACTATTTTGCATGCATGATAGTTGTTTGCAAGGATAAAAGAAATTATTGCTAAAATGTTGATATATATTCGTGTTCATCTCTGATCAACTCTTATGCATGCTCTAGCTTTACTTAGCTAACTGTAAAGGAAATTGGAGAATTGTCTAGCAGATTTATGACACATATACCTTCTCACTAAATGATCACACGGTAAGAAGTCACAACTCACAAACATTTTTTATCTACATCCCAATTTGTATGTCGATTTTTAAGAAATGACTTCTATGTAAACGTTAAGTAATGAAGTAAACAGCAATATTTCTTGACAATAAGAGGCTGTTTGGAATTTGTTGCAATCGCAGAATGAAAAACTAAGTCTATCCAGGTACTAACAATTGCAATTTATGCCTAGAACATGTTGTTTCCATGACTCCATCCTCCTTTTTAAAACGTTGTTTATAGACAAATGTGATGAAAACATTATGAAAAGAATAAAATTTGAAGTTGGATGCATGGGTGGGAACTAAAATATAATTCAACGAATATTTTGAAAGTAGAATTACCTAATTACCTGCTTCGAGATTTCTGTCTATTAAAGGCTATTGCTGGAAGAAGAGAGAAAAGTGTTCAAAACCTTCCATTCCTTGTTCAGCAGGTTATAGATGGTCGAATGTTATTTCCGCCTGTATGTAAACCATTCCATATGAGGCTGATGTCATGGCGCTAATAGCACTGAAATGAATATGATCGTTCACAGGTTCATAGGTATTGCGAGAACAACTGACTCACACCTTGCTTTCAATAAATAACTGACGTATTTCCGACAGCTTAATGACAGATTAACTGGCGATCGTCACTCGTGATGCACCACGTATACATTTTGGAAATTTGGTTGAAACCGACATACGCAAAATTACCACAACATGCATGCCTGTACTTATGACATGCGTGGCACTTCGCGCTGTTCAATCAAAAGGGTTTTTTCCTATTTTGTATGCTTTAAAATTGAGTGATTTGTGCTAAAACGTTATTGTACAATATGCAGTTTGTCTTAGAAAAGTGATAATGTAACTGAAATATTGGAAAAATACGTGACCAGTGATCACGCTCTATTATTAGCGCATTATTGCTGACTTAAATTAAGAACAGCTTTACTACCCTCAAGCAATCCATAAATTATGTTGACACGTTAAACATTAGATGTACTTCAGTTTGAACAATTACAATTACAGACGATTTAGTCAGTGACCCGGCTTCCTTATGGCCGTTCTATTAAAAAAAATAGAATTTAAGCAGGGACAAAAAATGTCCATGGCGCGCATATATTTAGAAAAGTAACCTACAATCAAGGAAACACATTATATGGAATTGTTAGGGATGCAGCAAAACTTTTAAATAAAAAGTGCGAATTCTGAATTCCCAAACCTTAAACGAGAAGCAGAAATACTGTTGCGTTAAATTTTAGGGCCTTATAGCTGTGAGGCGGTTGGCTGCCACCTGGATAGGAAGAAGGGGACGTGGATGCACTAGTGCTATCTAAAGTTCAATTATCCCCGCGTATACCTCAATTATTAAATGAGAGAAACTTTAATAGAATTGATTTGCCCCTCTGGGTTGGGAGTGGTAGAGTCTTTTCTTAAGAATGATGACTGATGAGATCAGAGGTGGTTTGAAAATGAAGGACATGAAGTCATGAACGTACAAACGCACTCAACTTAGATCGATATGTTTCCCGCTGGGGAGATACTTTGGCTCAGCTGAAATACACATGCAATGATTTAATGTAACCACGCGAGAAAAGAACCTGTTTTCATTGAGGTTGGATCAAAAATCGAACATTCACAATAAAATTTTTCCCCACCTGCCAATTAGCCCCAAAAACGCGTAAAAAAGAGCCTTGCGCATTGCCTTCTGCAAAGCTGTCAACACTTGTTTTCATTACCTCATCCATTTGCTTACGTAAGCGACAGGATTTAAAGCAAAATCTTTCAAACAATGATTTTGTCGCCTGAAGGAGGCTCTTCAGAACTCATTCGCTTACGATATTCAACGACAGAGGGAATATTTCGTGTAATAAAACGTCGCAAAAACTACCGCATCAGAACTCTTTTAACTTTGCGTGCCTTTTATAGTTGGAATAGGTTGATGTTTTTTCTTGCTACTTAAACTGTACTCGGTAAAAGTGAAGAAAAAAAAATCAACCAAAATACGATAAAACTTATAGACCTTAGCGATTACTTCGGTTAATATTTTTATTTTAACCTATCGGTCGAAAATAGTTTTGCTATTTTATGCTTGCCTGAAAAGTAGCTTCAAGCACCTTAACAGAAACTGACATGAGTCATATGAGTACTTGACACGAAAACGAGGCCATTGCGTGAGATGTGAATAAATAGTCATGGAGGTCTTTTGGTTAAGAAGCTGCTGAAAAAAACACGAGAAAATTAAACGTCGCGACGTTGCGACTTATAGGTACCCTGAACAGATACTGATATCAGTAAAAAACAGTAGTAAAAAAGTACATTGCCAGGTATTGAATTATACTTTTGTTTCCTTCTTGATTAGGTAAACATTGACAATAATGGTCAATTTCCAAATGACTATATTGGATCATCTTTCTAAATAGCATTCTGGGTTGCCTAACTGTCCCTTGGCGGTGAGTACACAATTGTTGTAAGTTTATTCATAGACAGACAAAAGAGCTTTGTTACTGAATGCTATTGCTATGGTGTTGAAAGTCAATGACGATACCTTATACCTAAAATGGCTTTTAATTGTTATAAAAAACGTGATCCACGTCATTGTGCGTATTAAATGTCGATTGTGACCGACCGAGAGCTTTTAAAGTTAAAATTTTCCAAATATTTTGGGGTTTTTTTTCCTTTTAATTTTTTTTTGCGTTTAATTTCTCTCAAAGAATATTTAAAAACGACTAATTAAGTATGAGCGAAAAGTGCTGCACTTGGCTTATCAGTGTTTTCAACGAATTAGCTTTTAACCCATCGAAATAAAAAGCGTTTCAAACCAAACATACACACATATAAGAAACTAAATCAGAATATACAAATAGAAGGGAACAGGGATGTCGGCGCTAGACGTAAACCAAAAGGTTTGAAGGTATAGTCAGCTGACTCAGATGGACTACTATATAGCTGAACTGTAAAAAACTTTCAAGTGCGTGACCTATTGTACGAATGCTGGATATAGCGCTATGTCCACGGCGTATAGTGATTTCTGCAACCGATGTAAACACGCCTGAAAGGCAATAAGATTACAGATTTGGAAATAACAGTCACTTAAGAAAACCGCGGAATTTAAAAATACGAGAGTTTATTCCGGATTATACTGAACAACGATTATCCGGTCAGTTAGCGCTATCCGCAGCTTTCGTACAACCAGCCCCTGGCTCTTACACTTAATTGTGTCAAAGAGTTGTTTTACCCAACAAAATGGGTATAACGGCTATATAGACTGCACTTCCCCCCCCCCCGAGTGAGCACAGAGAAAGACCCTGGGTACGAGGTTGTGAAATATAATGATGACAAATTAAAATCAACTCTCATCATTCTCCCCATGACCCTAGTTAGGGAACAATATGAAGGTCATTCTACCTATAGATGTATAATATTTTCAACGGAGGGACTGAAAGAAATGGGAGGTAATCAATTAATAGACAAAACTGGAAACTCGTTCTTTAGTAAGGAGTGGCATATATTTGCATGACGATCATTCAGATTCTTCAATACATGCGAAAATATGTGAAATTCCATTTTTGGTTATTAAAACTATGTTATTATTTTGTTATTGTGTTCATGAAACACACTAACACTAGTAACTACAAAGTACTTTAAAACTACTGAAACATTTTCGTGAACATGTATAGTTCATAGAACTCAAATAGCGATGCTGTTAGGAATACGACCAGGTAAAAGCCATTCATACGGTGTGACCATGCCTTCGTTTCTTTTATTGATTTTTTCTGTAATATTTGCAAGCTCACTCTTGAACTTCGCCAACGCTGCTTGTGCTGAAGCGTCACCAAACAGATTATCAGAATAATCTCCAAGAAATTTCTAGGTTCAAAGTATTGATTGATCATTAGTAAGAAGTGAAAAATAGAAGAAATTAGAAGTAAACGTCACATAAAGATTTCGGAATAAGGTCGGCGTTGTCAGAGACTGTATAGGGGGAGGTAGGGGCATCTGCTTCCCTTGCCTTCTACTGGCAGGAGCAAGAGGCAAATGGCAAATAGCAAAAATACAGCCAACAGCACATCGTCCCATGGAAAAACCCCTGGAAACATTGAAATCAGGAAACAAAGAGAAAAACGATGATTCAAAGTTTAACAACAAACATGCCAGTATGCGTCATTTCAGAAAATCAGGTTCAAAACAAAGAAAATAATGATTTAAAATACCTCAGTGGGATAAATTGTAACCAAAGCATTGACAATGGAAACCAACTGACCAGCCTGGTGTTTATTGGCAAGGGAAGCCATAACAATAGCAAGGTCAGTCTTTCCTTTCTTTGTTGGTGGTGGTTGTCTCATTAAACTAGGAGAGTTAGGATGGTAACCATAGGTGGACATTTGAGAGAAATTGACGGCTGCATGTTGACAGGAACAAGTGAAGATCACCATTGTCAGAAAATGAATTAACTCATCACGCTTGTTGAAAGATTTTGGGACTTTCTTATCCACGTTGTCTGTTCCAGGTTTGTATCCGTTCTCACGAAGATCATGAATCCAGTCTTGAATCTCGTTGTCCTGTAAACACGAACAACTACGATAAATATACTTTTTTCCACAAATTAAGTATAGATTATGAGTTATGAGTGCATGCAAAAATATGAAGAATTCTGTTTCTTGTTGGTAATAAGATTTTAAGTTTTTAACTGTAAGTCTGTAAGTCAACAAATATGTTATTATCATTCATAAATTAAATAATATTGATATTTAAAATTGGAAAACGTTATAGAGGCCATCGCAAAGACTTGAATAATACATTTTATTTATTATCATGTATAATCATACTCACATTTTTCACGGATTTGTCATCTTTATAATAAATATGAATGATGTCTTCCACCAATTGGCGGATAGCTTCCCAGAGAAGCAAAGCATCATCTTTGTAGTAGAATTTTGGTAGATCTTTAACACCTCGCTCAGTAAGATTCTTGACCAGATCATAACTATCAAATGTAACCCTTCTGTAGTGCTTCTGCATCAAGGTAACGTGACCACCACCACCAATACTAAGCACTTTATCAGCAACACCACCTGGAGGAATCAATTCGTTTCGTCCAAGCGTGTTGATGGCCAAAATTCCCTTTGTGTGGGGATACAGAAGCTTCCACACTGGGTGAACTGATGGAAGATTTCGCCAAGAAGATACAGCAGTTGGTTCCATCATTAAATGACAACGAAGAAGATGTGTTATCATCTAAAGTTACAATTAAATTTTATGAATTAGCTTTTGGATTTATCTGAATCGTGGTTTTCAATCACTCTTAAATATACATCGATCACATGATATATGTGTTTATATATAAGGAGCGTGGCCCTGGAACGTAATAAAATTATTATTTTTAAGTCTTAACTAAGTCTTTAATATATTTAAACAAGAATAAAAGACAAGACTAATATGAAAATTTTCCTCCTTCCAGTATTTATCTAAAACAATTATATTCATCTTTAACTTTTTAACTTTTATGCTAAGCTAACATCTTATAGAAACCTCATGCAAGCTCATAATCTGATTATTAAATACTAGTTACGTAATGCAATGCAACGATCAGTTTGTAGATAACGTGGTAATAACCTGGTGATATTGGGTATCAGCGCATCGAAGCCAGAGTTTTGCAAAAATCCAGTCCCAATCGGTGTCTTGCAAAGGTGTCCATATTGGAACTTCCTTGCTGGGCTGTTGACCCAGTTGAATAGCTATAGGTATCAAGTCATCATTATTCTTCAAGTAGAACAACCCCATAGCTGGTGTGATATATCGTTTATCTTTGGGTGTATCCATTGTTGCCACTCCTTCAAGAATTTCGTAGTCAACAATGTAAACGAGGCCTTCCTGTAAAGTAACAAAATGCACCTCAAACTCTACGCACGACATTCACTATTTCATTAGTTTATTAAATTATAACTGACATTACCTTGATGGCCTTATCCAAAGTATAACCCCGATCCAGCAGCTTGTCCACCATTTCATTCTTCACAGGGAAATTTTTTGGGAGTTTTTTACATTTTTTGATCACTTCAGGACTTGAAGCGTTGAGAAATTGTTTACCAAACCACACGTCATCTCTCCAATACTCAGCAGCATGGGGAAGCCCAGAATCGATAGCTTTGGTGATCAAGCTGCGGAAGTCATCAAGAGTATCCCAAGAGTCCCACATCTCCCAAATATGACTCAATCCAAGGTTTTCAAAATCTATCAAACCAACTTTGAAAAGAGAGAACGTGGCTTCATCGGTGAATTGCACGTCTTTTGGAAGTGTCTTGGGTTCTTTGGCTTCAATGAATCCAGGAAGATCTTGATTGTATCTTGAATCTGATCCCCACTTGTACAACTCCCGATTTTCACTCACTTCTTTCTTTCTCTGTTCAGCTATTGCTTTTACATCGTCTTCAGAATTCGGCACAATCGCTAAAATACGTGTTGACAACAAAGTGAAGTGAAATGTTCTAGACGACGAAAGTATCCTCAAGCTAATGTGTGTGTCATCATTTATGTATGTCTAATCTGATACATTATAAAATGACGTTATAATTTCAAAACCAATGTTTCTTCAGTCGAGGGAACTAACATTTGTACATATTATGTATATACTGTACCTTTTCCTGCATAAACAACTAATTGATCAATAACCCAGCGATAACAAGGGAATATGTACTTCTTTTCCTCTGTCTCTTTCTCTATGACAACCTTAGCCACATACCAGTTACTCTTAAAGCCCATTCCATTGTTATTCAAAGAGACCATGATAATGTCACCAACGTCATCGCCACTTACGTCATAGGTATCGGTTTCACCTTGTTCGAAGTCGTTGTGAAAAAACTTGTCCAAAGTAAATTTGGATGTTTCACTTCCATCATTACCTAAAAATATTTTGATTTTATTTTAATTTAATTTTAGTTAAATATGAATGTTTAAAAGAGATTCGCTCTTGTGTTGGTTTATCTTATTTTATCAAAACTGACATAGCGCATGCATGGTCTCCCTCAAATAACGTGGCGATAATGATTAGTAGATATGGAACATTTTACTAGCCATTATTACCAATCAGTTTGATTGAAACACTTGCGTTGGTTCCTGAGCCACGGAGATCCCCGGTTTCGACAGTAATCTTGTATTTCATTGTGGATTTTCTAAAATAACAAATATATTTATGTATATAGAACGTGTAAATTTACTCTCGCAATAATATACTGCGTGTGTTTTTTACTTTTTTTCACACAATGAATCAAAAACCGTAAAAGAACCCCCCCCCTACGAGTCATTGAATCAGCTGTATCGCTAGTCACTAGATTTTTCAAAACGTGTTCGTTTTTCTCTTTGCAAATTAAGTTAAAAGCCATAATAGTCTGGTCGATGCATCTTTGGTTATTGTTGGTACAATGGTACTTTATACTTTTCTTATGCCTCCAAAGCTTGCAAAACAAAGAAACGCCACACGCGAGCCAATAGGTATGCATAATTTGTGGTCCCGCTGACAGCGTTGTCATTCTTACGACGCCTTCAAATGAGGCTTTTCACGGCTTCTCGACGACATTGAAAGCAGCTGCAAAGTGATAGCTGCGGTTTCACGGATAGCTTATACTGAACTTGCAATATCAGTCAGATATCGGTGGTTTTTAGCACAATTGAAACATTTGTATGATTATTTCAAAGGCCTGGCAGCATAATTATACTTTGCAGCAGTTTATTTCAAGCAAAATATTTGACTAGCGACATTGAGCAAACCGCGTGTAGATCGTAAACTCCCAGTTTTTTAAATGAACGACAATGGGGGATGATGAACAGAGGGATGGAAGCTTGTCATTGACAAGGCCTGCAAACGTCACGTCCGCTGGGTGTAAAGGCTAGCAGCCAATCAGTGATGGCCTTCAAAACAACCTGTGGGTAAACGGGCGGCTAAAACGTCCGTGCAGGCAGGTGGGTTTTGGTGGGATGAAACGAGGTGCAGGTGTCTCTGTAGCTAGCGAGCAAGAGTGGCAATTATAGACGTCTTGACAATCTGCTTGCGTAAATTGTGTTGACATCCCGGGCCACTTCATACGTGAGCTTTTGTTTTGGCAATGCCCTCCCTGGACCCTGATGGCCCTGGTGTGCGAGCGTCAGCACTCGATGCTGGATCACAGTGCGACCGTTTTGCCAGAGGCAATGCAGCATGTGAGGAATGTGCTCATGCTGCGATGACAGAAGGACAGGTCAGTAGATGTGTTTCCCAATCACCGGTCTGGAGTGCGGTAAGGGAAAGAGGGAGCTTGTATGATTTTATCGTTTGTTGTCGCGCGTTGTACTTCCTCGAGTCGAGGGTACAAAACCCTGGGTACGAGGTTGAGAGTACAGGCGTTTGGTTAAGACATCGTGATTGTTGCAACCTTAAGTAGTGATCGAAATTATCAGAGAGCGCGACGCATAAGCAACTGGACGAGAGGAATTGTTACACACACACACCGACTTTACCCAAGACTTTGCCGATCAAAAATTGCGATAAAAATCATAAAATCGACCCTCGATCTGACCCTCGACAGAAAACGCGTTAATTGCGTTAATGATCGGCGAATGTTTCTCTCAGGAAACACGAGATATTTAAAAACAACACTCAAGTTCACAACGCCATGTCAGGGAAGTACTTGTGACTTTCTACTTAGGCTGTGTTCATGATGCTTCCAAATGAAATTGAGCGCGGTGCCCAAGACACTACCTCCAGAGCACTATCTCCAGATTTAGTACTCAACAAAATACTGTGCTCACCATATTTTATGATCCAGCCTTACATCTTTCGGTGTTACTTTGAAGTCCATATTTGAAAAGAAATTAGTCGGACGTGAGATGAGATGAGACAAAGACATTCCACGTCCAGTAACGCCCTCTGCATTCAGTGATTACAATTGAACTTAGATGTTTCAAACCATTTCACTGCACGGAATTAACACACCCAGCGTTTTTTTTGCTTAGTTATATCCAATTATTCATCGCTCCCCGCCAATGCATTTCAATGACTACGTGATGCAAACTAACACTAGCGGCAAAGTAAGGTAGTAATATACAGGGTGTTTAAATTATTTTCGCTTAATATTCATGAATATCCGCTTTGATTAGTGTTGCGTTCTTTTGATACGCCCGGTATATGTATGAAATCATTGCTAAATAACACGTTTAATAATCGTAATATAACTAATATTAATATTCGTCTGGCAAGAAAATTGCTACGTGGCGTAGCTCTCCAGCTGTGAAATATATGGATCGTTGTCTCATGCAGCATCGAAAAGATTTATTATATTATTGGCATATGCTGCACACACACAAATGCAGCAAAAGCAATTTGCAAAATGACTGACAGAGAAAATCACTGACGTTAATTCCGCCGTATATATGGATTATGGATATGTTAATTTGACCGTTTTATTACGAAATTTATGTAATGGCTACGAACAACAAGTATCTTGGTTCTTGCATCTACTGTCAATGGTACTAAAGTTTTTACTTAATTGGTACTTACATGTTGAACTTTTCCAAGCGTCTCTCAGGGCGACTACACTAGAGATATTGACTCAACTCTTCTCTCTTATACCTTGCGTGTCAACAACTCAGTGGTTGTGTGTGACGGAAATGTGTATTATATATTGTTTACGGCTGAAAGTCACATGATAAATGGAATGTTAATGATATTGGTATATCGGGTTTTTTCAAACAGCACCTTCAGTAATATCACGCACCCCTCTTTGTGTTTTGTATGTAAATCAACTTCCATTCGTCATTTCCTGGCTGGTATGACGTGAATCACATTTTTATTACACGTACCTCGATACGTACAAGTTGAAAAATGTAATATTTGCTTCCGAATAGGAATTTTATGTCTGTCATCTTGTTTTCTTTTTTCATAATGGGCAACTCTGCCAAAGGGGTGAAGGAACTCTGCTCTGAAGAGATAAAACTTTAGCTGTAGGCCAATAATTGAACAGATGGAACAATTAGATAATTTACAGGGTGCTGTATAAGACACACTCAAACATTTCAAGTTAGTCGCCTAAAGTGAGCTGGCAAGACAAGTCAAACTGTTCTGAAGCAATTTCATTTTGGGGGTTCGGGGGGGGGGGAGGGTGGTTTAATCGTAAATTTTACCCTCACCTATAATGTTGATACAGCTGTGAAAGTTATGTAGCAAAACAATATTGATACAGATGTAAAAGTGATATAGTCAATCAGTTCTGTTAAAATAATAAATATAACGTTATTGTATTAATAAAAATTAAATGACTAGGGGTAATTGTAATCCCTAGCTAAAAATATCCGAAACTCGTGTTTGGCTCTTTCAATTGTAATCAATATTTAAGACCGCAGGAAAATGGCCAGTAACGAGCTGCGGAAATGCAATATCTTTAGGGCGACATTAGTGGAAATAGTACAAAGATTACTCGCGCAAGATGACAGACATAAATGCTTATTAAGTTTACTCCATAGCACAGCATGTGTCTGGGACCCACACTGCTCACTACAGCATTTGCTTTGCGCATGGCCAGAACTCAGTTTCCTGCAGGTTTTGATTATGTCTGATCTCAAAAACCTTATGCAACAATGCTTATTAGTTGCACAAGCATTGCTGGAGATGTTGTACTTGAAGCTTTTTTGTTACACTGTGCATCGTTGCATGCCATATACTGAATATGACTCACCAAACTCCAACATTCCTATCTTAAGGCCCTAAAGCATGTTAGCATCGAAAACGTGATAGCATTTAGCCGTGACGTCACGTTTATTCAGAAACTCTTATTCGCCTGTTTGTGTAGACACGCCCTCATTAATTAAACTGAGTTTGACGTGCATGGCGCCCAGGCAGCTTCTGTTCACTGGAAGAAGTGGGACCCAGGATTACGAGGAACATTTGTTGAAGTCGAGATCTGAGTGAAACGACTGAAGAACATTGTGAACCTCCGAGTCTGCATGCAAGCCAGTCCTTGAACTCTCGAAGGTCATTACATTTTTACTATAGATGCGCATGTTGGACCGCTTAAGTAGAAATGTAAGATAATTTTATTTATAACCCAGGAAAAATACTAATCGATCAGCGACAGTAAACACATTCGCCTACAAATCAGAATTAATAATGCAATATAGAAGTTAGTCAACTATAAAAACCAATAAGAAGTTTTGTCTTGCATAAATCATATTTTAATTATCTTCACCTTGCCGAAAGCTAAGGTTTTAAATTTGAAATGCAGGTTTCCTCCATGAGCGAGTTAACCCATTATGTTATACATGCATGTATAGTTTTATGAAACTCAAATAGCAATGCTGTTAGGAATACGACCAGGTAAAAGCCATTCATACGGTGTGACCATGCCTTCGTTTCTTTTATTGATTTTTTCTGTAATATTTGCAAGCTCACTCTTGAACTTCGCCAACGCTGCTTGTGCTGAAGCGTCACCAAACAGATTATCAGAATAATCTCCAAGAAATTTCTAGGTTCAAAGTATTAATTGATCATTATAGTGTGAAGTGAAATGCAGAAGTGTAAAGAATTAGATGAAGCACCATTAGGTGGCCTAAAAATTTATATACGTAAAGTTGTACAATCAGTGACGAAAGGTTTCGACACAAGGCGAGACAGATGTAAATAATGAGTTAAATTTAATAAAGCGGCGCTAATAATATTGATTTAATTAAAATACCTCAGTGGGGTAAATTGTAACCAAAGCATTGACAATGGAAACCAACTGACCAGCCTGGTGTTTATTGGCAAGGGAAGCCATAACAATAGCAAGGTCAGTCTTTCCTTTCTTTGTTGGTGGTGGTTGTCTCATTAAACTAGGAGAGTTAGGATGGTAACCATAGGTGGCCATTTGAGAGAAATTGACGGCTGCATGTTGACAGGAACAAGTGAAGATCACCATTGTCAGAAAATGAATTAATTCATCACGCTTGTTGAAAGATTTGGGGACTTTCTTATCCACGTTGTCGCTTCCAGGTTGGTATCCGTTCTCACGAAGATCATGAATCCAGTCTTGAATTTCGTTGTCCTGTAAACACGAACAACTACGATAAATATACTTATCTAATGTCTTTTTTCCATTTATTAGCTAGCTATGAGTCATGAGTGCATGCTAAAAATAAATGTATGAAATAAAATATACGTAAGCCATGTCATATTTTTTGTTAGTAAAGGCCAACAATCAACCCTTCAATAAATATTATAAGATGCAATACATTACTATAAACCAAGGTAACAGCGTACACGCACTAACTGCACTAGCCTATCATTCATAGCCACGGGTCATTGCCACTGGGTCATATGTAGGATCTGTACAATTTCATATTTCGATTTTTGCCTTCGGGGATGTAGTGAACGAAAGCACTTGCTGTTAGCGTTTCATAATCCGAAAAACAAACAATTTTTGTGTGATTACGTCATTACGAGTCGACATATGATTCAGAATATTTACACACGAAATGTATAATATTTTAATAGAGTAATATGTATTATTATTATATATAATAATGCATATTACTCTATTATTATGCATAATATACTCACATTTTTCACAGATTTGTCATCTTTGTAGTAAATTTGAATGATTTCTTGCACGAATTGGCGGATAGCTTCCCAGAGAAGCAAAGCATCATCTTTGTAGTAGAATTTTGGTAGATCTTTTACACCTCGCTCAGTAAGATTCTTGACCAGATCATAGCTATCAAATGTAACCCTTCTGTAGTGCTTCTGCATCAAGGTAACGTGACCACCACCACCAATACTAAGCACTTTATCAGCAACACCACCTGGAGGAATCAATTCGTTTCGTCCAAGCGTGTTGATGGCCAAAATTCCCTTTGTGTGAGGATACAGAAGCTTCCACACTGGGTGAACTGATGGAAGATTTCGCCAAGAAGATACAGCAGTTGGTTCCATCATTAAATGACAACGAAGAAGATGTGTTATCATCTAAAGTTACAATCAAATTTTATGTATTAGCTTTTTGCATTATATGAATCGCAGTTTTAAAATTACTTTTGAAGTTGTTCTTTTTTGAATGGTCAGTTCTGGGTGTGTAGCTAGATAGATAGACGGATAATCTCTCTCGTAGTGCCGTATCTAGGACGCGCTTGTTTCTACGATATGTAAACAGTAATATATATGAATATACACCCCACCAAATAGAGCTGTCTAGTCACGGTCCTGTTCTCTCGTCGCGATGTTCAAAACGTTTGGAAAATTTTCCTCCTACTCCTCCTATTATTCGTCTTTAACTTTTTAACTTTTATGCTATGTGCTGTATGTTGCTAACATCTTTAGAAACCTGAAGCTGATAATCTGATTATCAAATACTAGTTACGTAATGTAATGCCTCTCTCCTCCGCAGAGGTTATTTTAGATTGTGAAAAGTTATTAATATACTAAAGTAGTTCAGGCGCGGAAAGAGGAGGGGACGACGCTTGCACTATTTAAGCACAGCCACTTCTTTCTATTAACAGCAATACTTTATTTATGCTCAAACATATTAGTATGCTAATAACTTTTCGCAATCCAATCCATGCAGCTCTGCGGAGGAGAGAGATGCAATGCTGTCATCAGTTTGTAGAAAACGTGGTAATAACCTGGTGATATTGGGTATCAGCGCATCGAAGCCAGAGTTTTGCAAAAATCCAGTCCCAATCGGTGTCTTGCAAAGGTGTCCATATTGGAACTTCCTTGCTAGGCTTTTGACCCAGTTGAATAGCTATAGGTATCAAGTCATCATTATTCTTCAAGTAGAACAACCCCATAGCTGGTGTGATGTATCGTTTATCTTCGTCTGTGTCCATTGTTGCCACTCCTTCAAGAATTTCGTAGTCAACAATGTAAACGAGGCCTTCCTGTAAAGTAACAAAATCCACCTCAAACTCTACGCACGACACTATTTCATTAGTTTATGAAATTATGACTGACATTACCTTGATGGCCTTATCCAAAGTATAACCCCGATCCAGCAGCTTGTCCACCATTTCATTCTTCACAGGGAAATTTTTTGGGAGTTTTTTACATTTTTTGATCACTTCAGGACTTGAGGCGTTGAGAAATTGTTTACCAAACCACACGTCATCTCTCCAATACTCAGCAGCATGGGGAAGGCCAGAATCGATAGCTTTGGTGATCAAGCTGCGGAAGTCATCAAGAGTATCCCAAGAGTCCCACAAACCCCAGATATGACTCAATCCAAGGTTTTTAAAATCTACCAAGCCAACTTTGAAAAGAGATAACGTGGCTTCATCGGTGAATTGTACGTCCTTTGGAAGTGTCTTGGGTTCTTCGGCTTCAATGAATCCAGGAAGATCTTGACTGTATCTTGAATCGGTTCCCCACTTGTACAACTCTCGATTTTCACTCACTTCTTTCTTTCTCTGTTCAGCTATTGGTTTTATATCGTCTTCAGAATTTGGCACAATCGCTAAATTATGTGTTGAGAGAACAAAATAAATGTTACTAAGACTACGCACGTCATACTTAAATTGTACACGAAGGACGAAAGGCCTCAAACAAATAAATATGTTTAACAAAGACGTTTTTGTAACGATGAACGTCAGACGAATTAAAAAGGACGTTAAAGGAATGGCAAACGTGCAGTATAAATAGACACATTCATTAAAAATGCATTAAAAATCCGCAAATGTTTCTTCAGTCGAGTGAACTAATATTTGTACATATTTTGTATATACTGTACCTTTTCCTTCATAAACAACTAATTGATCAATAACCCAGCGATAACAAGGGAATATGTACTTCTTTTCCTCTGTCTCTTTCTCTATGACAACCTTAGCCACATACCAGTTACTCTTAAAGCCCATTCCATTGTTATTCAAAGAGACCATGATAATGTCACCAACGTCATCGCCACTTACGTCATAGGTATCGGTTTCACCTTGTTCGAAGTCGTTGTGAAAAAACTTGTCCAAAGTAAATTTGGATGTTTCACTTCCATCATTACCTAAAAATATTTTTGGCATGTCTTACATCCAGTAACAGACGAGCCTCGTTTCAAGCCGGAGATTTTCTATACTTTATCCATTGTTCATTGCGCTCAATCATGCAGTCAATTTTCTGATTCAATCGTTGTGAATTTTTCTTTCTTGCACAAACTAGACAATATCATTATGTCGTCCGGCAGCTTATAGATCAATATGCAGTGTTTCTTTCAAATACACTCATTAGAAATGAACAACCCTAATTATCCTATCATCCATATTGCGGTCATAATAATTACAAAGTATAATTCTGCACAGCCATGGCAAGCCTAAAATGAGTCAGTTCAATCTTTAAATACACAGTATACATGTAGGCTAGTGCTGAACTAAAAGGGTGAGGTTAGACAAGGTGATGGGACCCCCAACATTCTTTCTTCAGTTTTTATCTGAACGAAAGTTGGCGAAAGGTCCGACACCACCTCAGCCTCAGCGTGGCTGTAAGTGGAAAATGTTTTAGCCATTATTACCAATCAGTTTGATTGAAACACTTGCGTTAGTTCCTGAGCCACGGAGATCCCCGGTTTCGACTGTAATCTTGTATTTCATTGTGGATTTACTAAAATATACAAATATTATTAATTTTCGACAATTGGTTGCAGAGGTTTGTTAGATGGCTTATGGCTATATAGCTTAAGACACAAATTCAAATTTGATGGGTCAATTTAGTAGACAACTCCTTTATTTATTCACCCCGAATAAGATATGCTCAATGATAAAGGAAATATTTGATTCGTTAGTAAAAACACGGTTACAAGGGCCGGTTGTATCAAGCCTGTTTAGCTTAAACGGCGGATAAGTCAAAATTAAATAACACTCTTACATCTCTCTTGAATGAGTCAACTTGAATATTATGCACTGAATATTTAGTTGGTTATACAGATACTTTGTTTATACTTTTCGATGCATGCTATGTATAGTTCACTATTATCAAGAAGAGGATGTTATAATGATATAATATCCTGGATATATTATATTGGCTCTTATGCAAATAAAGAGTATATATAGCCTTGGCTTTTATATATACAATTCAACACTTGAATTCTCATAACAATGCCTTTTTTTCAGGAAATTCAAAGGTCTCTATCTTGTTTTGAGATATTACTTTATCTTAAAAATGTACGTGTATCGACTAGGCAGGCAGGCATTTCTCAGTAAATTTTTGTACATATTTAGGTTCTGTGATGTAATGGTTACCACTTCGGACTCTGAATCCGAGAATCCGAGTTCAATTCTCGGTAGAACCTCGCTTAAACCACTCATTATATGTCTTTATGTAAGTTTTTGAGATCAGGTTTTTCCAGTTATACTCCATGCATGTAAGAAAAAATAATTTAATTTAATTCCAACTGGAATGTCCATTGAAGGGATCTTTTTTATTGAAATGAGAACTTTAACAGGAAATGGTTTTGATCCATTGACCTCTGGGTTATGGCCCAACACGCTTCCAATGCGCCACCCTGCTTGCTACACACTGCTCTTATGCCATAAATATATACTTTGATATATATTATCTTTTCACTTGTGCTATTCCGAATACGTTAAGAACAGCGGAAATGTTCTTACATGTATCTAAGAGAATAGCGTCACAAAGGTATGAACAGCAGGGAGTGTAACTCAGGGAATATAATTACTTTATCTTATAAATAATGTGCGTGTAAAGCCAGACATTTCTCAGTAACTTTTCTTCGTGTTTAGATTCTGTGGTGTAGTGTTTAGCACTTCGGACTCTGAATAGCCTACATAATAGTTGCCATAGTTAATAGCCATAGTTGCCTATTATATAAAAAATATGAAAAAAAGGTTCATAAGAGAGTTGAACTCTGGACCCCTGGTTTACAAGCCCAGTGTTGTAATCACTGCATGAGCTAATAAGGCGCATGTGCAAGCTACCGCGATTATAATTATTTTATTAATTTGCGCGTATTAAACTATACTATGCACCCAGGCATTTCCAGTCGGTAACTTTGATAGATGTTTCGGTTCTGTGGTGTAATGATTAGCACTTCAGACTCTAAGCATGAGTTCAATGGACGACTTGCGCTTTAGGGTATAAGGTATTTGCGTTATTGCATATATTTATACTATAGCAAATTAGCTATTTTCCTGAAGTAGATATTGCAGAGTATTCTTTAGTCTTTAGAATATCCTTTTGGGCAAATATATCGTAATTAAAAGTGTCCTGGTTCGGCTGGTTGGAAAATATTTAAGCTGATTCAAATACGAAAAGCGCTCTTAATCCATCTGCCCTATTTTATGTAAAGAGTGCTCATACTTACATGTACGTAGTTTATATTTCCGGATAATCAGAAGTCTTGTAGTCTAGGCTGCCAATTCTGCGTATTTTTGAACTTTTATCAAATATTTTTGAACCTCAAGCCAAAAACACTGAAATAAGCGAATAGGCTTATTGTCGCATTTTTATATACTCGCGCGGCTCCGGAATACTGACGCATGCAACTACGCAAGTTCTTTGTAATATAAACTTTAAGTGGGTTAAACTTAAGTGGGTGATTTTAATTTCTGTCAGCTTAATCAATGCCAGATAAAAGGCGAAGGGTCAAAAAAATCCTATCACGTATACATCCAAAACTGTAAGCCTATAAAGAGAATGTTTTGATTTCTTCCCAGATCTCAAAAGCTTGTAATGATATTATGGACGTTATTTGTTCGGCTCAATATTGACGTATACACCCAATATAAAAGAATTTTGGGAGGGGACTCATGCAAAGTCTAGAGTCATTCGATCAAGAATAGGGGCAGAGACCCCTTATTATTTTTCATACTCATATTGTATAAAGGCTTCGATAATGTTGGTGTGTTAGGCCAATTCCATATGTAGTGCTTTGCGATGAAAAGAAATTCCAGATCGAAAGAACTGGGAAACGAACAAACACATGCAGCTTTTACGCACCTCGCTTCCATGCAATATAAATGAGTATTAAATTAATTCAGTTTTAAAGCCGTAAAATCACATGCAGGAGAAGTTTTGGTATTTTTTGAAAGGATGTTAATCATGCTATAATGATAACATCCTGAATATGTCATAATAGGTCACGTCTGCACTGAATAACACGTCATCGTAAATCGTAATCGAGTTTTTCCCCCAAACCTTCAAACGCTCCATTTCAAAGTTTTAAAAGTTTGTTTTGATAAATAGTGTTCAAACCAAGTAATGGGTACTTCGTGACTGTAGTAAAAATATCTTCTCAAAGACTGGTTTATGTACTTTTCCTTAAAGAGCTTGTAATTATTGGTAAATTAACATCGTATACTATCATCGTATTCATCTAGTTCTTGCATTCATTGATGACGCAGCAACCTCTAATCAGGTCACCACTAAGTACATCAAGCATTCTCGACAGCAACGCAATTTTTGTACAGTTTAAGAATACAGAACAGTGAAGAGCGTGGATATGGGAAGTTTTGTTAAAAAACCAATAACGCAATAACAACTTCCGTGTGGGAAGTTTTATTAACAACAGAAACAACTTTGTGCCATGCATGCATGCAAGGTCACTGAGTTAAAAAGGACACGATACACATCCAGTGATATGTTAAATAAAGAATATAAGATATAGTTATCGTTATATGAGTAGCCATATTTCAAAATAATTTAATGGTGTCTTATAAACTTCCATTTGGAGAGGGAGTGATTATCAAACAATCACGGATTAAGCAGTCAGAGGTGTATAGGATTATCTCTTGGGATGTTTGAGCTAAACGACTGTACACATATCCTGTGTATTTGATTAAGCTAAACGAATGTACACATTTTTTGTGTATTCGATCAAAACTAACTACTGTACTTACAGATAGACGTCGTTTATTTTAAAAGCTATAACCTGCGATTTTTTTGCAGTGCCTACCAATCTAACTGCATGTTCTCATTATAAACATATATATCTCTTATATATCGATCTGTATAAGAATCGAACGATACACGAATCGAGCGAATGTATTAAGAATCGTTTAATCAACACGGCTCTCTTTATCATTTTATGCAAATGGAGCCATTAAAAAACTGGCATATGTATTACTTCGTTATTTACCTAAATAAAAGCATTCATATTAAATTTATTATACTTACCTGGAAATATTCACAGCGAGTTTCGTCGTTTATATGTTACTGCTAGTTTTGTGGACAATCAGTAAACACTGATTTGAATGTACAACGGCAATGGCATAAATATGCTCGGAAACATCTTTCATAAATCCTTTCCTGACGCCGCGGCTTTTTACGACTTTCTGGAGTATTTCCAGTCAATGACAGATCATGGTATAGACAGATCCTCAACAAACCCTTCAAGCATGCATCACGAATACATGCATTCTGGTGTGAACATAAAGTTGAACATGCAGTTAAGTTGCAATCCTACAGTATACCACTCGTCAAAAAAGGCTGAAATCCTGACATCTTTTATACGTTACACTATTTGATGCAATAAGTATGATTCAGTGTGACGTAACGCTTAAGAGGTATGTTGGTGATCGTAACACTTCAGAAAATGTCAAAAACGGCGCCATGGACTTTGTAAACAGTTCCGACAGCCTATATTATTTTAATTTCTTCACTGTGATACAAGCTATATTAACTGATTATTGACCGTGCGTGAGGTTTGTACAGTGAAATATCAGACCGAGGCCGTTGAAATGGATACAACGCTCATTACTAATAGACCTCAGAGGTGCATACGTCACGGGACTGTCAAACAATAAATTGCAATGCAATGTGGGAAACATGTAGGAAAAATTAACCTCATTTCTGACGTGAGCATCTCTATAAGGTATATTGTAATTTGTTTGCAATAACGCCCAATTTTGGACTCAAATGAATTAAAAGTCACGCGAGACGCGTGTTCTCATCTCGAGGCTGCGCGTGTTTGTATCACGCATTTTAGAGCGCTCTGGGTCAAGTCAAAACTCGCAAAATCATTCACCTCAGCTTTCCCTGGCTGCGGAGTTAGCTTTCAGTTATATTGACAGAAAGACAAAAACATTCATTCTGAATATAACTCGTTTATTCTGGTGTTTAGGTTTATGTATTAAATTCATTTATTAGTATAGCTAAAGCTATTTTGAAGATCTAGTACTGATTATATTTATTTATTATATTTGACTATATTTAAATGACGAGATTGCTAGATTAGATATTTTTACAGCAGCTAAAATGTAAAAAGAACAAAATTTGGTGGGAGGATGCCTATATTTAGCAACTAAATGACAATAACAATCAAGACGTATTTATCTGATTTCACCAGCCAATTGAAAAATAATCTCAAGCGATGACGCTCAGGGGTCTTTATACATATTCAGACATTGTATACGGTTAGTATTTTTCGAAAGCAAGATAATACGGGTTTACGCAGCGATACAGAGCAAAACGTAAAGAAAATGAACGAAAATGGCATGCCACAAAAGCAAAATGGTAGCTAATGTGTGTTTGCATGCAAGGAAGTAATTTATTGACTTTTAAAGCTAATTTCAATTGTCCCTCTTTTGTGTTAATTTTTGTTCTCCGCTTCAGGTCGCACATTAGACGTTTTATGCGAAGTTTGCAAAGATTTTTCGACTGGTAAACATTATGGTATATACGCCTGCGATGGTTGCAGCGGTTTCTTCAAGCGCAGCATTCGTCGTAAGCGAAGATACACTTGCCAAGCAATGGTCAACAAAGGAAACTGTCCAGTTGATAAATTACATAGAAATCAGTGTCGAGCTTGCAGGCTGAAACGCTGTTTTCAGGTCAATATGAATAAAGATGGTAAGTAGTATAACTGGAGATGTATTCAGTTAGTTACCCGGCGAACTCGCTTTGCTTTTGTTAACTGAGAACAAGGTCAAGGCCGTTTATTTCGTTCCTCATCACTGATGAGTGATGTTACATGCATGATCAAAATAATAAACCTAAAATATCTTATGAAAGTTAATACATCATATAGTTTGCCTCATGCTTACCATAGCGGGTTGGTTCAAGCCAAAAATATGAGTATATCTATAGAAAAAACATTGCGTGTATCATTTTCCTTCTCTCTGAGTTAAAATCGATAAAAACTCGATCACAATTCTTATCAGTTTTTGAAAATAAAACAATGTAGAATATTCTTCGTTAATTGATTGTCTGTATTTTTATGACATTCAAAAATTTGATTTTTTTTATATTATATGTAACCGGTATTCTATACTAATTCTATACCTTCCATTAGGATTATTTTTTATTCCATTCAATGATGTATAAGTCAAAAGTGAGTCCGAAATTAAAACAATTAAAAAATTGATGATTTATGTATGGCACAAATTTAACAATGAAACTCATTAAAAGTGTAACATGTATTGTATTATTGAGATAACGTATTTGTATGATCACGTGCATGCAGGTGTACATAATTTGGAAATAAACAAAATATATTTCACATTTAAATTTATAATTTCGTTTAACAGCTGACTTATTAGCGCCAGCAGATATGTATGTCTTCAAACAAAATAGTAGCTATATTTCTGTACGAAATGGTTGATATTGAATATTGAATAATGCCAATTAAATGAAGGTAATCATCGAAATATATGAAACGAAAAAAAAGCTGTAAGTAGGGGAGTACGTCTACATAGTGAAATTTTAGCAGGGCGGCAAATGTTAACTAAATAGAAAAACTTGCCAGCATGCATGGTCGCTTTTTGACAGAAGTCTGGTTCAAACTCAATTCTCGTTTAATTTTACTATTTTCAGACAAATAATTTTTTTAATTTTATATCTTGATAGCCGTTCAACATGAACGTGGTCCAAGAAATTCAGCGATCCAAAAACAAAAACTACCTCACCCGAAGATCATTCAAGGTTCCTCTTCATTCAAACCTGGTGATGTGTGTTTGGAAATGATTATTATTAAATTACGTTCAGCAGAACCAGATATAACCATATTGTCAACTTTACACGAAGATGGTGACTCTTACCACTTGTCTGATCCAGAAATATTCAGCGAAATCGTTGCCAGATTGTTGTTTAAAGGTGTTGGATGGATAAAAAACCTCTCCAGTTATCTTGGTATTTGTTTTAACGATCAGGTAATAGAGCTTGGAGAAATTTAATAACTTCTTAATAACCGAGCGCGAGGTCTTTACCGTGAAATATCAGACCGAGATCAAGATCGAGGTTTGTACAAAAAGATCGAGGTCCGATATTTCTCGGTAAAGACCGAGCAAGCGAGGTTAATAAAAAGTTTATTATATGGCCTAAGTCATGTATTTGCACTTGAAACAAAAAAGAAATGCATGAATTCATATTATTAGCCTGTCACGCATTTGACAAAAACAAAACAAAATATTGAATTATTTACTTTACCTAAACTGTCTGGAGACGTCTTATTAATTTTAAAAGCAATTAATTTCATCTCGTAATGGATTGCCGCTAATGCCAGTCCATTACAGGAAAGTGCCGGTCCATTACGGGAAAGTAATGGCCGCTGAAAATTCTTCTCAGTCAATCACTGAGCTCCATTTCACGGGAAGCGACGCTTGCCATATATTCACTTTTTGCACCACGTGAGTGAATTTTGTATAGCAACAACGCCACGGCAGTGCCGTAATAAAATTTATCAGTGCACTGTTAAACACAGATGAGATATATACAGATATGAAACTGAACCCAATTGGGTCTCACGTTTTTTTGCCCAATGTGCGCATGCGTAACTTGCATGGCAAGTATATCGATAGAAAAATCGATGATAAACAAATGCTGATTTAAACAAAACCTTTAGTAACTTTAGTGTCCCACTTGATTTAAAATTTTTAAAAAGATGGATGAAGTGGATCTTCTGAGCTAGGAACTAGTTTATGAAATTATTTGATGCTGGCAAAAACAGGAAAAATATAGCTGAGGAGTGCAATAATTTAGCACTGTTTAAACTATTTTTGAGTTTAGAAAATAATGATGTAAAATAGTTGTAATGTAAAATGTAATTTTAAATATATTCGACGTCACCGAGTTTCAAGTCCCTAAGCTGGACATCGGGTTGTTGACGATGCGACTGGAGATGTTGAAAGTTCTTCTGAATTTCGGGACTTTCAGCGGTGAGTTTCATTGCGAGGATTGTCCTCCATTTCGCCTTTAGTTTTGATGTGGATTGAGGTCTGGTGGACGGTGGTTCGTTCCAGTCAAAAGAATTTGGAGCAGGTAGTATCGGAAGGGTGCTTACTGATATTTGATTTGCAGTTCTGGAAACTACATTATTGGTCCAATCCAACTGGACCATCATGTCTGTAAGAAATATTAAAATAATAATGCATGATTTATAGGTTTTGTTGTTGGAGCAATCATGGAGTGAACTGTATATCCTGAACATCTCCCAGAATCCTCAGCTTCTTGAGAGTCTTCTCGTGTTCATAGAACAATCACGTGATAGTGATGACATCAGAAATCTCCACGTCAGAACTTTGAAAGCACCATTAGATCGTCTTCAATCACTCGATCTGGATCACGTTGAATGTCTCTTCCTCAAAATCATATACTTTTTGAAACCTGGTAAGAATAAAATAATTGATGTTTACTAGCTACATAATTATATTTAAAGTCAGGGTAGAAGAGGGTTGAACACTCTTCGTATTCCGACAAAGTGTGCCCGTTCTGACCTCTTAAATGATTTAGCAACATTTTAATCCTTTAGCTAGGACAACTGGACAAATGAGAAGAATATTTTGTCAAAAATAAGACGAAATGTTTTTTAATATTCGTAGTTGTTCGTGGATTGCAGGATGTTATGAAAATCGAATCATTACAAGACAGAATGCAAGAAATGTTACATGAGTACGAGGAAAGACAACATGGCGATGGTGATCGTTTTGGTAGAATTCTTCTCGCTGGTGCGGGCATTGGTCGTGTGCAAAAGAAAATTATAGAAGATCTTTTCTTTAAGCCAGATATCGATTGTGTTCCTGTTGCAAACATTCTCAACAATTTGCATTTATCCGACGTTTATGGAACCATGGAATGTTTTTAGTTTACCCACGGGTCTACAAGCTAGGTTATCAGATACCAGATTGTTGGATCAAACTCAGGACATCACAACTTCATGCATAGGAAATGTCCACAGAAACCAATACCGTAGTTTACGCAATATTTCTATATATTTACTGAGGGACGTCAAATAGTTCTAAAAGCAATTAATAGTTTGCATTTTTGAAAACATAATATAGCTACATTTTGAAAGTGACACGTGCAGTTGAGTAAGACAAAATGAAAAACTTTTTTCGACCTTGGTATGGTCCATTATACCGGAATATGGTATATTCGACCTTGGTATGGTCCATTATACCGGAATATGGTATATTCGACCTTGGTATGGTCCATTATACCGGAATATGGTATATTCGACCTTGGTATGGTCCATTATACCGGAATATGGTATATTCGACCTTGGTATGGTCCATTATACCGGAATATGGTATAGACCTTGGTATGGTCCATTATACCGGAATATGGTATATTCGACCTTGGTATGGTCCATTATACCGGAATATGGTATATTCGACCTTGGTATGGTCCATTATACCGGAATATGGTATATTCGAACTTGGTATGGTCGATTGTACCGGAATATGGTATATTCGATTTTGGTGACGGGCGAATATACCGGAATATGGTATATTTGACTTTGGTATGGTCGAATGTACCGGAATATGGTATATTCGATTTTGGTGACGGGCGAATATACCGGAATATGGTATATTTGACTTTGGTATGGTCGAATGTACCGGAATATGGTATATTCGGTTTTGGTGATGGTCGAATATACCGGAATATGGTATATTCGACCTTGGCATGGCCCAATATAGCGAGATATATGGTATTTTCAACCTTGGTATGGTCGAATATATCGGAATATGGTATATTCGAATTTTGCATGGTTGAATATACCGCAACATGGTATATTTGACATTGATCTTGGTACTGTCCAATACATCGAAACATGGTATATTACACCTTGGTATTTTGCATTGTCGACTATACTGAAATATAGACCCCACAGAGGTGTTAAAGTATCGTTCAAAACGTCACATTGGTCAGCCAAAGTGCTGGATCCGCCCCTGAAATCGGCTGTATTTGAATCGGCTTATCCAAACGTAGAAATAATCCTTGGATCAATGTCATGCAAATTTCCTTTATCCAGCTGTTGAACAACGTTAATTAGCAATAGGAAATTATTGCATTATACAAATTTATATAAATAAATCAAGAGACACCCTGAACGCCCCCAAGCCAATCCAAGGCAGCGCGTAGACTTGTATTCACCGACTGAAATAACGCGTGGTAATATTTCTTGAACTCTGACGGCATTTGACAATAAATGTTGATGTGATTTGTTGAAAACCAAACCGATGCCGGTGTGGATCGACCACGCATAGCTATAGGTTACACTTGAAAACTGATTAAACTAATATTTCATCGCGTGTCAATGATTAATCACCGGAGAACAATATTAATTATAAAAGAAAGAAATGCATCTATTCTCACGAAAAACGTTTACCTGAAAAGCACCCAGATAGAGCACAGATGTTTTATCAGTATAATCAATATCTTATTTTGGTTAATATAAAGAAAACATTATGATAGCTTTCTAATCTTAATCATTCCTTCTCATATTTTAGCCCACACATATCCCTCGTGTTTATAAATATACCAAAGTAAAAGTATATATTTCTCTTTATTACATGATATCGGAACGACAAAAAACATTTACTCCTGCTTTGATGTTTTAGAAAAAATAAAAAATATCCGATTAAACAAAGGTAAATACATAAGGCTAAGGCCCTGTCTATATAGGTGTCATATTACGTTTCCTAAATAACACTAAGACATATATACTCTCTGTTTTAAAAGAGCTGTTTGCATTAATCAGGATTAGTTTAAATTAAGAAGGATTTGACGTTTACTCAGGCTTTAAATTGCGGAATTAAGATTCTTTAACTTTAATTTGAAATTCTTTCTCTTTCGTGGTATTTTAATGGATCTGCAGGGTGACACTGTGTACTGAAATCTATGTTTGTGCAAGCACGATGAACAAAATTATTAACCAGGTCAATGACTTGCTAATATATATGTTTAAACATTCTTAAAATGTGCAAGGCTTCGAAAGAGACTATTTTTCGCAAACATTTCTACTTTTATAAGCTTGATTAGAATTTATAACATGTTTATACAAAAATTACGTGTGTAAGTTAATTAAGTGTACTTTTTAAACGTGTAATTTGAGTAGGCAAGACCCCAACATCGTTCGATTGTTCAGGAGGAGACAGAACGAATCAAATGCGTTTTGGCATGCATGCATGCAGTGAGGAAATTTGGTTGTCGCTGGTTATCAACTTATCAATGAATCGTTAGCAGGTTAGTTAACACTAATATCCGTCTCGGATTTGTCAAAATATAATTGAATTATGTACTAAAATTACTGGAACTATGAAAAGTACAAATAAAATACATATTTATAGGCTATAGTATAGCATAATATTTTCAAATTTTATGCCCCATTCAAATAGCCGCAGGTATGCGTAATGATACCTCACCATTTATATGACAAAACCCACGTAAGTTTTTCGGGAATTTTCGACTCTACAGTACAGCGGTAGTTTGTTCATCTTGAATCAGAGACGATAAACTAAAATTATATAATAATGAGATAAACACTTAAACATGACGCGCGATTGTTGCATTTCATGTTATTCATTACGAAGTCCAGATGATAAACTAGACTGTAGTGTTGACTGAAACAAGCGGAACTCGAATTTGTGCAAGTTCTGACATGAACCTGGTTTAATAGAACATCATATTTTCATCAAATATTTTCGATTTTTAATTACTTTTAATTAAATAATCCATAAATCATGCATGTATTCAGTCCAACTTGGATATTATATATGAGTTATTGCGAGGCTGCAATCAAAAACCATCCCTCGATCATACCTTTTTTAATTATATTGCGTTGAGGAACGATAATATTTGATAGAAATATTATTCATTAAAGTGTATCTAGAGTAGAGGTAAATAATTGCATATAGACTGCAAATCACCATGCATGGATTTAGTTAGGTTTATAAACGTTCTCGGGATATTTATTTCAAATCTTCAGTGTTTGAAGGATTGATTTCCTATAATATATATTGTAACCACGGTAACTGAAATAACCCAACCAGGATAATTCAAATTATTTTTCTGATTAAGGGCCTGTTTACATGGAGCGAGTTATCCCGGCTAGGCGAGGTGAAAACTGCATATAATGAAAGACTAATCAGGTTAAGCCTTTGATGTGATGCGCTTTTTACCTCGCCTAGCAGAGATAACTTGCTCCATGTAAACAGGCCCTTAACTATGACCAAAACTGGCGATCTGTCAAGCAATAATATTGTCGTACAAAGTCAGTCAAATATGTAATTGTTTGTTCCAGCTGCTTGTGTGAAATACTCCGGCTATAAAGGCTGAATTTCCCCCTCCAGGAAATGGTTGTCCGACAAAATATTTGCATGTTTTCCTTGAATTTTGATCGCATGAATAAACTATTTCCGTTTGACTGTTTCTGATCTGCCCAAAATGTAAATATTTCCAATGCAACCTAGACCAACTCGGGCAATTGGTGTAAAGTAATCTATTAGCTTTATTCTATTAAAGGATATAGGTTATACAGAAAAAAACGATAAAAAAATTTCTTCTCCCAAAGAAATCCACTTTGTGCATGAAGCAAGAATGTTTTAGTAGGCTTATTATTTTTTAATAATAGCTTGTAAATGATCGTTTTAGCGGCGTTTCAGTGGCATTTCAGAGCTTATAGATATAATTTATGTGATAAAAAAATGCATAAATTAGCAACTCGACATTTGTTGTGTTTCCCAGGCCAGTTTTATATCTTTCGTGCTTTAAGAAAAAAGTGGATTTCTTGGGAAATTCAGTGGTTACGTTTCTCTAACCATATTTATCTGCATGAGAAAAAGTTAGAGCTGTAGTAACTTTAATTGCGTTAGCCTTAATTGCCACTGCTAAGGCCCGTCTCAGACATCGAACTTTTCATGTGCCGAGCCTTATGCTAATGACCACGAAGTCTTTGTTTAGATTAATTTATTTTCCATTCGGCACATAAAAAGTTCTTCGTCTGTGTGTGAGATCTATTTCTATTTCTAACGTGACTGCATGATAAAGATTAATTCTTTAATCAGGATTTTCGTTCAAAATCTCTTCTCAAGCATAAGGCTCGATCAAAACCCTTATAAAGTGCATTTCGCATACGGTAAAAATTCCTAAAAAAGATCAGATGATAAGCCTCATGTATTATATCAATCACATCATCTCATTAAATATATGATGAACGCAACCTAAAAATATACGCCGTTTAGTTAAAACATAACGTAGAACTCAATCGTCGCATAGATAGAGATGCAGAGATGGGTCAATACCAGTTGAATATATCAAACATTCTCATGCTGATATCCGAGAATTAAACGGCATTTTTTAATATGTCACGAGTATACTGTCAGTTGAAATGAATATTTGGACTAATAACGCTTTTTATAAACATGCACTTTTTTTAACCGACGGATGGCAAATCCTTCAGTATCAAGATCATTTGATCAAGGTGTCTAATATTTTGTAATAGCCATGTAGTTTCCATTATTTTATATGTGAGGAAATTGGATGCTAAAATACTCGATCATTCTTGTACGTATGTAAATGATTAATTACCTGCTGCCAAGAGAAGATTTGTGAAAGACCGAAAGAGATCCCCGCTTCATGCATCCACGCCAATCATAGCAAAGATGACACAAAACCTAACACTTGTATTATTGTATAAGGAAGGAATTTAAAGACTTTACAACCGGAGACAAAGGGTATAATTCAGTTATATAATTCAATCTTTCAGGCAAGTCATGCATGTTACTTATCATGTGTTTACGAGTGCTGAGGAAACTTTGGCAGCTATGGTTTATAGATTAAGTGATTGATTTTACGAAACGAAAAGTTTATATACGGCCGGCTTCAGAGGCATAAACTATTTTAAGAGACCCTGCAAGGTGATCTCGCGCTTATATTTTAGCCCTCAATCAGTGCTCAAAATTAAGGGTTGTCGAAAATGAACCATTTTTATATTTGCCTTCTTTATAAAACAAGGTGCCGCGTCAGGCGTTCACTCCGCAGGTACGATAGCGTTAAACAAAATGGAAAGGTATACCTTTCAGTAAAGATATAATATTTAACAATGGCACTAATATGACAGTCACTGAAAGAAATATTTAATGACATTTGGTTTGAAATCAGATGTACAGTACAGTACAACTACATGTCAGTATTTCTGGATGGTTTGCCCAGAGTTTAAAAATAATAATAATGAAACAAATATGTTGTAAACACATCGCTTGCTCTAACCTATAAGGCTCACTTACTATTGACTTGTCATTCCTTCCTAGTATATCTGCGCTTTCATTGTATGCCGTAGATATGCTTAACACAAATTTACAATAGCCTGAAATCAGTGAAATGTTTGCATTTTGTCGTTTATATTTGCCCCTTGCCTTCGTTAATATTGATCTAGCCCGAAAACCAATCCATTCAGTAATAATTGAAAGCAAATACATATAGTTGTGAAAAAACTACTTGCTTCGACCTACAAAGCTATTTCGTAAATTATGTTTTGTTATATTTGTTGTTTTTTATGAATGGGCAACACTTGCGTCGCCCAAGAAAAAAGAATGCGCATTTTCAGACTCCGGTAGTTACAGAGTTACAGTACCCGGAGTATAGTCAAAAGTACTATAGTCAAAATTTTGTAATTATTGGTAATAATATCTCTGACAAATTTGAAACCAAATTAAGGTATATTTCATTTCCAAGAAATGGATTTTATTTGACAACTTGTGCGATTTCAGGTCACCTGCTGCTTATGGTTTCCGGATGAAATAAATGAGGGCCTTAAAAAAAAACATAATATAAAAAAACATCAGGATATATTTTGATTACACAGATATCGACAAAATTAGAAGGGAATTTATTGGTCTGCGGCAGAAAATTAAGGTGGCGAAATATGGATCAGTGTTTAGCTCTTCCGGGTGACGCTTTCAAATAATTTGCTTACAAATATAATGATAATTATTCATGCAGGAGTAAGTTATTATAACGTTTAGATCAACTATCAGATCATATCACTTTTACTCTCTCGTGTTAATCGATGTGGCCGCGATGACACTCTTTCTACTCATATTTATATTTTGCATACTAATTAAATGTTTTAGACAAGACTGCGCTGGGGGAGGGGGTGACGCATAATTAAATGTCTTAGACAAGACTGCGCTGAGGGAGGGGGAGGGGGTGACATCCCGCCAGCTTTCGTGAAATTAGTTTTAAAAACCGCCGATTACAAACACTACAAAAGTCGAGTCCCAGAATGTAGGACACCCCCAAGTTATTTTCTTTATGTTCGCCCCCTGGTTTCACTCTAAATACTTTCAAAGTAAAACCAATAGTAAAATTCAATTGAATTACTTTTTTCAGTGGGCATATAAACGTCATTAAAAGTAAATTTGAATATTCCTGCAGTTCCCATAACTTCAATAAAGACGAAATGCATTTGCTCGAAACTTCAAAGTTTTCGTTACAATTTTCAGGTAATCCGAAAATCACCGAAGTTCTTATTTTAGAGAAACTGCACTTGTGAGTGATAACCCTCATGTGTAAGATGGCAGTTTCGTATACCCATGCATGCAACCCCGTCAAAAGAGTGACGCAATACATGCAGTCACTATAACTATAACGCACATGCCTTTGGGCGCTTAGAGCATATGGGGCCGGTTGTATAAAACTCTTTATCTACATTTTGCATAGTTAAATCCTAGTTAACGCCGAAATACACGACTCTGATTGGCCAATTCTGCCCTTAACTATACACTCTAAATCTCCAAGTGTTGTACAAACACCAAAAAAGGTGTAAATTCCTGCCTCCCTGCAAACACCCAAAGAGGTGCAAATATACACCTTCTTAAAGGTCAATATACACTCAACCGGGTATATTTACACCAATTTTGGTGTAAATGCTCTTGCCTCTGTATGTACACCGAATAGTGTATAGTTACACTGTAAGGAGTATATTTACACTTTACAGTATCAATATACACCATGAGTGTATTTATACACCAAGTTGGGGGGAACACTATAAGTGTATATTTACCCCGAAAAGTGTATATTTATACTTTATGGGGTCAATATACACCATAAGGTGTATTTGATAACCACTGCATTCACTGATGTAATGATCGTTACATGATGAACAGACGTGAACTTCTATATTGAACAAACAATTTTATTAAAGATAAATAAATTATGTATTTGTTTAAAAACCTATGAGCACAATAAGCAGGAACATAATAAAGCATAAAAAATTACAAAATTGAATGGACAAATATGCCCTCTAACCTACTTATACATTTCTTTCATTTCTAGCAATGAAATTAAGTTATTAGTAGGCTTTGAAATATCACATAGGCAAAATTATACATTATTCTTATTCCTTATCAGTCCAAAATATTAAAACTATTTACTTAGTGCCCATATGAATGAATGAATAAATTCTAAATATTTACATGTAGAAATAGTTCAAAGTACTGCTAGGTTTGTGCATACCTTGCTCAAAAAAACAAGTATTTCAAGGACTTAATTAAAAATTGCCAATTGGCAAGTTTATGAAACTAGCTGAAACAACTCAAATTATTGAAATTAAGCCCCTGTATAATGAACCCAGAGGTAATTGAATAAAAATATTTATGAAAGAAGACAAGTGCATCTAGAACTATGCAAACTCACTGCATGTCTTCAATTATTGTTATTAACACATACCGTAAGCTAAAGTAATTAACTCCTGAGCAATGTTCCTCTTTGATTACTGACTAGTTGTTTGTAAAGTTGGTATATGTCCTCCCAAATATGAGCATATTTATAAGATCACCTGGAGTATTTTTGTCCTGGAAAATTAAGTTCTGCAACACTGTGAATCCAATTAACCATTAAAGAGGAGACTTTCCACTCATCCACTGAGTTTCTCGCACACTAGTACTACCTCAATTAATCCATGTTCCTAAAAAAAAACAAAAAGCAAGCATATTAGAAAATTTAGATAGCAAATGTTCATCTGGTAAGCTGTCAATGATTTTTGATATATCTATTACATGATAACTAACTATATAACCAATTGTTTATAAATAAGAAGCAAATAATGGAGGTGAAATTAATACACAATGAATTTGCAATTTGTATGACACATGAACATTGAACTGATCTTTTCCTTACCTTATTTCCTTAAACCAAGTCAAATGGCTTCTTTTCTTGTTTCACTGAACTAATATCAAGTTGATATTTTTCATCAAATGAAAGACCTTGGCACCTTAAAAATACAAATACAACACAGGTATTTTAGGCATATATCATATTGGTGCTATTATTATATTATTATACAATTAAAACTGAGCCATATGGTTGGTGAATAATCCAACAGCATTGCACAATTCCTTATAATGCATTACTTACCATACTTTCCTGCTCGTTCATTACAGACTTAGATGACTTAGACTTATAAACATCACCACTTGGCACTTGTTAATCCACCATCTAATAAAGGATGCATATAAAAATTATTTAAAAGGCAATATAACAGCTATGTCATTCAAATTCTTAATCAAAATTAATGTAGATCCTAAGATTCCGTACATCATAATCCTAAGATTGAGTAAGTCTGTTATGGCAGATGTTTCAATCAGTTTCATGTTCATATTTTAATATATAACATAAATTCATGTATTTGACCATGGTTTAGCCAACATCATTACATCAATATCACACTTAATATGGCATAGTACCTATAGTATAACCACGGCATAACATATTTCTATAAATCATTCATTTTTTTTGGTGGGAATGAGTAGCAAAACTGTGAATATTTCTGTTAAATACGTACACTGTTTACGCGGCAAATTCGAAATTCAAAATATATAGCTTTCGTCTGTTTGCGCGTATAATTTTAAAACCTTACCTCTGAGATGACTGAGATTCCCAGTCACTTTTAAAACAATATCCTCGATCTTCTCCAGGCAATCTTGTATCATAATGTCCAGTAAAATTTAATATACATTCAAAATACTTCTCGATTTATACTTTGCAAAGGAACAAACAACAACGTGCGTCGTGCGAACTGCGAAGCGACGCTATCCCGGCATGCATCGAGAGCGTGGTGCAATCCTATCAACATTTCTCTGCGCGAGTTACGGCGTTACGGGATTTATTCAGAATGTTGAAATAAAACCGTCAAAACCGTCGCGTTTGCATCAAAACCGTCATCTCTTCTGAATATGAAAAGAAAGATATAAACAAAGAACAAATCATTTTTCTTTGAACAAGACTTTGGAATTAGCTTTGCTTATTTTAAGAAAACAATTGCTTTTTGCTCCTGACTTGGGACTCTTTGCCCAGTTATTTAGGAATATAAAAAATGATAATCCATTTGCAATTTTTTTCCGACAAAAGCTTCCAATGCATGCACGCCCAAGCTCTCACTCAACACAAAATTATAGCGATAATGTTTACACCAAAGTGGTGCTTTATTACACAAGAACGGTGTTTATTTACCGACTTTTGGCGTAAATTTACGCCAAAGAAGGTAAACTTTAGCTATACACTTAATCGGTGTTGAGGAAACACAATATTGGTGTAATAATACACCTCGAAGGGTAAATTTGCACTTTGTGGATGTAACATACTGATTTACACCAAAATTGTGTGTATTTACACTTATTTGGTGTTTGTCGGACACTTCGAAATTTAGAGTGTACCGTTAAAAGTTAACTATAGTGCTTTATACAACTGGCCCCTGAGGTTTCTGCCATCCCAATGGTTTGAATAACTCTACGCCTGTCCTCTATAGATTACTGAATGGAAAGAAGACTGCATGTTATAATACATATTTATGCATCATCATAAAACCTATCATGACCTTTTAATACTTTCGCTGCAGGAAACATTCTTAGAATATTATTATAATAGTAAGCTCTTAATAAAACCATGTAAAATGACACTGCTTTGTAAAGCTCTATAATTATTTTATTGCCAATTTATCGATCAAGGGCAAATTACAAAATACAGGATTCCAGTTCCAAATGACCAAAGTCAGTATTGGTACAAAATAAGTAAGGTTAGTTCAACAGGATCTTGATTGTTTCTATAAACGGTTTATAGATTTGATAATGTGATAAGTTATTGATGCATGCAAAGAGTTTAAACTATAATACTGACGCTTTGTGTGTTCAAACCAAATGCAGGATATTTGATATTAATGAATCAAAGCGTGTATATATCAGTATATATATTAGAAAGAATAGCTTTTGTTTTTAGTGCCATCAACGTTTTGTCGATGATGTCCGCTCCTGTCGATGATGTAGCTATTTATTCTTCACGTTTTCTCTTATGCATATTGCAAAATCGTTCAAAATATTTGTTAGGTTGCTTCATGCTTGCGTAACTTAAAATGTGATTTTCTTACTGCACGAAAATGAAATCGATTGTCCAGCAGCCATTCGGGCATCATGAAATCTTTGCAAAGCCATTATTCGTGCAGTGACATCTTGCCTTCTTGGTCACAAAGTACGATAATAATTATTATTGTATTAAAAAGCCTTCGTCATGGCAATTGGTATATATAGCCAGACATATATTTAAACTGCGCGTTGGCCGACAATTTAAATGAAGCTATAAAGTTAATTAATGATGAAAATCATGCATCAATAAACCATAAAAAATGACCGCAATAAATAATAATGGGAGAAACATGTTGCAGACAAACATGTTACAAGGTCGCGTTTTGTACGTGATCATGTTCGCCATTCCCAGTTTTTTCCGTCAAATCAATGCGAAGGGAGAAAAACCGCAATAGCAAGCGTTGAAATGACAGCGTATCATTTGCATCGTTGCATGATGCATCCACTTACCACATTTGCATGAACGCTGCACGTGTTTATTAATCTTTCTCCATAATGTACAAATTGGGGCAGATTTACTGGGAATTTGCGTCTCATGTCATATAAAAAAATATCCTGCAGACAGCCAGTCACGGAATGACTTTTAAACCGTGTGACTATAGAGAAAATGCGCAATTTTTGAGAGGACATGGTCGAAATATGAAGGAAAGCCAAGGAAAGCAATTTAGTGTATGAACCGAGAATAACATAACTTAACATTTCTCTGCAAAGGTTAAACGTAAGTACCCTGGATTAAGAGAGACCATTGTCACTATCTATATAGAGAAATATGTATAGATACATGCTAAGATAACCATAAGTCCATAACTGGAATGAATGGCGACGTGCATGCATGGGTGGCGACTTCTCATATATTTGCCCAGGATCTGCATGAGATTGAAACGTAGTTTTCTAACTTTTCTTGTATATTTGAGGCAGTTGTTTTACCCATTTCATCTTGGACGCCTTTTTATTTTTATCTCGAACACTATGTACAGAATCTTCCATACTGGTGCTTATATAATTATTTGATCCACTCACAAAGCTTTATCTTTCACAACTTTTTATGCAGCTATACCTGTGTATGTTATAAGGGCAGTATAGCGCTTAAAATCCCCAGAGTCCCCACTATATACAGTGCTCTGCATGCGCGTACTTCACAAAATGTCAGGCATAAGAATACCGAATTGAATTCAGCAATGTAATTATGTAACTATTGCTTCTATACATTTCTCCTACTTGATCTAGATAACAATTTTGTCTATGCTTGACTTCATTTTGTGCATGCTCTAATTCTTATCGCGCTATATAGATAATCACTTTATCGTGGTATACAGCTATATATAATTATAAAAAAGGTATAGTCCTGGCTATTGAAAATTTTAGACACTGATTGATCGTGCAAGGTATGATGGATAACCATCATTCCTATCACGCTTAAAAAACCTACCTATTGGTGAGCGAAGCACAAGGTGAAATACCCACTGGAGGATTATGGGACGTAGGGGTTCAGGGGGTATGCTATTGACTTTTTCTTTGCTTTGTGGGGTACCTCAAAGTGTTGAAAGGTGATCCGAAGCACAAATAGGTATGCCATACGGCTTGTATTCCCATATATTTCTCGCTTCGTTCACTCATATAACCCCAATTATACCGTCAGGCTCACAGCCCTAATTGGAAAAATTCGATCACTTTTTTTGGAATCAGCTGTAAATTGAGATTAATCTTATTGAGTACCTTTCTGAGGAGCTTAATTATTTTTGGCCATTCTGGTGTTTTCCAGTGTGCCTTCATGACTCATGTTGTTAAGATACTCTAGATATACTGAACTGATATGTAGTATTACTGTCAAAGAAAGAATAATTTTTGAAAATGTCTGAAAATTCTTAAAATCCAGAGGGTGTATATTTTTTAACATCACAAAATTTTATACATTCCATCCTTTTACTTTAGATCCATTTACTTTGCTATTTTTTCGATTTTTCTGACTGTTTAGCGACTGCATGCATGCATTATGACATTGCAAAGGATCTAACTTCACATTAAAAAAAAGACAAAATCCGTGTCACCCAGATCGACCCGAGTCCATCTTTGGGGCTTGTTTACACTTAGCTCGCTAACGGATCGGTCTGGCAGCCATGAGTCAAGATCTAGCAGAGATTTTATTTTCGGTGACACCTTATTTATTATCGCAGGCGTTCACGTCATAATCACAATATCGCGTGCATTAATTGCGTAATTTCTATATATTGTAAGTCTTGTTTCCAAATTATTGCCATGCACTGAATTGCGGCTGGAAATCTAGGTTGATAATTGACCTTTCGTGTTACGATCACAATTAGTAAAGATCTAAAGCTCTTTATATGAAATTAATCTTGTAATTCTAGTAATTCAGTAAGCTCTGATGACTATAGTAAACCGTGGTTATTTGGTAAACCCTAGCAGTTAACCTAGTAATCCCTAGTAACTTATAATAGTAAACCCTATAATAACTTATAGTAAATCCTGCAAATGGTAATCTAGCAAATTCATTATATTAGTAAACCCTGGTCATCCAATAAACCCTAGTAACCTAACAAATCCTTGTAAAATAGTAAATCCTAGTGACCTGGACACCTACTAACTACAGTCATGAATTCCTCTCTGTTTCAGTAGTAATAAAAGTTCCTTCAATAGCAGTGTGATTGGTGGGAAGAACGTGAGAGCGAGGCTGTGATAGATTGATATCCAATCATCAGCGTTTAGACATAAACCTCAGATAGATCTCAGGCCACCTTCCGAAGCTGGCTGACTAATCATGATTTCAAATTTTTACGATGGTTCATATGCATGTAGCCTGCATTGAAATCGATCTAAACCGCCAGTATGGACCCATCACTATCAGAAAAACTTCCAGGTTGTTTTTAGGTTGCCACTAGAGGTTGCCACGAAAAGAAATGAAATTAATTTTTTTTTCACTCTGGAATGATCTTCGGCGAGACACAATTTTTCAACACATTGGTTGAAAAGATATTTCATGATTGTAAATAAATTGCCATATGATTTCGCAATGCTTAACATATTGAAAACCGGATTAATTTCGTCTGATTGTCTTCCGCGGCGGTGTCTGGAGTCAGTCGAGTGGCTTCCTTGTGGTTCACTTTTATAGTCCATCAATAAAATGGAATTAAAGTTTCCAGTAAAATAACGTACCAGCCATATGGATGACCATGCGCGCAAAGATTGTAGGGCCTATAGCTGCCTGGTTACCAAAATTTGTAGTCACTTGGATTTTAAATTAAAGAATTAACAAGTTCCAGTACCGACCTAATCCAGAAGGAGAAATGGTAGGATTCTCGCGTTTCATGTAAACTGGTGCGCAATATCCTTCTGAGAGGTCTGGCGTGCTACTAGACACAATGAGCTGGCATATTGCCCATCTCCAGGCTCCGCGCACTAATAGTTTCCTAACTCTGCATAATTTCATCAAAACTGGAAGGATGCATGACTTTAAATTAAGGTGGCGTAAATTGAGGTTGCTTTGTGTAGTCGAGGAATCCACCAAAATTTAGAAAATCATACGATGCCGCGGACAATAGGTTTGGTGGTCGTTTGTCATGTGATATTCTCAGCCAATGAAATATAGCAAAAATAAACTGTCTTTCTAACGCAGTAAACATATTCCTTGTTGCACTTGCCACTGCAGTGACTGCACAAATGGAAAACGGGATTCCTAGCGACAACTGTGAAAAGTAGCTATATCTATCGTGTGAACATTTGGGTCGTTACGGGTTAGCCGATGGATACCGTATAAAGTTTCATTCAAAGAATTTTTTGTCCGATGTTAAAACTCTTCTTTAAATTTTCCATAAATTTGAGTTATAGAACAAGTCGTAAATTATTGTAAAAAATGTTTGGAGAAACCATATGGTATTAAAAATGATTGAAATATAATGAAAAGTACAATCCAGATACCCAGTATAGAATTAATTTATGTAAACTATTCATGGTACAATTATAGGATGTTGATCAGGAAGCGTCCTGTGATATAATTGGGCGAGTTTCTCTAGGGTCTGGTGTCTCGATTATATGCAACGTAGCTGTGGTGTCGAGATAGGATGACATTAAAATTAATCGCGTGATCATGTATCCATATATAGTTCGGACACAGGAAAATCGTTTCCTCCTAACCCATTATGAATAAAAATAAGAAATGCAGAGTTAGTGACTAGTCTTTTACCCAGTTTTTACTTACTATACACTATATACCTGAACTGTTTGGCATCATTTACTTAAATGATTTAGTATTATACATTTGATGTTTGGCAGCGCATACATTATTGGAGGCGGGAACATTGTTGTTGAAAGATATAGATTTGCCGCAATATAATAGATCAGTATAGTTGCCAGTAAGAAGCAATGTGTGAACATTTCATCCTAGTCGGTCTCGAAAGAAGATTTCTACAAAATATACTCGACAACACTCGAGGTAAGACAAACTTACTAAATAAATATTGACAAACTGTTTATTGAGTAAAGCGCACGACATTATAATAATTTTGGCCTAATAGGAATTCACTAAATTGTGCCTAAGTCCTTAAGTCGCTATTGTTTTTATATCAATTATCCAATGAACAACAGATCAAAGGTTTTTTGAACATCGAAGATCAACTTCGTTCTGTGTGGGTTTATGATTTTATCTTTTGTATCAATAGTTTTATGTTTTTCATTCTCCATGATGAAACATGAAAGTTTATGATGAGACACGTCTTTGCCCATACCACTCGAAAATGTCGAAAACAGACATTCATTAGTTTGTATAGGTTAATTACCTTGAGTGTTTATATGGTGGCTATTACACCACATAAAGAAAACATGATTAATATTGTGTAAACGTGTTGTGTTTTCTCAAACCACATCAATATATTAATATCGATCCTTATTTTCATCTCAGTCTTTTGAAATTCACTGGCTTGATTTCATCAATCAGTGCATGTAATTGTGTAACTCCATAGGCCTTCTATAGGTCTTCTAACTTAATTATACTCCTGTGTTCAATAATTCATTCGCATGCACGCAATGTGTTTACACCTTCGCCTGCCGGAAAGAATGCTGTAAAATCAACAGATAACGTATCAACACGGTAAATCTCGGCCGCAAATTGAATGGTTTAATAGCAATAACATGCAATAATAGTACATCCGAATTTTTTGTCTATATATATTTCATATCATATGATGTAGAGCAGAGGCTGTTATTATCTGTGCATGAGTACTTCCTCTTACAGATGCCGATTTATGGACAAAATGTTGGGTTTAAAATAATAATGTAATTTATTTATTACCGGCAACTCTAAAGTGCTAAAGATCACTTGCATGCGTCAGCGTTTGCTCTCTTTAATCTCTGTTTGTTCTCTTATTTGGTGCGATCCCAAAGCTGACGACAAATTATCTTCGTAATAGTATAAATGATGATGTTATTTATTTGAAAACCATGTGAACCAACAATAGCATGAGCAAAGGTGTGGAGAGAATTTTATTGGCCAGTCAATCTTATAATAAACATGATCCTGCATGCCTGTCTTCAATCCCCTTAATATTTTTTTCTTATAAATCGGTTTAAATTTAGTTTTTTCGTAGTGTCGGAGAAGTGTGATATAATTTTAGATTTCCTGTGATTGCAGCATGGTGTGAAAATAGCAATCATCAGACTGCGGTGTAGGGGAACTGAACACGATTTATATAAAGTGATTGGGCCACCGAGAAAGAAATTCTTAGTACTATGCATATGCATGTTATGGATATTTTAGCCAGGTCGTTCTCCCAAAATATTCTCACCCTGGTTTGTCGTATTGAATGTTTAAGAAATAATTGGCGCAATAATTAATTGTCACGCAAATTTGATACCATCATATCTGTTGTAACATATATATTAGTGCATATGGAAATAATATTTTGTTCTTCTGAAGTTCTTCTGATGTGCGATGAAAACAAATAAGGCTCCATGACATAATATTCAATATTTTCATTTACACTGCATGGTTGGAAGCATGTCGTTCGGCCTGCCTGGTACCGCATCATGTGGTAAAAGTACAATTATTTACATCGTATTAAACACAGAACAATGACGACATTTTTAATTTTATTATCAAATTATTATTGACGTAATCTAACCATTTTTTCGGTTAGGAATTTGGGAATTATGTTAGAGAGCTTTAGTTTGACGTGTTTTTTTCAACCGCGAACCGCAAACGGCGGCTTGACGAGTTGACGTTAAAATTTTGCCGTTTGACGCTTGCGGTTCACGTTTTCGATCGCTGGAGGTGTATTTTCACGTAGCTCATTTACCTCAGCGAATTGTCATTGCAATAATGTCTCGTTTCACATATGAACACTGCTAGTAGACATATTGCATTTGATTTAAAAAAAATCGAAGCATTAGAAATAGCTAAAAGCAATCTAACATCGAAACTGTTTATTGAATGCCAATTTTGTATCGTTCGAACATATATAACTAATATAAGGTATAGGTAAATGACTGCGAACTAAAAGTCAAATTTGTAACAACGGCAACGTGAAACTGCGGTTTGCGGTTTGCTGTAAACGTCAAACTAAAACTCCCTAATATCTGTTAGTTTCCATTCTACGCCAGATTATGCCAGATTGCCGCTAGAGATTTTCTAAAGAGATTTCCTTTGATCTGTTTCCAATGATGCATCCGGTTGATCTTGTCAAATTTTTAGGCTACTTTGGGCATGGACATTGTATCCATGCATTTATTCCTGAAATTCTGAAATTTGAAAACATTACTAAGCAATACAATTAATATATAGTACAGCGATAATATATAGTACTATATTTACAACTAAGGATCCAAGACTATTTAAGATTAGCCCTAATCGTTTACTTTTACACAATGACGTTTTTTGGAATTTTTCGGCCGCAGCATATTTAAAAAAATAGTTTGTGACATAGGCTAGCGCTGTATCAACGCTGTCAAAAATGCACTCTAAATCTCAAAGGGAAAGTGTTCAATTTGTGTCGTGAAATATAAGTGACATCAATCAGGGTAAGTGCATGACTAAGTATTGTGGAATTGTTTTCAGTATATTGATTTGATGATGAATTAAAACAAGCCCAAGCCAAATGTGTATGTTCATATGGTTATTACCTTTTAACAACTCAGAAAGGTGGATTAGTATTATATTTCCTTTCAAAAACACCGTCGTAAGCTAAGCGGATCCGAGCGACTTCACCAGATGATCTTCTGAAAGTGCAAAAGATTGTGTCGAAGTGGTCGTCATTTTGGGGAAAAAACCTTAGGGAAATTCAAATATAAACACTTTGAACTTACAATTTTAAGTAAATAGCAATGAGACATATGAAGTCGTAGATATCACGCCTGAGGTTCATTTTAAAACACTATTATAGGTGACATGATTCTTTTGGTAAAACCCTATTATTATAATAGTATGAATCTGTCAAGCAAAAATACTTGTTTGATAACAATTCTAATCAGTCATTACGCAAGCACTTTACTTTCGCAGATGGCTGATTCGTAAATGTACTTGCAATTAACCCTCGGTAAAAAAACCAGCGTGTTTTCGTAAAGACGAAAGGGAATGTAATCATGACTTGTTTTCCAAAGTTTGAAAACTTGGCTCTCCATACTGGAGGTGTGGTATGGAAGCGTGCATGCGCAAACACATGGATTACTAAATTGTAATGTATTATATTTCGTTTATAGTAAAGTCATTAGGTTTTGTGAAAGGTTTATGCGGTTCGAAACAAGTGAAGCACCGTACCAACGATCGCTTGCGTAAGTTAAATTTCTAGGCAATCCAAAAGACACCATGATCCAATATGTCTTTTGTCTAATCATTGCTAGTTGCTACGTTAGTAAACATGTTTAGCTAATCGAGACCCTGGGAACGAGGTTAGCTATAATCAGTTGTGATATCTTTGCGAATTTTCTGACTCGATGAGCATGCATGTATTTTTACAATATTTTCAGTACTTTTAGAAGAGGAGGTCGGGTTTAAAATTTTTCCATGATCGGCTTTATATAGAACTTAATTCTAATTTGATGATGAGTTTTTTATTTTACCATTTTTCATGGTTAATTCCTGTCGTTCTGACAAGGCTACTTGACAAATTTTATCATCACTTTCAGTTTTGCCGCACACCTTGTTACTTCCCTAAACAACCGAAACTGCTGAAGAAATATCGATGCTCCAAAATGTTAACGATCTTGTCTTTTATTCTAATGAAAACGGTGACCGGTGAAGGGTCTGCTTATCCTGCTATACGACATAGGCAACGTTTTTCATGCCATAGCAGCTTTTCTGGTTTAAAGATTATATTTGGCTTCCTCCCACTAACCCGCCACGTTAATTAAGCATTCCTTCGACAACGCAACATTGTTATGTTGTTTTTATTCCACTTCAGTAGCCGCTGAGATCAGGCATTTCCTCCACAACAAAACATTTATTAAGTTGTTTTGATTCCTCATACCAGCCGCGACAGACGTTTCCCTGGCAACGAAATAATATTATCTTTCACACTGTTGAAAGCTCCTTCTTACTTGAGGGATCTGGATGTAAAGTGTGTAAACCTCCGAGGGCTGAGTACAGAGTTGATGCATGATAAGACTATAGCCATAAGCCATGCAATTGTACTTGAGGATGGGGAAATTTTTGCTAAAATAGATTTAATATGTAAAAAAAATGGCCCATACAAAAAACGGCGAAACACTTCTCTCTCCAAGTTTTAAAATTCACCTAGGCCATGCTCTTGAATTCTCAAGCTGGAACGAAGGAATTTAAAGTTTCCATAAGGTTCTGCGCCAGCTGTGGAACAGCAAAAACGAACCTGTATCCTTTACCTGAAGTTATCCTATAATCTGTTTTGATTGATGTGAAGTTGCGAGGTGCAAATGAGGCTTACGTACGTGGCTTACCCAACAATCGACCACTCGCTTCTGGTTGGGCATTAGTCGGTCCTTTTGATCGCGCTTATCCCCTTTTCGTATAAATAATTCCAATGTGCCCCTGCTTGGGTTGACATCTTTTATGAGGCTCACACTGCTAAGTTTTCTCTAGACGTTTCTTGGTAGCATTATTCAGCAGTATATATATGGATTGGATTTATATCATAGTAAAATATTATTTTTGTCTCTTATAATGAGAAAAATATGGCTGAAATTAAGACTTTATTCATGTAAGTACACTTCAGTTAACTCAATTTTATAAAACTTCTTTTTAGACGCCTAAAATTAATTGACAATAGATAATTATCTCAACAAAGCCTTGTATGATCCTGATCGCCATTCACGAAATATTAGTGACGATGAATTTGTTAGTTACCAAGCGTAAATGTTTGTCGTATGGAAACAATTTCATTTCATTTGAATATGTTGAAAGAGATTTACGTCAAAACATATTTCTTTTACATCTTTAGACTGACAGAATCTGTTTCCAAACTTGATTTCATTCGCATCCTAATAATTCCACCTAATAACTAAGCAAAAATGCGTTGTTCGGCTCGTCATAATCATGATTGCTTTTGAAGGCTTTCTTTGCAGTTGGGGCAATTGGTGATAAGTAATCCTTATCAGATTTTGAAACCTAAACTCGTATATACTGAGATTTATTCAGTTTTTTTCTTCAAATACAAGTTTTCATGTTCATCAGTGTGTTTGATCGTGTGCCGTTTTAGCGGCATGTTTCATATTCACGCATGTCTAATGTCAGGCGTCATAACAACACGTCTTCTCATCATAGTTTGAATATTTGCACAGCTTCCCTGGGAGAGTAGTAAAATGGAAAATTCTCAGGCCTAAAGGGTCTAAGTATGGCACAATAGATGAAATAAGAAGTAAAATAGGTCCACGGAGGGAGAGAAGTATACCAACTGATTTTGCCCGTTCCTGAAATTTCGTCACGCAAATATACATCGCGTAATAAAATGCCTTCAAGTGCAGCAAACAATTAAATTTAAAAAAGAAGTGAGATCGACTGTTTTAGAACAATACTTATTTTGCGATAACGTACAAGGGTAACTTTCCCGGTCGTCACTTCTCTCCCCGGTGACGTCATTGAGCTCATTTCACACACATGTTGTGCTTTATCTGTTGAATATAACAAAACTGTATATTACACATTGTTTACGATCTTTGAGGTTTCTTCTACATGTAAACTACGAAGGTTATATTTGCTTTTTACAACGTTAAACAACGTACAACGTTTTAAACGTTACATGACGTTAAAAAGCGTTAAAATTTATATTTTTGCCTGAGTACTGTTGAACTCTTAATCTTTTCCATCATACAAAGGTAATGAAGTCAATGTTGCTGACTTACATTGTATATGTCACCGATATGATGAGGGAATACCGCGTTGTTACTTGTTACAGACAAAATATAATATAACGATAATTGAACAACACTCATAGTAAAACCAGCTGTGTTCACTGATCTATATATGTTTGACTAGAGATATAGAGAACCGGATGATTGCTGCATGCCGCCATCTTGCATGTGGTTTAAATTCTTAGCTTAATGCAAGCATGTTCCCATGCAACCTATAATTTTTCGTTTCGGTTCTCAGACAGCTGTCGCAATCATACAAGAAAGGCAATGCATTATCATTTATTTCTCTTTTATTTTCAAAAGAACATAGATTGAAATAGAAGAAAGATAATTTTTCGTCTTTTCTTTCCTGTGTTTTAAACGTGAATACCCAACAGATTGTTGTTCGGTTGGGCAGTAAAATAATTAAGATAATTGAGAGCGGTTTGGTATGACTATTAAGTGTGTGACTAGCCAATAGTCTATTAATGAGATTAGAAATATTGTTTCTTGATCAAGTTTATCATATACTGTAAATGAAATAATTGCAAATTGAATTGCAGTTCAGAATCCGAAATTGAAGATGCGTAAAGCCGATGTAATTAAAGAGGTCTGACAGACCAATCTGGCAAAAAATATTTCCTTACACTATCATATATATACAAAATAGTATGGCATGAATTTTAGATCAGGCACTTGCCGAGTTTGACACAAAATTCAAGTTATTGTAAGTGATTGATTAATTTATAACGCCTCATAAACGTCATTCATCCCACAAACATACAAAACATGCAAAATGTCGATCGTTAGCCATAATATATCGATAACGTCAGACTTCACATCTATACAGTCAAAAAAGGAAGAATGTTTGATTATATATCATCTTTTGCATCGGAAACAATCATGCAGGTTGCATTCATGGGTTGCCCAGGCCGAATATAATGGCATCAAACACGATATTGTACGAAGACATGCAGTGGTGGAGAGGTAGATGAGGGGAATGACGTCACGTTTGCGTATGTTGTCTGGAAGATATCTTACGTTGCATGAGCTTTTAGTGAAGAAAATTAGTGATGATAGCGAATCCAGCTGCAGGTTTTAAATATTGAAATGTCAAACTTTATATAATCATGCATGAATGTAGGTGAAGGTAGGCGAGGGAAAAAAACAAAAACAAAATTAATATTAGATAAAGTTGCAAACGAAACAAGAGATCAGTTCATTACTTTGTGGTTCATCAGTTTACTGGGGTTAATTTCGTTGTCATTGCCATTTATGTGTCTTATAGACCGATATTTGCGTAAGTTTTACATACAATCAAAATTTGATACTATAACTGCAATATTTTTGGCATAATGATTAGGCTGAGAAATAGAATTGTTTGAACAGTTGCCTTACCGACTGGACTGAAGAAACGTCAATATATAATTGCATATAGCAGGCAGCTCGATCAGTAAGAATATTTATTGTCCTAATTCCGTGTGATTATTTCGCGTTAATCATGCAAATAACAGCACTATACGTGAGCTGTATACTTGACGAGGTGGTTCTCTATAATATAGCTATATAGAATTTAAACAAATGAATGTTTATCTTCTACCTTAGTGGACTGGATAATTATTAACCAGTGTTTCTATTTTCAGGATTGAAACTGTGAATTTGCAAGAGGAAAATTCAATACAAATCAACGAAAAATATCAAGTAAGTTGAACGAAACATGAACGAGCAATTGAGCGAGGGCGTACGGCTAGTATAGCCGCTTCTCTTTTAAAAAAAAATACTATATGTATACCGGCATATAGCTTGGCATTGAATCTCGTAAAGGACTGCATGCGTGGCGGTATTATTCTATCCTGATTATAGCGAGCTACGTGATGTTATAGAGAATCAATGTCATCACTTGTGCCTATGTATGCATGCATTTCTTAAATTAAAGCGCAGAATATTTTGTATATCGCAGGTATAAAATAAGAATTATATTGCACCGGCAATAAAATATCGACGGTAAACTCAAGTTTATTGCGAAATATTTTTTTGCATCTAGAAATTATTTACACTTTGTCCGGCTTAATATGCATGGTTCGTGTGTTAGGATTTTAATTATATTCAAAGTAGAGTTAACGCTGTGTTTGATTAATTTGAAAGTAAAACAAATTCCGAAAATAGACATCTTGGATTCTTGATATTGAACATAAAAACTGAGAGTGTAAATCAGAGTCACATTTCGTCTTTATTTCCATAGCCGGTATTGGTCTTTGGGATAAAGATGAAGCCTCACCGACTCTATCTTTGCACTCTTATAGCTAATTGTTTTATTTTGAAGAACACATGCAAGATGTTTATTTTCGGTGTTTGTTTTATTTTGTAAATTTTTTAATCTTCTGTTTGCTGTAGTTATTGATGAATTTCAGGCAGGTTAAAATCATGATTTCTCACAAATCTACATGCAGTGAGAACCAAACCAAACGCAAAAAGGCGACAATTGATGAAAAAATTGTCACAGAATTCCTGACGATTATAGGCCTAATGGAATCCGCGATAATATAATAATATTAGAGTGATTTAATCATTTCAGAATTTTATAGAAGTCTCTTTCTGCTTATATAGGTCTATATATGAACGATTATAAATTTTTACACCAAATACTTTGAACGACGCCGAATATCGATTTTATTCTTATGTCCATGACATAGATTAATGCAAGGATTATATATATAATATATATAATATTCAGTTCTTATTTTCTATTATACAAAATAACACTTGCTCATATATAAGATGTTTGCGACTGCGGATATGTTTATGGTATATTTATTGCTTTCTAATTTCTTGCTATACTTTTTAGCTGGTCCACCTGACCAGCTGATTACACAATTGGTTAGAGAATTAATGCATTTATCTTATACCCAGTGCCCGTGGCAAAAAGCCTTATTCCTCATTGGCTCTAAAATATCGGCATCTAATATAGAATCAAACTGCTGTCGCGTTTAGTGGGGGATGGACTTGTACAACTATACCTGCATCTGAATTAGGCACGCGTTGCCGTGAGCGAAATTTTCATTGTGACTGTGTTTGATTCTCTTTTGTATGTCCGTGCTAGAAATCTCACTTATATACTGATGTATATCGGCTATAGGTACAGCAATGAGTATATAGGCAATACTGAAAAAGACGTATTTTTCCACGTGCATACTTGCATGGTTAAATATATTTCGATGAAAGACTGCCCACTTTATTCGCAGACGCAAAATCTCTCAAAATGAAAAACTATTGAAATTAGCGTGCGCTGCGGAAAGCTAGGAAGAACATGCAATGTCGACGTGAAAGACTATGCATGCATGCATTTCTATTCTCGGCGTGTGATAACTGTTGGGCTGTTTGCATGTGGGTGGAAAATTAATTAATTATAATCTTCACTAGAAAATCGTCACATATAGTTGATTTTATCGAACATTTCATACGCGTTTTTCAATTTTACAAGTAATTTATATTTAGATATTCCAATTCCATAAGTAATCAAAAACATTTCATTTGAATTAAAACCTTCATTTGTTGCATGGAAATCGAGTGACAACTGACAATCACTGATGCACATGTATATATTTCGGGTCCTGAGATTATCGGTAAGTTAGAAAATTTGAATACTATTGTCTTTATATTGTTGCCAACATAACATATGTTATGTAAAAAGTCTGGATGCTGCTGTCGCTATTATTGCAAAAGTTTAATTATTATTCTTGTTAATTCGAGACCAGCGCGCTATCGCGATGCCAAAACTTCGCTGTTGCTTCATTATTCGTTTCACATATATTTAATGATATTAAAACCAGTCTTGTTTGACTGCCATTCTAACGTGATTCTACCCATGATTCTACATAGCTATAGACTTGAGTATAATGTATTCAATCGGTTTCACGTTCCTCAAAGACCCTATATAACTGAGCTTTAAACATTGGGCGAAAATTCGATGGCGGATGCAACATCGGAAATTGAAGTTGTAAATCAATTGGACTTTCCCATTTTGTAGTGATAGGGTCTTTTGTAGTGTTGTATATAGTGTTGTTTTAATTTTATTGTTGTTTGGGGTGACCGTAATTGGGGTAACCTGTGGTGATAAATCCCTGGTTCTATATATAATTCATAGCTGTATAATATCATTAGAATAAACTTTCGGAATAGAAGTAATTTTCGAGTGCCACATTACAAGACGTACTGCATGATAAACACCTACCGGCGAGACAGTTACTAGGTAAAGACGCGCGCGTTTTAAAATACCAGGGAACAGCGTGTGAAACCCTTCAAAGAAATTCTCATCAAAGAAAGAATTATCATGCAGTCTGAAAAAAAGCAAAAAAATTCTCGACGTCTCCATCTGTAAGGGCCTTCATGATTTCTATAAGAATTCATGCCATATGGTGTAATTACTGCCATTCTGTTTCTGCTATGTGCTGTAATACTCGAGCATGGGTTTGATGAAAAATTATGTTTTTGTATGTTGAGTAGCTACTGAAATGATCATATATATTGCACTAAGAAAACGTTTTCTTCGTCAAATTCAGCGGTATACACTATATATAGCTATGGATAGAAATATAAAATGAATACAAACAAGCCAACTGTTATTAATTTAGATTGCATTAGAATACTATGAAACGGCCTACATCTATAAAACATGCATGTATCTATCTATATGCAAATAAAAATTTCCTGTAATGAGTCAGGCACAAATTTCAAAACCAATTTACTATTGATAAGGAAAGCATCATCACGTTCGGTAAAATAGAGTCCTGTGATTGGCTGAGACGAATTGTCCATCACGCCAAGGAATATAGAATTTTACCTGTAAAAGTTTAATACACGCATGCATGCACGTCGTCGTTGTAAAAATCTTTATCGATGTCATTGAATGCAGTGAGTTAACTGAGTGAACCACAATGACGTCATGCAGTTTCAACCGAATTCTGGAATTTTAGAATATACATGGATGCTTGGAAATATGGAATTTATTTCCGAAACTTGAGAATGATATCGAACGAGTGAGCGCATGTTTATTATGTAATAATAAAAAACTGTTTTTTGAAACGTTTTTTATCCCCCTGCCTGATTCAAAATTGGTGGATCAAACACGATAATCGCACATGTGTTATTATCATGAATGTGTTATTCAGTATCGCTTTTCAAAATGGCGGATTTGTCAATAAAACACTGCATATTATATAATAAATATATATATTACCTAGTTACGTGAAATGCAATATTATAAATATTTTGCCAACGCTGCCGATACTGATATAAACACCGACTTTTCGGTTTTAAACAATAAGTTTGCGGTTATAAATTCGTGGCCATAACACAAGCACTTATGACGCACAACAGACCTCTGCGGGACACCAAGTTATTTCGTTAGAAATGTTTTGTCATTCAAGCATTTATTGTTATATAATAAAATAGCTATAAAATATGACTTCAGTAGATAAGATTTACAACCTTATGTCAAAGAATTGATACGCCCATGTTGAGTTTTCCAGCTGGGACGTTTATTTAATTACGGCCGCCGCCTAAGATGTTCACATGCACACAGTCACAGTATCATGCGAGGTCTACATATACTAGCTGCTTCAGGCGTAGCATCTCCATGCATGTCAATGTAGAAAAATTATTTTCATAGATCAATAACCTTATATAATTTATTGTTGGCTTTTATTTGTACATATTAAGTATATATATTTATTTATATAGGCTTTACTTTTGTTGAATCATGCAAATCCATGAATTAAACTCATGAAAATATTAGAGAAAGTTGATTAAATTACAGAAATAATATCATATATATAATGTACGTTCAATTGTGTGCATTGCCTTTGTCTCAGCTTAAGGCCAGGCCAGAATGTATTCATGTCATTAGAGATTACAGGGGTAGGGAGGCATACATGAATTACTTCCTTATGATAGTGTGCTTTTAAATAAATTGTATTGCACATTCAAATTTTTGGTATTGACAAAGTAGAATTTTGGTCAACATCATTGTATCTTCTATATAGCTGTGTTGAAATTTGACGATTGTAGACTTCATTCACGTCGGCCATTAGTTCGGATTTTTTAATTGTAACTGAGGCGGCAAGAAGAACAGCGGCAATACAGCGGCAATAAGTTTAATAATATTTGTTTATGTTTTGAATTTCACCTGTTAATGTGTTGTTTTGTTATTAAAAATATTTTGTTTGATAGGATACCGAGCATTCAAATATTAAAAACACAGCCTGTTTTTATCATAGCGAGTATTTCATCAGTATCATGACATGTATATACGAATGTAACGAATGTTGTTGGTAGCAGTAGTAATGTGAGTTGTTCTCATGTAAATATCAGAACAGACTTAAAAACAAGTCGACATGCCACATGCATGTATAGTCTTCCTGCCATAGTAAATTTGATTTACAACTGTCCATTCACAGCAAAGATGGATATGCCTCGTATGTTGATATTTATGCAGCTGTCATTTCAAGATTCTTCATTGAAATGGAATAAGAGTGCTTAGTTTATATATACCCGAATAAATATTGTGTGTGTCTACTTAGTTGTCAAAACAACGACATTTCAATTCGTGTCTTCACCAAGTCATAAATATCTTTCAGGTGTGTATCTAAAGCAAGATCTTTTCTAGAAGAATTGGCAAAGTGAAAGCGTGATACTGATAAAGATTGTCACAACGTGGATAGTATTATCTCAACTGAAAATCTTCACACAACTATGACGGCAAATGCTAGTAATGGTACCGAAGGAGAGGACCTTCGATTGGGAGATCGTAAATGGTTTATTATCTTTAAGTATTCTATATACTGCATTATATTCCTGATAAGTTTAATTGGAAACACGATGGTTTGTTTCGTTATATGCCGAAGAATGAAAGTAAAAACTGTCACAAATTACTTCATAATGAACCTGGCGGTTAGTGACCTCTTATACACATTGTGTATTCCATTTGACGTATATGCAACAGTTAATGACGCTTGGCCCTACGGAGCAATCATGTGTCGTGTTTTATATCCTGCACAGACTGCGACAATTACTGTGTCAGGATTTACATTGACTGCATTGAGTGTGACAAGATTTTGGGCTGTTTTAAAGCCGTTACGGAGACAACTATCTGTAAAACAGGCTAGTTCAGTGATCGCTCTTTTATGGGTATTGGCTACAAGCACGGTAATTCCTTACATTATTTACCTCAAATTAGAAGGAACTTGTGAAGAGGAATGGCCACATCACGAACAAAGAAGGATTTATACCGCTTCACTCTTCGTTATCCAATATGCAGTACCATTATTTATCATAACAGTATGTTATATTTCAATTGCACTTGAGTTAACTAAGGGACAAGCAAAAACAGCTAATCGGACTTTAGCAAAAGCTCGAGGAAAAGAAGCAAGAAAAGTTATTAAGATGTTGGTTATAGTGACTCTAGTATTCGCTTTTTTAACATTACCTTCATCTATTATGTGGATGTGGTTAGATTTCGGTAACGCTGTCGTCGATAAATTTCCTAATTTTTGGGATGTTATGGATGTTTTAAATGTTTTGGATTTTTTGAATTGTGCGTCTAATCCAATCATTTACTCGTTTTGCAACGAAAGTTTTAGTCGAGAGTTTCGACGACAGTTGGGATGCGTTGTTTCAGTTCCGAGCACAACGTCTAATAATAGTTTCGAGTCAGGTAAAGTTACCACAGCATTTGGATCATCGTCGCCTGGCAACGGACATGCAACGCCACTTCGAGAAAGTTTATCAAAAGATGGAAACACGGAACAGAATGCAGATCGTGCGACTCTTTTGTGAACTGGGTTTCCATGCATACTGGATTTTTGATACCTGGGTCCAGTTATCAAGTACAATGGCTGAGAACAAGAAAATGGCTTTTTTTCAGTTTTGAAATATATCAATATTTCCTAGCAATACTCTTTTAATTTTTTACCTACATTATCTGTACAATAATAAGTACGTGCTCTTCGCCCCTCGTGGCAAAAAGACTCTAATGATGCACACAGACTACACTTCCTAAAATATGAACATAATATTCAGTAGAAATAATTTAATCTGGCTGGTAAGATATTGATAGATGACGTTTCACCAGTGGTGGATTATACGAGCATAACGAGGCCTGTAGGATGAGAAAAATTGAGGTGATTGCCTACTTGTGAATTGGAATATCTAACTAAATTTAGCTGGCTATAAGTGAAACAATTAAACTGCATGGTTTTTCAATAAACTGGTATTGCCATATAAGGCAACAATGCCAACAAATAATTCCTTGCCTCGAGCGAGATTTGAACTCGCATTCTATAATTTTATCCTATATCCAAGGTCATGCATGTGTAATTGCATGATGGTTACAGAAAAATAAACCTATTCGTATTCATATATATATACTTCTTGAAAGAATTTCACTATTAGAGGTAGTCATCCTTCCCATGGTAAACTTGGGAGGGAATTGATGTATTGCTCCAAGTTACGCATTTGGTACGTGTATTTTCAAAGCTTTAACCAATTACAAGCGCTTCCTAGTCATACATTATCTGCATAGGCAAAACGGTTAATATCGGGGCGAACTTTGCCAAAAAGCCGCTTCGCTATTGCATAAAACGACGCATGCGTATTGATCTATATATAATGATCCACCTACAAAGTTAATCAGACTGTTATTTTAGATATTAAATTAACCGTGGGTGAATCAATGGCTGCCATGACAGTATTGAAGGAACTATATTACATACAATAGGATCACACAGCCATACATACAACGTGGCTCCAATTTTTCTATGCATTCGACTGCATGGACATGCAGAGTAATGCATGGGCGGACAAGCTGCAGTTTCTTCGATTGACCCAGAGAGGCAGAGACATATATATAATGGTGGACAATTTCATGTGTTGAGATATTAAGCGTATATATTTGTATTCACTTGAATATTAATTGTAACATTCCAGTTCCGGCTATTGAAAAAAAAATCAGTAATTACAGTCTTGACTATTGAAAAAAGATACCAACATTAGTAAACGTACTTATGTGAAGTCACGCTATGGAAATTTTAATAAATTATAGATAACTAAGATGTTGATAAGTCAAATAGTGTTTACGGATGTATTTTCATATTTAAATAAAATACTATAATAGTTTCTATTTAGCTCAAATCGTGCCGTGATAATTTGCATGAACAAACCTTCGACGATCACGGTTCTGCTGCTGGGTTTACGGCAAAGAATGCTACAGTCTATAGCTACAAAAGTCTATAGCTTGTGTCGTGATGACACTGTCATCCAGGCATATGTACGAATTCTATATATTTCAACGACTAACGACGTCTAAACTGATGAAATGCATGCACGCATGAAGATATATTACAATGAAGATGTTTTTACAGTTTTTACATGCATGAATAGTAAATGAATATAATTTACAATGAAGATCAGACTGAGATCAGTATTTAAACACAATGAAGATGTTTAAAATTCGTCACCAAATCTCGCGTACGTGGACCAGCGTCTTTCTTTGCATTATTATGTTTTATTCGCATTAGCTTCCACTCGACGAAGATGATATAAAAGAAAATTGCACTTGTTATTCGTATATGAATGTTTCGCCAAACAAGTGCGGGTAGCACGATCGATTTTTCATTATTATACATAACAAACCGTGCTTCTTTATTCGTTATTAATGATCTTTATCAACATCATGCTTGGTGATTTAAACGAGATAATATAATGAAAAACATCACTGAGATGTCAATTGAAAATATTATCTCTAAAGCTCTGAGAACTCCTCCTCATTTACCTTCTCCTTTTAGCTGCACAGATTACACAAAAGACAGTAAACAACGCGGAAGATTAGCGTGTCCATGCATATGTTCTAATTAAAGTCTTCAATTAATTAATATGTGAAGAAGTGCAGCTTGCGTTTATTTTCACCTGCACTGCATCTCAGATTTTACTCCTGCAATAAGTGTTTTACTATAACGTTTTTTACCCTCCAAAGCTGCAGTGAGCTTAAACTGAACTTGGCTTTGACAGAATTTGACTCCTCTTCACGTTTCATTAAAAACTCTTAGGGGATACGACGAAACATTTATGAAAATCGACTGACCGGTCATGTGGTGCAAAAACTGTTTTTTCATTGGAGCATTAGAATTTGATAAAATATAATAAATTAATATTCCTCCGCCTTTCCCTTCAAACGTTGTATGGCATATTATTTGCACGGTATATACGGACATGATGAAAACCAGAGTAACTACAGCGGTACACACGCGTTATTGCATGTTCACCAAATGAACCGTTTCCATGATGTGTAAGTGTGCGATCCTAAATCATATTTTCTTCAATATTTTTTACAGCAACATAAGAATTTCCAACAAATATACCATTCAGTTTTAGAAAATACGTAGATGATGGCCTATAATCCTATAATTATACATGTATGATATTATATCATGGCGACATGCATCAATCGAACGTTAATTGAGGGGGACCATATTCATAATACTACTATACCTGGCTAATTTCTTTTGAATCCAATTTCACTTTCAATAGAAATCAGCCTGGCATAACAGAATATATATGAATATGATCTCCCTCGATTAACGTTCGATGGCATCAGGTTATAGTCAACAGCTTGAGTTCTTTGAAGTTTGCAAGACTAAACTTCATCTCGGACTTCATTCTTTTCTTATACACAGACTTTCTTGTAGACTTCGTTCAAATTTGAGTTTCGACGCGTGTCGAAATGGCAATTTTATGCTCACTAGTATATCATGGCTGACTTGTAACAGGGGTATAGCCGACAGCTTGTTTAAAATTTGCTACAACTTGGAACAAGCCTTCCTAAGAAAACCAGCTTCTTTGTTATGCACAGATTTGCTTATAGACGTAGTTCAAGCTTGCGTTTTTACGGCGCGTGTGTCAATTTGTCGTCAATGGAACAAAGGGGAACTGGAAACATGCGCAGTAACAAGTTCGCATAACGTACCTATTCTTTGTCCTGAACTAATCTAATCTTTCTCAGGATTATTCATCCCAATTTACAGTTCCATAAAAGCTTTACGAAAACCAGTTCGGGTGTCAATGATGATCAAATGAATCTTAGGTCTGGGCGGCTACTGTTGGCGTTCGTACGTTATTTCTTTCATAATTATCATTCGAGAACAGTCGATGGTTTCGTCGTTAGGTGGTCATAAAAACATTCATTGTCGCGCCTTTTCGTTTTTCCACTGCCCTCGTCCCTTAACATGATTATTTTTTTTCTTGAAACGGGCATCACACAGTGGTTAGTACAGTGGTGGGTAACACTCAAACACGGTAATCTAAGCAAGCACATTACGGCATTGACAATTAATATTATTATGTTACGCACTATTATTCGAAATGAACTTTCCAATTATAATGAAGGGTGTGAATTCTAGAAACGTAATAAGAAAAACCATGAGCCTCACGAAATTGAACTGAACACCAGTTCAAAAACATAATGTCCTCATACAATGACAAACCGGCGAACACTTGTCGACATATGCCGACGGCTACCGACTGTAACGTACAAAATCATTAAAATGCAGATCAGGGGCCAATTGTATAAAAGACTTGTTCACTTTTCACTGTAGTTAAGGACAGATCGGATTTAACTATGCAAAATGTGTTATACAACCAGCTCGGTCCAGCTGTGAATGGCGGTCAAGCAAGCCTACGCTCAAAGCCCTCAAACACGCAGAGCCGAGCGCAGAGCTTCTGCCCTGGGGAATTTGATTAATCTGATCTGAAAACACACTTTTTACACCTTTATATACGCTAATAATACTACCGGCTGTTAACAAATACTGCCATTTTTTCCCATCTATGGCCAAAGTTAATACCGATGGTATGATAATAAGCGAAAGTAAATATGCGTAACAATTAAGGTACTTGATTGAGTGCTTATTGACATGAGGTTTAAACGCACTATTAGACTGGAATTCGTGAAAAAATATGTTGAAGAAGTTTAATACCATGTATTCTCGCAAAATTCTGACAGTTGAGTTATCATACAGACGGGGCGATAAAAATTAAATTGCTAAATTGGTTTTATTCAACGAATTTTGGAGGATGACGTGTTTGTAATACTGATATGCCGGTATCAGGAATTATCGAGGTTGAGGTAAATCATTGTTATCTGATTCTGATGAGACTGTGTTAATAATACGTACACGACTGGAACATAATTCATAATCTATAGTATATAGTCTATTTAACATCCTGTAATTTCAGTAGAAAGAACCGTTTTTAAGCTGACTTTCCAAGATATCTCTCTTTATATATAGCTATATTCAATCATAATAACAAGAACTATAACAAAATTTGAATATGGAATGATGATTTCAGAATATAGCCATTTCTTGTTGTTATGATTTGAGAAAGATTTTCTGTAAAAAGGTTTTCTTTTCTTTTATATATAAACATTACTAAGATATCATAAACTTTTTACACTAGAACAAAAACCAGTCTTCCTGATGTCTGTTTATCTATATAGTGCATAAATTAATGCCACTATTGAACTCCTTCGGTGGTGCATGAGTAATTTGGTCATAGATAACAACTTTAAGGAATTATTCAAATAATAATGATAAAAACCAACTTAATTATATTCAGAGAAAAAAGCAACAAATACTTCACTTACTTTCCAGTGTTGTTAACCGGTTGCTATTGTATCTTGTAAACAAACAACAATCAGAACAACATGCAGTCTGCATGTGCAGAATTGGGAACTGCATTCCACGTAAATCCCAGCTAATAAACGTGATCTTAAGAGCTGTTCTCAAGCAGTCATGAAGTCTCGCTTAAAATACCAATCGAAAGCCCAGCTACGTGCCTACAACCTGTAATCACTGTCGTTTCCGTCGGAATCAAATATGTCTTAAAATGATGACTAAAATCTATATTACTGCCAATATTGAACTGCCTTAAAATCGCTCTGGTATACAGCATTCGAGTGAGGTGACAATTTTATACAGGAATTACTATTGAATTACGAAGAATAAAGCAATCCCGAAATCGCCTTTCTCATCAGTAATCGTTTTAATCCAAATCTTCATTGACAATGACTCTGTTTTTCCAAATTTGTTTCTCTTCAAAGTTTTTACTTATACTTGCACGCTGATATTTGAATAAATAAAAGTTAATTAAATTGCTGAAAGAAAAACTAAAACTGAAAATATTTTAAGCAAACCAACTCTAGCCAGAATGATTATGAAATAACAATTTAAAAGATCAAAATAAACATCCTGCTATTGGATCGTGGTTTTGATATTTTTGTTAATCGTCATATCCGGAAAAAATCACGCGTAGCTATACATCTGTGAGCAATCACTGACACTTGAGTAGAAAGACATTTGTCTTGATTGCGTCAAGTGCATGGGAAGAAGAGTTCAGTAAATGCTTTCCTTTTAGGATATATAGGTTTGGATTAAATCAATTGTCATACAAAGTTCACCTGTTCAATTTCACGACGAAAATCAAAGGCGAATCTGAGATGTGAATCTTGTGCTGAAGAGCTCTATTTCCAAATTCCCTGGTATGTTGAGCATTAATTATTTAAATATGATAGACTTTCCTCGATTGCATCTCAGTAATATTAGTCACGAATGTTTACAAAGTATTTAAAATCCGATAGCAATCGTTTTAATAACAGCTAGCCACTGCATGAATTAAGCTCGGTCCTCGTTCGGCCAATTGCGGGATCCGGTGGTAAGCAGGAAGAGCCAAGATATGTTTAAATGCAATTCCAATGCAATGTCACAGCTGGAAAATATTAGGCAACATTTTTTTTATTTAATGTTTACGCGCAAACGCACGTCAAAACGGCTGCAAGCAAGCACAATGAATCACGTAGAAATTACCAGACACATGCAAGTACAACAAACATTTTGCCTGAATTACGTCTGGCCTGTACAACCAATGACAATGCATGTCATGCCCTTTAAATTAATTAGCCAAAATTTGTGATATAATCTCGTACGTATATTAGATGTAGAATTGTCAGGAAGACGTATTTTAGTAATTTTACATCCATGCATGCATGATTTACATTGCGAGGATTGTTTAAGGAACGCAATACAGCCATGATTTTATATATAAAAAAGACGGATGAACTTTCTCATGCATATATAGCCAAAGGGTTAAATTTTTGTAATTTTATTTATAATTCAGTTAACCTTTCATTCTTATCACTAAGTGGCGCAAGTGTGATTACCTGTGGCTGTGCTAAGCGTGAATATTTGTAGTTCCTTATCTTATAATATCCAACCGTTTTTTCGATTATTTTTTCCGTGTATTTCGTGTGAACGCCTGACTAGTGGCTACGGGTAAATCAAGTTCAACATTTTCAATTAAGCACCTACCAGGAGACCATGATTGAATTAATAGTGGTTTCCTAAATTAAAGTCATTTAAGTGGGCGGTCTTCATTTCAATGCAAGTGTTAATTCGAATAAGTTAATTCCACATAATTTATTTTGTCAGTCTCGAGAGTGTTAGCAAGAGATAAAGTCATTTACTTCAGAAATGCTTGCCACAAAATAAATGTGAAACGTATTATTATGCATGTACATGAGGGTTGTAAAATAAAATAATAGGTCTAGACTCAAGCATACTCTAGCTTAAGGTGACCATGTGATAATGTGATATTTTCCAATTTCCAGTGTACTGAACCGTAATTATTTCCATGCATTTTAGTTATATTCCCAATAAATCTTTGCGCTCGTATTGGCTTATGGGTTTTCACTGTTGTTAATCGGTATTATAGTCGTTCGAAAAGAACTACGGCTGCACAATTAGTCTACCTTGCAGACTGCAGTCTTCATGGTTTTTTCAATGAAATCTCGCAAGACAGATCTGCACTGATAAGATGTCTGAATTGATTCGAGGTCTGAATTACGTCGTCAGCCAAATATGTAAAACACTCAAAAGCATCTTGCCATGAAAAGAATTATTATTCTTCCCTATATAATGCCAAAATAAATAAATGCCAAAAGCTAAATGTTTATATACTTGGTCAATCGTACGGTATGAATATAGTCTTATAGACCTTTTTCATTACTTTATATATACTATAGCCATAAGGTCCAAGTTAACCAACCGACCATCCATCTCCGTGATAAATGGAAATTGAAAAACTCACTTTCATATTACGCGTGTTCGTCGTATGTCGTATTAAGTTCGCGTGTTTGTCGTATGCTGGAAAGAAAAAAAAAACATTAATTCAAAGATTCAACGTCAGAGATAAGAACTTTTTTTAAATTAGACTTGTTGTGGTTGTAGTATATACGGCGACATATATGGAATGTGCATGCAATGATGCAAAATCTTTGATATTATTATGTTATCCTCATGCATGCGGATACATTTTAAGTACAACTGTACAATTGTATGTGTTTCAGTTTTCTCACAACGGTACTCTTTGTTTTGAATTCGAAGTTAATGTCTTTCATTACGATACTCTATATGCTTATAAAAATAGAAGGTAAATAAATGTCTTTCATGTGGTGCTCAATGATGCTCAACTAAAAAAGCGCATGTCCTTCACAGCTCGGCTACTTCTCTTGATGCTTTTCATAATGCATGGTACTCATGCAATACTTCAATATATGCAAAGTAAATGTCTTTAACAACGGTACTATAGAAAGAAAGTATCGTTTATAATCGTACTCCGAGTTTCAATAATTAACAATATCTTTCACCGACGTGAAATAATTGGTATTCATTTTAATGTTATCTAAGGGCATTTAATATAGATTTTTAGGGCTCAGTCGAGATGTCTGAACGGCTTCTTTGGAGTGATAATCACCTTCGTCAAATCGGCTAGGTCAAAGTCTTTCTGACTTTCATATTTATGATTTCATATAACAATTAAAACATCGAAATTTTAAGACGTGAAACTACATATTTCACGAGATAAATATATCGCTATAATATGCCCAGTATAGTGTCCGACGTTTTCTTGTAACCTGCAACATATGACAGGGGTCGATTGTTCGAAAGGCGTTTAGTTTAAACGGTGCAAGATTAGTTAAGAATGGAAAACAAAATTATCCACTTATATATATTGAACAATTTTTAGTTTTGGCTCATCTACCGTTTAAGCTAAACGCCTTTCGAACAACCTGCCACAGGTCTCTAAAATCGCATGTGCTTTTACGAGTAAACAAAAATTATTAATGCATGTCACGGTCATTTACCGCTGATTTTAATTAGTGGAAAACCTGCCAACATTATTAGTATATCTATCGGTTTGAAAATTGGAAATAATTAACTTGCTTGAAAAACTGATTTACCAAATAAATATAAGTAAACAGATACAATTTCATATCAGTCCTTGGAACATTCTGATTTGCTTCACTGTCTTTCACGAGCATCTGAATTGAATAAAGATAATCCACAACAGCTAAGTTCGTTAAGGTATATAAACCTCTAATTAATTACATAAATATGTAATTACTTTTTAGTAAGTAGCAAAGCAGATGTTGTTGATGCTCTTTACTACCTTATCCAAGTAAACAATCTTATATATAAATATTACATGAATGATTTTTCATATATATATATATATATATATATATATATATAATATAATATATATAATATATATTATATAATAGTCACACACAAGGCTGTAACAACCAACAACGTAACATATTCCGATTTTCAAGGTAACCGCCAAGGCAACGAGGTGAAAACATTAAGAAAAATGTTCGTTGTGCGCTATTACGATATCCAACACAGATATTTCAGTAAAATATTTACTGATTCAAATTGCCAATATTTGGGGAGGTAAAAGTATTTCAGCACCCCCCGAGTTGCTACGTATTATCTGAATTTCTATGCTTCATATACTTGTTCGTATCAACATATACTACACACTTTTCTATTTTACACGCTGTAATACATCCTGCGGGTTGGATTACAAGATTCTATAAGTAAAATTACGCATGGCATCTTCTTTTCAAAACTGAATCAAAATATTTGACAAAAAAAATAAACATACCGCTTTTACACCATTGCTGGCTTTACTCTTAAAGAGGCTTGGCACTGCATGGCCTTCTTGCATGCATGGTCGGGTATACCTTTAGAGAAATCTTTAAAAACAATTTATATTTTAAAATTTATTGCGATATTCAATAATGGTTGCACACACTTTGGGCGCACAATCAGAGAAATATGCAAATATTTCGCTAGCCAACTTTTTCTCCTATTATATATATCTCTGCAAGACAGTGCAAATATCGTTGCATGCAAGTATAGAAATCCAGGCTCAAGATGTGGCATCATATTAACGATTACATAACGTACCAATTAATATAACCATATAACAGGAATGAATTTCCTTTCTTGGAAGTCCTGTCCTAGCTGTCTATATAGTAAACTTCATAAACGACAGTTTATTGAATCACTCACAAAATCAACTGAATCATGCATGCAGCCAAATTGTGTGTCGGATTGTAATTTCAGTTTTCTTTAATTTCTTATCATAAGGTTATTGTATTAGAAAGGCGGTTGAACTAGGAATCTTTCTGCTGTAATCATGACATAATGAGCCCGCATTAATTTTTTTTTCGAGAATTACGACTTAATTGGTTCATTAAATATGTCATTTGAAGGAAATTGAGACTCCGCCATCTTGGATTAATGCACGATACGTCACATTTCTGTGAACATCTCGAAGACTTTTTGACACCTGTGATTTTTGATTCAACACTAATTTTCTCTCGAGGATTGAACAAACTATGCATAGGTACATGATAATAATGACATGCATCATCAAAATTGTAATTAATAAGGGTAGAGGTTTATCCAAGAGAGCTAGCGGACAGCTAGTCGCTTTTTGTCAAAATATATTTCATGAACTAAAAGCGGCATGTCATTTCTGAAACTGAAATAACTCCTTCTTTTGTGAGAACATTCTCGAAATAAAAAAAATTTCAACCAAAGATGCATATACGTATATATATATTATACCTGAAGCTGAGATGTGATTTATTTTCCTAGCATGCATGCATGCAGCGTTAAAGAAGGAAGGAAAAGAAGGAAATTCAACATTATTTTACAACGTCGATTATGACAATATCGTATATGCATGATGGCAGTATACTGCATATATTTGTTATGTATACATGCAGCATTTTGTAGAAAACTGAAATCTGCATGCATTTATAAGTTGAAAGACAATAATTAATTAATTTATTGCTCATGCATGCAGTAATTCATCGGCCATTTTTAACTTTCATCTTTAATTTCGTAGTTTTTGATTTCATGCATATAAACTAAAGGAACTTTTTAATCGTAGTCCGACGTAGACATTCGTACGGCATCACTAACTGATGTTAGGTTATGTTGCGGCTAATAAACGTTTATATCTCGCGTTTTGGTATAAATATTTGCACTTTCAAATAAAAATATATTGGTTGACCATGCATGCATTGTCGGATGTTTGCATGCCCCATGCAGTCGTCACAATAGAGCGACTAAATCATTTATGTGTAGAAACTAATTGTTTATATATTACTGCACCTAAAAAAAT